GTGATTTAGGGCTACACAAGAATAAATTGAATTGAATTTTAAAAACGTGTTATGTGAAAAGAACAGTGAGCAGAGCTGTGGTCACACAGACAAGATGTTACAACATTTGTGGGACCTGTTCTAAAATAGCTGATTTAATGACATCAGGACTATCGCAACTTTAAATCACTTTCACAACTTTCCCAAAGTTTTCTCTGTAAATGAGCTTTGTGTGTTTACTGTTCAGCGGCGGCAACAGAAACAACCCAAACAGACAGATCCAGTCCCCACAGGCGCCCATTAAACCTGTGTAGAAGGAGCTGCTTTCAGGAAATAAACTTCTCTTGGATTCTTTTCAAACTCAGTTTAGTATTTAATCAATCTCAGACGGAGAGGAAAGTCATGATCCTTTTGTAATGTTTTTGGCTTATGACATATGGCTTATTTTTTCATATATTAGATGTGCTATAATGTCAGAATGTGCCATATGGGACCACATGTGTCCACTGTCGCCCAGGACCGAATGATGCTAACGCTTAAAATAGTATCAAATGCTGCTAGCATGTACATAGTATCACATTCTTGCACAAGAGTGTACAACAGATGTACTTACAAATGTAAACAAGATTATTTCTTTGCATTTGACTATACAAGTTTATACTTGTGTAGACTTTTTTTTCTTCATTAAGTTAAAGATAGAGATTATATTTTGATTGAGTTGTTCTATTCTTAATATTTACTTGTGTTGTGTGCTCCTCAATTCCACAACTCGTGATGCAATTCTGAAATGTTCCCACTTGGACGAGTAAAGGATATCTTAATGTTAATGTAAAGCAACATTTAACACGTTTTCAGCGGGTGAGATTGGACCACACACACGCACACTCAGTGACAGGGATTACATAGTAGTAAATGTACAGTTTTTTTAGATACAAAAAAATTATAGTGAAGATGCTCTAGAATGCTCCAAAATGAACATGGTCCCGTTTTAATGAAGTGGTTTTGTCAGGCCGTATACGACACAGTCCTCCACTCTGCTCCATGGAATACGAGACATACGTGGATTTCATGTATTAAACACGTGACTGACATGAGCCTGAGCCCAGTTTTCCCTGCTGCTTCCCTCGGGTCAAATTGACCCACCACAGTATTTACAAATACCCTACATATTTGTAGAGCTGTTTTTTTATGAACTTGACCTGCCCTGGGTCATATAGACCCTTTCAGATCCTAATCTAGGGTATTTATTCTTAATCATCTGTGGTGGGTCATTTTGACCTGAGGGCAGCACAAGGGTTAAACACAATCCTAGAGAAGTCTATCTCCTGAAACCTACATGTTCTCCTCAGGTATCACACAGACATCTGTGGGGTCTGCTTTGGGAGTTTTACTGTGGAGGAGGTTTAGTGACTGATGAGGGAGGTCTACAGTTGGAGAGTCTCAGCCTGTGGATGAGACACCAGTATCCACACCATAAGCATCTCTATACAGGGGACTTTCAATACAATATAATTGTAAACAATTCAATCAGTATAAATGAGTGACTTTATATTATATCTCTTTTTTGAAAATGTATATAATTTCTATGGATAAATATCTAAAAGGCTTAGATTTAGCAGCTGCTGAAGCGTGCACACAGGAACCCCCCTGGGCCTCTGATCAACCAAGTGTGACCTGCAGAGATCACACTTCATTATCTTCCTCTTTATTAACACTAGAAAACGTTTAGTTTTGGAACTAAATGACTTTGAATGTAAATTCAAACTTAACCATTTTCTGTTGCTTGACAAACCTCATTCTATGGCAGTTAAATTACCTTCTCTACCTAGTGCTGGTCTTGGACTGGTTCTGAGCTGGGTCAGTTTATTTTTCCAACAGAGAAGAGCAAGTTCTAGTTACCATAGCAACACATTATTTACCTGAAGCAGTTAGCCTTTAGCTTTTCAACAATCAGTTTTAGTACATGTTAAAAGTAATTTGATGTTTTTTTCTTTAGAATTGCATGGGTTTGAATGAGAGTTCTTGTAAATTCTGAATTCTCGTAGTCTTGTAAAATACATTTCTGGATCAGGGGCTGACAATCAAAGCTGCCCCCGATCCTCATAGCATTTTGGGAAGTTGTGGATGTGAAATAGGGATGATCCTACTGGACATGGCTGTTGTTTTCTACGTGTCGTGTTGGCAGATCACAAAACAAGACTCAAACTGACCACACGAGGAGACTGCAGGATTAACTGTTTGGAAAGTTTTCTCCGCTGACGGACCTTCTGACCAGAAAACCTACAAAACAGTTGATCCTGGAGCTCTTTAGACACAACCGGATAAACCGTAAAGACCACGCGACCACTCTCACGACAAGTTTATTCGTGAGTCTAACAATAGGCCTCATGTTTCTACTCCTGTTACATTGAAACTCCTCACACTGGAAGATACGAGAACCGTTATTTGTCAATATTTCAATGTTGCAGCACTCGTAGGGCTGCAATGTAAGAGCAGACTAAATATACAGATATGTAGCTGTAAATGCTCCATAGTAAGAACAAATATTCATGAAAACAGTGAGTTTTGTAGTTTCTTTGAAATCGTATTTGAATATGCAAATGAGCCCTACAACCGTATGTGTCTCAAGGGGGTCTCTTTGCACTGTATTATTTACGTATTATTACTAAAATTACAATAATTCAAGTTATAATAAACAGTAACAGTGGATGTGGCCTTCATCCTTCACTCTTCTGGGACCTTTCTCCACTCCTTTGGAATAAATCTTGCTAACGTCCCGACTTCTGTTCATCCAGTGTGAAGCACTTTGTCGTTTCTATAGTGTGAACATAGTGTACTTTAAAGCTAGGGGATGTAACTTTCAGACCATTACAACAGAACTGTGATAATATCCATGTCAGTCGTCCCTGGCTCTAAAAAAGTTGCTTCTATCTCTAGTTTCACATGCATGTATTGCTGGCCTTCACATCTTTAGATCTTCCTTTTCAGACAGAAAAGTGAAAAAGAGAGGACCACCTTCTTTAAGCCAATCAGCTTCTGCCTTAAAAGTCAACTAGTGACTCACAGAGCTCTTTCTGAATTAGTATGTCACCGATAACATATTTTCTAATGGGATGAATGTGTGACATGGCCTCGAGTTTAAGCCGAAGGGGGCGGGAAGGTGAGACGTTTTACTTTGGCCTCTAGTCCTTTATCGGGGGCTTTAGGGTTTTTAGAGATATGGAACAAGAGATGATCAGGATGAGCAACACTAGTGGTAGAAGTGTGACCACGAAACAAGTTTGAAATCAGAGCCGGCAGGGGGACAGGTCTGATATTAGTGTGGATGGAACTAAACACTACTGTACTGCAAGTCTAACTGATAAGGAACAAGGAGAAAAGCGGAGAAACCACAGATCACATCAACAGTCAAGGGAACTGGTCCGAGTCAGGTCTGTGTAGAGGCGAGCGCATTCACAGTAAGACACACGGTTTACTCTCCTGAAAATGGAAAGTGTGTACTCCACAAGTGACCTATCCTTGTCTGTTATTCTGCTTTAATGTGAACTATGACATTGAAGTTTACCACTGAGTGACGAATAAAGATATATCTATTCTTATCTCAAAAGAAAGGGATTTGACATGTTTGCTCCTGCAGCAGACCACATGGACCTGAAGCATAATAATGTAGAGCAGGCATGTCCAAACTCAGGCCTGGGGGACGATTGCGGCCCTCTGTGTCATTTTATGTGGCCCTCTGCCTTGCCTAATGACCTAATTAGTCTTTGAGATCATAAAAACAAGTTTACTGTGTCAGCCAATGTAGACCTCGTTCTAAAGCCCAGAACATCTAGAATTCGGTCGTCAACTTTATTTGTACTGACGTGGTTTTTGTCACACACTTTTGTTAATGGTGCTACTGTAGCTGGTGAGATGGTAAACATTTGTCATTCAGCCAACTTCAGCTCTCTTATAGATAATCATACATCTCAGAATAGCTCGATGCCAGGCAAGACAGTTTTTCAGTCTGTGATTTCGGCCCCTGGACTAGTCTGCTGAATTAAAGTGGACCCCCTAAAAAGTGTTTGGACACCTCTGATATAGAGCACCACATCTGTCCTAGAGAGTTGTGTCAGAAAAATCCAAACCGCAATCTCAAGTTTTGTTGATCGCAATTATCAGCATCTATATTCAAACTAGTCCACACTAATAATGAGACAGTGACAGTGAAGGGCTGAAGAGGAAGCAGAGCGTGGAACCAGGCATGGGCTGGGGCAAGGTGGCTACAGGGGAAGGGGCCAGCTGTGGTGGTCCGAGGACTGAGGGGGGAGTAATGGTGGTGTGCATATGTGAGTATAGTAATAACTCAAACATGAATCGCAAAGAGATAATGATGAATAAGAGAAAACAACAACATGAACAAAAGCCAAGGACAGAAGAGTTTTGGACCTGTTTATTTTATTATTTAGGAGAAATAATATGATCGCATGTGTTCTGTGAACGTGGCGTTTCCCTCAAGTCTTAAAAAATGTGTGAATGTTTTTGATTGATTTCCATTCAAGAAGACAAGAGGCTAAAAGCTTTTTCCCAAAGCACGTTATTGCGGTTCCATGAGAGTAAGTCAGTTCCCCCTGTGGTCAGTGTTATATTTACAGCTCCACAGTGCCCCTTGTGGTCAGTGTTATACACACAGAACGTGGTAAATTTCATATTAAAACAATGTCATAAAGAAGACCACCTCCCCGCGTCTTATCCGTCGCTCCGTACTTCTCTAAGCTCGGTCCCATTTACGCCACATCACAATGATGACATCAAAGTCCCTGCAGGCTCTGCTCAGACCACAGAGACTCAGAACAAACAGTAAAACTGCATGTGGTGGAAAATAAAAAACTATTGTTGGCATTTTGGCTCTGATGAACGAGAACGTGGACAGCTGCTGCCTGTGTGATTTCCTTTTCAATCTGGTCAAATGTGAATGTGAGCTGGATCTGTCTCCTCAGGCCCCTCCCTCCTGTGAACCTTGACCCCCGCCCACCGCTGTCATGGCCGCCGACCTGGGCTCTCCTCAGCGGTTCTTCCACATGCCGCGGTTCCAGCACCAGGCCCCGCGGCAGGTCTTCTACAAAAGGCCTGACTTCGCCCAACAGCAGGCCATGCAGCAGCTGACCTTCGACGGCAAGCGCATGAGGAAGGCCGTCAACCGCAAGACCATCGACTACAACCCCACGGTCATCCGCTACCTGGAGGTGAGGCCCGAGGGACTGAGAGACTGAGGCTAGGGCCGAGGGGCTGAGGCGAGGCCCGAGGGGCTGGCCCATGACCCAGGGATTGACAGGGGTACTGAGGCTGGGGGCCGAGACCCAAGACCTAGGCCGAGACCCAGAGACTGAAGCTCACACCCAGGACAGGCTGAGGCCAAGGACCTAGGGCGTGGGCGACAGTAGCTCAGTTGGTAGCGTATTGGCCTTTGAGCCAGAGGGTCGTGGGTTCGAGCCCGACTTTCACCATCAACTCCCACTGACTGCTGTCGTCGTGTCCTTGGCAAGACACTTCACCCCCATTACCTAGAATGAGTCTGGTGTGTGTGTGAATGGTTGGTGGTGGTCGTAGGGGCCGATGGCGCACACTGATTGCCTCGCTTCTGTTAGTGTGCCCCAGGGCAGCTGTGGCTACAGTAGTAGTTTATCACCACCGTGTATGGAGTGAAAGAATAATGAAGTGTCTTTGAGGGTCCAAAAAGCGCTATATAAAACTGATTTATTATTATTATTATTATTATTATTACCAATGGTGTAGGTTTGGTTCCAATCTTGGTGGGGACATTCACTACGACCTGAGTCTACACCCATTGACACGGGATCCAGAGTTTCTCCCCCAGAATTTGTTGTGTAATCACACACTATATTTGCAATAGTGTGTTGCCTTCTATACTAAACTCAGCTGTAGACTGAATGAGAAGCAGTAATAAAAACAGAGGAGAAAATATTGAATTAGAATCTACAGTGAGTAGCTCACTACATTGTTTGACATATACGATCAATCTCTAAAAACAATTCATAGTCCCATGCATACCTACAAAATTCCAACCTCGCCTGATGCACTGAAGGGCCTGTTGCTTCTACCTCAACATTCCCTATATTGTTCTCTCTTGGTGGTTGAGTTTCCTATGTATGTTAACAGAAGATTAATCATCACAATTCATAATTTGCTATTACTTGTGCTTTCTCTTACTTTCCAACTGTTAAAAAAGCTCCTGATATGTTTTATCTTTTTTTGTGGCATTTTTTCTAAATTATATTAGAAGGTATAGACAATCAAAAACAGACATTCATATACATGAACTGCAGAATCATTTATATAACTTGGCCAATGTCAAAAGTTACATAGTATTTCTCAATACAATGAGTTAACAAGAGTTTGGCAATAAGTAACAGTGTGGATTTTTCTATATTTTCTTTTTTTTATTCCACTCTCAACCCAAAAAGGCAAGTAATGACTCACAGGGTTCTCAAGTATGCAAAATAAAAACTTAAATGACCTGTTGTGGTGTGTTTTGCGCACAACCAGCATGCATCGTTAACGCAATGGAAAATTTAGGTATCCGAGCTTTAATTTCGGGAGCGCTGGTTGCGCTTTGGGAAGAGTCAGGGGAGAGACATGTCAGAGACACAGGGGAGAAACGGGGGAGATACGAGGGAGACCCGCACTTGCAACATGGTTCTGTCTGCATATGGTCCGAGCTCGGTACCATGTTAGAGCTGTGCTTTCACTGAGCGCCGCGGCTGTCATTACAAAGCGGCAGCAGCTGCACCAGGACGTGCACATTCGAGTGCATCGCTTGAATGTGCTTAGAGCAAATAACAGCAAGTGCCCGCTGTCACACATTTCACAGAAATTACATTATCGGCAGATAAAGGTTGTGAATCGTGGATCCGTGGAATATTTTCATCCCTAGTTTATCCTGATTCACACAACACACCCACTTATACATTTTGGATAATAAGAGCACAATAAGTATTTTCTCAGCCTTTCAACCAACCTGTTTCTTTATTGGAGCCAGTTCTGTTCTGTCTCTGTGCCGTGTGAGCTCCTCGGAACATTAAACAGTGCGCTGACAGATTAGAAATAACGTAAGTACTTTGAATGGTAATAGATCTACAGTACTTTCCTCTGATTACTCACGTGCTACAACGCTCAGGGAACAAAAAAAACCACTTGCTTCACGCTGGCTAACTTTTAAAAATTAAACAGTTGCTCAGTGCTTCAGTTTGGCGCTGAAGAAGACAGCCAATCACTGCAGAGAACGGAACGGGTCACGTGCTGCTGCTGCTGCTGTTGCTCTGGAGGCGAGGAGGAGGCGCGACGTGTGCACAAACGGAAGACATGTGTCCCGGACCGTCCGGGTCACGGGACATCATGTCATTTTGGTGGGGACTTTTTAGTCCTCACCAAATATTGGTGGGGACATGTCCCCATGGTCCCCATGGTCCCCACGCAAACCTACGCCCTTGATTATTACTAGGTTGAAGGACTGACCCAGTTTTGTTGTTAACAGAACCGACTGTGGCAAAGAGATCACCGGGATCAGAGGGCGATCCAGCCAGACGCAGCCTGTTATAATGAGGTCAGTTATACACACACCGGACACACGCACACACAACAATATTCACGCACAACAACACAACAACACACATGTGCACAAACACATGCATACACACAATGACACAAACACGCATACACACACAACATACAAATACAAACACATATTAGTCCAGCTGTAACTCTTGACTCCGCCCACAGCTCGTGCCTCCACTGGGCATGCTCAGTAACCCTATGAACGCCGTCACCACCAAGTTTGTCCGAACGTCAACGAATAAAGTCAAGTGTCCAGTATTCGTCATCAGGGTGAGTGCTGCTGCCCTCTGCTAAAGCTCTGGTTTGTGTCTCTAGCTTCAGTTTATGAGGCTAAAGACTTATATATATGAGTCATAACACATGTAGTTAGTCAAACAGAAGAGTCTTGCAAAATCTTTTGTTTAAAACCGAGCCGTGTGAGTCAATATTTTACTCTTTGAGCTGAGAGCTGATTGAAGGTGGTCCTTTTTTTTCACCTTTTGTCTGAAAAAGCTGAACTTTGTTAATATTACGTATCCTAGTTTTAATGTACCCAGCTTTAAATGCACATACACCTGTTTAATGTTATATACCCCTATTTCAAAGTTACGTAGCCCTGCTTTAAAGTTACGTAACCCTCCTTTAAAGTTGCATAGCCCTGCTTTTAAGTTGTGTAACCCTTCTTTAAATGTATGTAGCCTTGCTTTACCTGGTTCCTCTCCTCAGTGGACGCCTGAAGGCCGCCGTCTCGTCACCGGAGCGTCCAGTGGAGAATTCACACTGTGGAACGGACTCACCTTCAACTTCGAGACCATCCTGCAGGTAGCCCCGCCCACTGTGCATGGCCACACCCACTTTTCCACACAGTCACACCCCTTTTTTACCTCTGCTATTCCTTCATCCCGTCTCACGTCCTCTCATCTCCCTCTCACCTCCACCCTCCCCGCCTCTCACCTCCTCCCTCCCCGCCTCTCACCTCCTCCCTCCCCGCCTCTCACCTCCTCCCTCCCCGCCTCTCACCTCCTCCCTCCCCGCCTCTCACCTCCTCCCTCCCCGCCTCTCACCTCCTCCCTCCCCGCCTCTCACCTCCTCCCTACCCGCCTCTCTTACCCCCTCTTGCCTCCTCTCTCCTCAGGCCCACGACAGCCCGGTGCGAGCCATGACCTGGTCTCATAACGACATGTGGATGTTAACGGCCGACCACGGAGGCTACGTCAAGTACTGGCAGAGCAACATGAACAACGTCAAGATGTTTCAGGCACATAAGGAGGCCATCAGGGAGGCCAGGTGAGGAGGAGGAGGGCCATAAGGAGGCCATCAGGGAGGCCAGGTGAGGAGGAGGAGGGCCATAAGGAGGCCATCAGGGAGGCCAGGTGAGGAGGAGGAGGGCCATAAGGAGGCCATCTGGGAGGCCAAGTAGGTGGTCATGAGGAGGCCGCCAGAGATGCCAGATGAGTTTGGGGAGGTCCAGGATGAGAGTTAGAGGGAGAATAAAGAGTTCCCTGTTTGACTGCTGCAGATGCACCATGTACCAGGAGGTCATCGGTTTGTTTTTTATTGCAACAGTTTCTCTCCGACCGACAACAAGTTTGCCACATGCTCCGATGATGGAACTGTTCGCATCTGGGACTTCATGCGCTGCCACGAGGAGAGGATCCTCCGAGGTGAGTCTGAACTCGACACCAGGAGCAGACTCTGACAGTCGGGGATATAATGAGAGAGCTCTGGATGATGAAATAAAAGAGTTGATGAAAAGTTCCACTCTCCCTGACTCAGGTTGCCAGAGATGCAGACGAATCCAGCTGGGACCGTAGTTGCTGGATAGACAAGAATTTTGTCAAAAACATATCTATAACCAACACCTTTTCCACAATGATAGAAAGCCGGGTTTTGTTGTTAATGATTTTAGAACCTTAACGAGACCTTTTTTAGTTCTGCGGCCACATGGTACGTTACCAGTGAGACTATCTCGACGTTGTGAGTTCTGGCAACCCGGATCACAGACTTTCTGATTGGTGAAACGGTCTAGTGTGGGACATCAAAATGAAAACAGTAACAAGATTTAGGGGCTGTAAAACTCATTTTGAAATCCAAATATCTCTGAGCTATAGTTATCAGTTAAAGAAGTATTTGAAAATATCATGTTTTATTAATTACTTTTGACATATTAGGGCCCTTTCATGATGACTTTACATGAAAATCTTGTTTGCTACTTTAAATTCAAAATTCAAAATTCAAATGGGCCGTTTCTCATCTATGTAGTGTATTATTTGTTGTAATCTTCTGTCCACTTTAGATTCTCCATATATGTCATTTTGTTGTGTGTGTCTTGTGCCTCAGGTCACGGTGCAGACGTGAAGTGTGTGGACTGGCACCCGACCAAAGGCCTGGTGGTGTCGGGAAGTAAGGACTCACAGCAGCCAATCAAATTCTGGGACCCAAAGACCGGACAGAGTCTGGCAACACTGTGAGTGAGGGACCATGTGACTAGGACCATGTGACCAGACCATGTGAATAGGACAAAGTGACCAGACCATGTGACATAACCTTTTCAGGCACGCACACAAAAACACGGTGATGGAGGTGAAGTGGAACCTGAACGGGAACTGGCTCCTGACGGCGTCTCGGGACCATCTGTGCAAACTGTTCGACATCCGCAACCTGCGCGAGGAGCTGCAAGTGTTCAGGGGCCACAAGAAAGAGGCCACAGGTACAGTCCTTCCGGACCGCTCTGCACTCTGCCCCTTTAAGAAGGAGGCAATAGGCCACAGGTACAGTCCCTACGCACCGGTCTGCAGTCACATGGCCACATAAAAGTCCCTGCAGTCAGCTCCGTTGTGTCTGAGCCATAAAAAGATTTAGACATTGAAGATATATTTTAATGATCTCTGTCTCCTGTGTGTGTGTCTCTTTCTCTCTCTCTGTGTCTCTCTTCTGGGTGTGTGTGTTTATGTGTGTGTGTGTGTGTGTGTGTGTCTCTCTCTGTCTCTTTTGTGTGTGTGTGTGTCTTTCTCACTCTGTCTCTTTTCTGGGTGTGTGTGTGTGTCTCTCTTGCTCTCTGTCTCTCTTCTGTGTGTGTGTGTGTCTCTCTCCCTCTCTCTTTCTCTCTCTTCTGTGTGTGTGAATCTCTTATCTCTTTGTGTCTGTGTGCATGTCTCTGTCTCTCATTCTTTGTGTCTGTGTGTGTGTCTGTCTCTCTTCTGTGTGTGTGTGTGTGTGTCTCTCTGTCCGTCTCTCTTCTGTGTGTGTGTGTGTGTCTCAAGATTAAATTATTATGTCCCGTAGGAAATTTGTCTTGGACTCACAGGCTGCTGAAAATATACATAAGACAGACATAAAAACACAAGTGTTTTTACGTCTGTCTTATATGTTTTTTCTCTCTCGTTCTCTCTCTTCTCTCTGTCTCTCTTTCTTTGTGTCTGTGTGTGTCTCTCTCACTCTGTGTGTTTCTACAGCCGTGGCGTGGCATCCGGTGCACGAGGGTCTGTTTGCGAGCGGAGGTTCTGACGGCTCGCTGCTCTTCTGGCAGACAGGGTAAGACCTCAGACAAACCCCCAACCCTTCTGTCTGAATGCTCCGTTTTCAAACTCAAGACTTACAATCGAGAACTCTCAGATCTACAGTTAAGCCTAGTGTATACTTGCGCGGCGTGGCTTACGTTAGCGGTTGCGGTGGACCTACGTAAGCACAATTGATGTTATACTGGCGCGTTCCCCTTACGGAGTTTTGAGGAGAATGTTGTAATCCCACAACAAACCACATGAGGGCAATCACACAGGAGCGGTCCCATTTACGCTGCTACTTTGTCCTCTTCAGAACAACAATAGCAAACAAAGCTGTTTGAGCTCATTACACGTGTTTCTACTGTAGGTTTTTGTGATAGTTTTATGGATTCATTATTTTATAAGTCATTTCAACTGTGATGCTGTGAATAAAGACACAGTTCTTGTTGGAAACATAGTTATTATTAAATAGTTTTCAGCACAAACAGCAAAACAATAATAGTGGTAAATATCTGAGACAAACATGAACGATTTACGAGTGCAGGAGGAAAGCAACAAACGCAGCTACGATTCAAACAAAGACAGGAACAGTGCAAAACAAACGACTGCACAGTTTATAAGTTATATATATGTTAGATATAAGTTATATATATGTTAGATATAAGTTATATATATGTTAGATAGTCCACAGTCTCCTGTATATCAGGCTCTGAGCCCAAACTGCTTTTCCTTCGAAGCACAAAGCTCTCTGCTCGATAGTGCCTCGTCCATGTCTCTGCTGCAGCCGCCCCGTGCTTCCTTCCAAAACACACACACGGACCAATCACAGCGGAGATTCCTTGCGGCGACCCTTACGTAGTTAGAAAATTTCGATGCTGCGCGGCAGGCGATGTAAGGGCCTTGCGGTGACCAACGCGTTGCCCAAGTGACGTCACGTCACCTTCGTAAGCTCCGCGCCGCGCGAGTATAAACTAGGCTTTAAACTTGTATGTGAACTGGGAGCAGCTCCGTCAGTCCCAGTTCACCAGTGGGGAACAACAGTGGGGTAGGGTTGTAAAAAAAAATGCTAAAGCTACAAGTAATTTAAAGCCAAAGCTGCTATTTTGTGTTCTCACCACTAGGTAAAGCTGTGTCTTGGTTGGAGATCATCTTTACGTCTGTTTTTGTGGTTAATCTTGTCACGTGTGCACCTGTTAGTTTGGTAACCACTCAAGTGGAGGATCCTTAATATTTCCCACCGTGAGATGTGGATTTCTGCAACATTTTTTGTAATAAGGAAACACATTTTACACTCACAAAAAAACATGTATTTTCTCACCACATCTTAGGCTGTTGTTGGACCATGCATATATTTCTTGAGAAATCTACATCAGACTTGTATCAAATGTTATGGCCATATTTCATATTTATTTGAGCTAAAATGAGAGAGTTTTGTCCCAAAAGATAATTAAGATTTAGATGATTGAGTATGTTCTGTAGTATCAAGTGTGAAATGTGTTTCCTCAGGGTGGAGAAGGAGGTGGGCGGCATGGAGATGGCCCATGAGGGGATGATCTGGAGTCTGGCCTGGCATCCGCTGGGACATATCCTGTGCTCGGGATCCAACGACCACACGAGGTACACCTGCCCTGACCCCGACCTAAAGACCCCGACCTAAAGACCCCGACCCTGACCCCGACCCCGACCTAAAGACCACGACCCCGAGGCTGCTCACATTTACAGATTTTCACATACTATATATTTCTTGCTCTAGAATATACAGTATTTTATATTTGCTCCTGCACTATGCTACTATGCTTTATACCAGGAGCTGGTGTTTGGTTCTCACTCCATTTGTCGCGAGGTTCTTAATCAAGATTTTATACTTGCTTCTTTTTAATGCTAAAGTTTAGATCAGCTCAGATAATCCACTCCATCCAAGTCAAATAATGACTCACAGGGCTCTTTCTTAAAAACAATGTTCTCTTTGATTTGTTCACAACATTTTACTTTTGGGCACAGCCAACATTATCATGCATCATGAATGCATTAGGGAAAATGTAGGTACCACAGCTTTAATTCAGAGACACGGGGAGGACATGGACACTCCCTTGAGGCATACCACTGTTTATACTTCTTGTCATGCTGAAGTCTGATATTTTGTAGTTAGTTCTTTTATTATGCTAATGTTGGTAATTTGAGATTAGTTTTTTATTATGCTAAAGATAGAGATTTTGTGCTTGCTTCTTTTTATGGTAAAGTTAGGGTTTTGATTTTATTTTATTTTATCTTGTGTTGTGTGCTCCCCATTCCTTCTGTTCTGTAACCGGTGATGCAACACTGAAATTTCCCCACTGTGGGACAAATAAAGGATCTCTAAAATCTTAAATTAAAGGGTTATTTTCAGGCATACTGTTCCTCAGCTGATGCAGACACTTTGATTCTTTGTTGCAGTAAATTCTGGACCAGGAATCGTCCCGGTGACAAGATGAGAGACCGCTACAACCTGAACCTGCTCCCGGGGATGTCAGAGGACGGGCTGGAGTACGGTGAGTAACCTCTGACCCTGAGAGTGTGACCTCTGACCCTTAACACCTTGTGTGGTGTCAGTCTTCTATCTCTAAGGTGTCTATCGCTGAAGTTTCTGCGTTTCGTCTGCTTCACGTTCTGAAAAGCTAAAGGCTAACCCACGTGCTCGCATGTGCCCACCAGGTCTCCTCTGGGTCAGATTACAGTCACATGTATAGTCTGGGCTCAGATTACAGTCACATGTATAGTCTGGGCTCAGATTACAGTCACATGTATAGTCTAGGGTCAGATTACAGTCACATGTATAGTCTGGGCTCAGATTACAGTCACATGTATAGTCTAGGGTCAGATTACAGTCACATGTATTGTCTAGGGTCAGATTACAGTCACATGTATAGTCTAGGGTCAGATTACAGTCACATGTATAGTCTTGGGTCAGATTACAGTCACATGTATAGTCTAGGGTCAGATTACAGTCACATGTATAGTCTAGGGTCAGATTACAGTCACATGTATAGTCTTGGGTCAGATTACAGTCACATGTATAGTCTTGGGTCAGATTACAGTCACATGTATAGTCTTGGGTCAGATTACAGTCACATGTATAGTCTAGGGTCAGATTACAGTCACATGTATAGTCTTGGGTCAGATTACAGTCACATGTATAGTCTTGGGTCTGATTACAGTCACATGTATAGTCTTGGGTCAGATTACAGTCACATGTATAGTCTAGGGTCAGATTACAGTCACATGTATAGTCTTGGGTTAGATTACAGTCACATGTATAGTCTGAGGTCAGATTACAGTCACATGTATAGTCTTGGGTTAGATTACAGTCACATGTATAGTCTAGGGTCAGATTACAGTCACATGTATAGTCTTGGGTCAGATTACAGTCACATGTATAGTCTTGGGTCAGATTACAGTCACATGTATAGTCTTGGGTCAGATTACAGTCACATGTATAGTCTAGGGTCAGATTACAGTCACATGTATAGTCTTGGGTCAGATTACAGTCACATGTATAGTCTTGGGTCTGATTACAGTCACATGTATAGTCTTGGGTCAGATTACAGTCACATGTATAGTCTAGGGTCAGATTACAGTCACATGTATAGTCTTGGGTTAGATTACAGTCACATGTATAGTCTGAGGTCAGAGTACAGTCACATAGTCTAGGGTCAGATTACAGTCACATGTATAGTCTTGGGTCAGATTACAGTCACATGTATAGTCTGAGGTCAGATTACAGTCACATGTATAGTCTTGGGTTAGATTACAGTCACATGTATAGTCTGAGGTCAGAGTACAGTCACATGTATAGTCTGAGGTCAGAGTACAGTCACATAGTCTAGGGTCAGATTACAGTCACATGTATAGTCTAGGGTCAGATTACAGTCACATGTATAGTCTGGGGTCAGATTACAGTCACATGTATAGTCTGGGGTCAGATTACAGTCACATGTATAGTCTAGGGTCAGTTTACAGTCACATGTATAGTCTGGGGTCAGATTACAGTCACATATCCCCAGGTTTCATGCGTTGCGTCTCTTCCAGATGATGTGGAGCCAAACCCCCTGTCGTCGATCCCGGGAATGGGGATCCCAGACCAGCTGAAGGCGGCGATGGAGCAGGAGCAGAGCAGTGAGCCCTCCCTCTCCCCAGACACCTCCTCCTCACTATGTTTGAGCTCCTTCTTTATTCCTTGTTTCTGCTCCTCAGATAAAGACGCGGCGGACGACCTGGAGATGTCCATCCCGGGGCTGGACTGGGGCATGGACGAGGTCATGGGCAAAGACTCAAAGAAAGTCCCCCAGAAGAAAGTTCCCTACGCCAAGCCAATCCCAGCGCAGTTCCAACAGGTCCGTCCAATCAAAGCGCTCTGTGTGAATCTGTCCAATCAGAGCGCTCTGTGTGAATCTGTCCAATCAAAGCGCTCTGTGTGAATCTGTCCAATCAAAGCGCTCTGTGTGAATCTGTCCAATCAAAGCGCTCTGTGTGAATCTGTCCAATCAGAGCGCTCTGTGTGAATCTGTTTTCAGAACACTATGTGACATCATTCACAGAGCTGTGATCTCTTCTGCCTTTTTAAACCATTGGATGAGTTTCTTACATTGGGGGTTGTAATGTCCTCTGGCTCATTATTACTCGCTCCGTACACATTACTGTTACTATAGCCACGACTTCCCTGGGCAGACTGATAGAAGCTGCGCTATTGTGCCTGAACACTGAACGACAAATCACACAACTCACAAAAGTAGAATAAAAATGTCTTCTTTATTCAATTACTATTTTAAATTAGTTTTATTCTGTACTTTTCTACTTTACTGATCATGTGACATGTTCCCGCTTTCATGCAAGCCCCGGTGATCCAAGATAGCGCCCTACTTAAATGAATGGCTTGTGCTCAGTAGTGCATGGGACATACACAGGGACCGAGAGATTAGCTGAACTCGCCCATATTTGGGCATCGTCTGGTCCTCCCGGTTTACCGCTGTAGACAAGCTCCCATGATGCTTGGCGCCAAATACGTGTGTGTGGCTCTGCTCTCATGCACGTGCACAGAGGGGCTTGGCCGCGCTCTGATCAATCAGAGCTGATCATCAGAGCGGAGCTAGAGCGGGAACGAAATGAGCAGAGTTTGTTCTATTAAAGTGTGGATTCATAGATAGCCGAGGATTTAAGAAGAAAAAAGTCAGGATGACAAGGGACAAGGTTCTCTGTCAGCTGAGGTGGAGCTGTTTTAGTTTACATTGAGTTCTATGAGATTTTTTTTCTGGGTAGCCCTCTTGAATTTATTCTGCAGTACCACGGGCGCCCCCTGTGCCCATAGGTGGGACAGCTGTAAGCTAGTAATACCCTATCCAGTTATTATTATAGATCCATGCTTTCAAACTGCTGTTTCATTCGTATCTGTTCTACATGAGGTTTGAATATTGAGCTCCGCCTCTCTCCTCAGGCTTGGGCTGAGAATAAGGTCCCTCTGGCTCCTCCCCCTGGAATGGGCCCCGACCGAAAACTCGACCAGGGCCAAAACCCAAGTGACATGGGCCCAATGCAGTTCCAGAACCCACAAATGATGCAGGTACACAACTGCTATACAACTACTACACAAAAGTTACACAAGTACTGCACACTACTACAGGAACTGTGTCTATACACACACACACACACACACACACACACACACACACACACACACACACACACACACACACATACAAACATGCACACACTAACATACATAAAATTACTCTTTCTGTCGCAGATGAAGATGAACCCAGACATGGGCCCCCCTCCGGGCCCAGGGCACGGTGGCCCTGGGGGTCCCATGGGGCAGTTCCCTGGGGGCCCAGGGTCTGGGGGGCCTCCTCAAGGCTTTAACCCCAAAATGGGCCCCGGAGGGCCACCCTTCATGGGCCCTGGACACATGGACATGCAGCGTCACTCTGGACCCCCCAGGAACATGGGCCCCCAGGGGCCTCATGGCATGGGCCCCCCCAGGGTTATGATGGGCCCTCCTCCGAGAGGTATGGGCCCCCACGACCAACAGATGGGCCCTCAGGGAAACATGATGGGCCACCCCAGAGGCCATGGCCCCAACAACTTCATGCAGGGACCAGGGAACATGGGCTCCCAAGGGCCTGGAAACATGGGTCCCCAGGGACCAGGAAACATGGGATCCCAAGGGCCTGGAAACATGGGGCCCCAAGGGCCTGGGAACATGGGGCCCCAGGGACCTGGAAACATGGGACCCCAAGGGCCTGGGAACATGGGGCCCCAAGGGCCTGGGAACATGGGGCCCCAGGGACCTGGAAACATGGGACCCCAGGGACCTGGAAACATGGGACCCCAAGGGCCTGGAAACATGGGGCCCCAAGGGCCTGGGAACATGGGCCCCCAGAGGCCCTTCATGCACCAGGTCAGTGTGCGCAAATGTGATGTGAAGTATATGTAAATCTGTTTAAACATTCTGTTAAAACTGAACTGTGTGTAGGGGCAGAACCAGGGGCCAATGATGCACGGCATGGGCCCCCAGGGGCAACAGGGGCACCAGGGGCCTAACAACGGTACATGTTTGAAATAAAGTTTCTAAAGTTCAACATTATTTTTGTCAGTCTGAAGCACAGATGTGTTCATGGTGTTTATGGTCCTGGTTTAACCTGTGCTTTGCTGCAGACCCCCGGGGGCCCCCACACCACATGGGCTCCTCTCAGGACCAGTACTGGGAGCAGGACTATGACTCTGGGAAGGACTGGAGGCCCCAAGGCTTTGGAGGAGGGGGCCGGGGCCACAGGGGCGGAAATGGCGGAAACTGGGGTCCCGAGGGCTTCGGTGGGGAATTCAGAGGGGGCCGTGGGTGAGTCCTACTGAGCTGTAGAAGAGGGCCCTGGGCCCCTAAGACCTTCATTGACTCAGAATTTTGCAGGTTCAGAGGGGGGGGCCGCGGGGGCCACAACAGAGGTTTCCAGGAAGAGTATGGGTCCCAAGACGAAGGCTTCGATGAGTCTGAAGACAGAAACTGTGGCTGGAACGGGAGAGGAGGCCCCAGAGGAGGCCCCCGAGGAGGAGGGCCTTCCAGAGGAGGAGGTGAGAACTGCACTTTAGTTCTGCAGCAGCAGCAGTATCTAACCCAGTGTGTGTGCTCAGGACATGACGGCTTCCAGGGGCCCATGATGGACCAGGGAGGCCGGTCGGGGTCTCTGCAGGAGATGGACATGTCCTCACTGCCCCCAAGAAAGCGGCCCTGGCAGGAAGGCCCCGGGACAGAGGAGGGCCCAGAGGGTGAGACACACATACACACAAGAGTTTGGGGTCGCACAACATGTTCAACAGAAGAACTGGGGGATTGAGGGCCCAGAACCCACAGAGGGGCCCAGAACCCACAGAGGGGCCCAGGTCTCGTGGGCTTACACATTGCCTGAACTAATAAGAATTGTGTTTCAGGTCGACCACGTGAAGACGGAGGATTTGGGCCCCCACCAGGACGTGGACGAGGTTGGGGTCCCCGGTCCAGAGGAGGGCCCCCCATGAGAAGAGGGAGGGGCCGCTAGTAACACATGAACTGGACATTTGTAAATTTGGGTTTTGGTCGTCGTATTTGACACTCGGGCTCAGCAGCGCCACCTGCAGCCCGAGCGTGTTTGTAAATATGTGTATGTGCAGCGGGACGAGCGTCATGTTTCATTTTTAATAATAAAATACAATCACTGATGACGTTTGGGTCGTTCGTCTGTTCGAGACGACACAAAAACTCTTTATTTTTGTAAATTATATATATTATTTATATAAATATTTTTTTTTTACCTTTGTGCTACCTCAGGTCAAATTGACCCACCACAGTGATTTTATTAATAGTCTACATATTTTAGCAAAATTTTGATGTTTTTCCTAACTAGACCTGTCCTGAGTCATGTAGACCCTCATTTACGGTATTTAATCATCAGTGGTGGGTTCTACCCCGGGAACAGAAGGGTTAAACACATTCTTGGACGAAGTAGGTTGACCTTGGGTTTCTGTTTGGTTCAGTTCAGTTCTGTTCGGCCCATCTGCTCTCTGATAGTTTTCTTGTTTCCATAGAGACAAACGACTTGGATTAAACTTTAATGACAAAATAATGTTACAATATCTGGAATGTGCAAATGGCCACATGGTGGCGCTACAGTCTTGGAGTCCACAGCCTGTACCCCACAGATCTGGCTCATCACACTCCCTGCTCCCCCGTCCACAGATTGGGCTGGTCTCGTCAAACCGGCAGAACACTCTTTCCACTGACGCCTCGCCGCACCGCAGACGTGACCAGTCCACTCATGAAGCGCAGACCTGCTGCTCCTCCAGGGACCAGAGACACAGCTGCTCCCAACAACAGCACCACCTGCAGGCGACATGCAGCATTACAGCCTGTGTCTCAAATACACAACACCACAGCAGCCTGACCTGTGTGGAGGCGCCCAGTGCGGTCAGCACCGTACTGCGCATGCTCAGAGCGGCGTATAGCGTCCCCCCCAGGGCACACAGGTAAACTGCAGCTACCGGAGTCATGAGCAGCGAGCGCAACACCGCGGCCCCGCGCAGCGTCACCAGCGCCGCTACTGCAAACACGGAACCTGAGACAAGACACAGATCCAAGCTTTAAACACTGAGACAGACAAACTGTCGGCTCAGGGACAGTTTGTGTTTTTAAGAAAGTTTATAATGGGACTTCCTGACCTCAAACTGCTAGAATTCCACTGTTGTAGAATGTTAATTTTGTTATTTTGTTTCCACACAACTTTGATGACAAAGTTTAATGAGTCTGGACATAGGTCGTACTGAAGTCGGATTTCAGATAAACGGCGCAATTAAATGTCCGGACTCTTTATGAAGCCCCATCCTCCGTAGTTTGGGCCTTTCATTAAAAGTAGTTTAGGACGTGTAAAACCACACAGCTCCAGGAAAAACATGTGGAGAGTTTGGAGTTTAGACTGATTCGTCCACATTGTTTGATTTTACTAAAATAAGAGGGACAGACTTTAGTATGAACTTTCACATTTAGTTTGAAGAATATATTCACTCCAGTGACAACACAATAATAATAATAATAACTTAAAAAAGTCAAATGCAGATGTTCCTGGTCCTCTCTGCTCCTCACCTAAGGACCAGAGCAGGCAGAACTTCCGTGCATACAGCAGCAGCAGAGGAGCGTACATCGCGGACAGAACAAAACACAGCGCGGACAGAGACGCGAACAGCGCGAAGCCCGAGAGTCGCTGCGTCCGCGTCAGGGAAGGTAAACACGGCTCCGGGGTCTGCTCTGGAGCCGCTGAGGACCAGTGGGACCACCGTGACCATCGTGTCCAACCCGCCCGCTCTCCCTGCTCCTCTCCCGGAGACAGCAGCTCCTCCTCCGGGGACAAAAGCGGAGGACTCCCGCTCTTAGCTTTGGACTGCGCCAGATAAGCGTCCAGCTGCCGCTTCAAGTCCGCCATGACGCGGCTAGGCTAACGAGCTAACGGGAAGCTACCAGGCTACGGAAGTGACGTTCCTAACGGCGCCCCCTGCGGGACACCAGTCTCATTACATCATGAGTTTAGACCATTTTGATCATGTTGACTTGACAAACGAGTGTGAATGGTGCTATGTCTTGTGTGCAATATATGCTTCAAACAAAGAACATTATCAATTGTTCCAGAATTAATTTTGGTGGTAGCTGCCGTGGTTATTGTTGTAGTTTACCAAGGCGCGGTACCACGGTGATCAATCTGGTCACTCATTTCGAAAGACAATCTCTGAATTTAAACAGCAGGATCATACAGAGGGTGAAACCTTCCAGGTGTGCCGTTAGAAATGATCCAATCTACTACTACTAATTGGTTAAAATAATGTGATAAGAATATGAGAGAAGAATAAAAAGACTTTTTTCATTTTCTATATGGTACACTTTGATGAGAGTTACTTGGCTAATAAATCATTTCGGATGGTGGTGTGCCATGTGATTGTCTACTTACAACTGATTGGACCACTTTTACTTTTAGGCGGTGGGGTGATGTCAACACTGGGGTTATATGTTCCCTCTCTTTGCCTACTAAATCCTCACAGCCAGGACCGGACCACAGATAATAATCTATGATCATATTTTCTCCAATATCTTGTTAAAAATCTTGAAGGTTTAGGGCACGCTGCAAGCAGGACGCAACAGTAGTCAAGCATGGGCCCATACCCGGAACAGATCTAGGACCAGACCCAATACCAGACCTGGGACAAGACCAGGGTTTCCGTGTTGCGCAGGTGGAGATGAGCTGTTCTGTTGTCAGCACAAGTTTTTATTTCTATACGCCCCCACACTCCAAACGCACAGACACACACAGACGCACACAGGTAAAGGTCAGGAGCTGAAGCAGGAGCACGACTTTTTCCAGAGTTTTATCTTCCACTGTCGCCTTTGGGGTTCATCAAAATAAAGCGCACACTCACACACACACGCGCGCAGCTCAGATATAAAGCACCACTGCTCCGAGTTCAGACCTGGACCTGCACTTGGACCTGGAGAGGTGAGGTGGCGTCTTCTGTGTTCTGTGTTCGTCTCGTCGGATTCGCGATCGGGTCGATGACTTAAGCCTAGCGTACATCGACAGAGAACATGGAGACAACTAGTTGCAAGGCGGCTTTTGGCGACTGAGAGGAGATGATGGAGATGATCAGTTGCTGAAATCGGTCGATGTGCGCGCTCTTACAACTGGAGATAAACAGTCGGTCTCCAGTTTCAGTCAGTTGCCCGTGTTCTACTTTTCGGCAACTAGTTGTCCTCAGTTTCGGAGATATGACCCGATGTGCGCGCTCCATGCGCCGCTCCGACAACGTGTGTGTATTGCGTGTATTGCGCGCCCGCAACAGTTTATGTCAGAAAACACACTGTTGTTGACGGCCAGTTGCTGTCGATGTACGCACTGTTATTCCCGAGACTGGTCTGCTACTGGGAGTTGCCCGTTTTCGTCAGATTGTCGATGTGTGCGGGGCAGCAACTCATATGCGACGAATATAATCAGTTGCCAGTCCGATGTACGCTAGGAATAACGTTTTAGAGAGTTGTGTCTTTTAGTCAGAGAGCGAGTGCCACTGGAGGGCGCCACATTGAATCAGTTTCTCTGTTTTGTATGGTACTCTGACCGCTGTGCTCGGTCAGCTCCAATGGTCCTTCTCCATGGGCTGACTTGGGTCCCAGTCCCCGTCCCCAAAAGATAGATACAATAGATTAATTGTGTTTTATCTCACAAGGAGAAATAAGTCATAAGTCCTAATCATGCGCTAGAGGTTTCTTACTCTGCCTATAGGGGGCGCTCCTGCGGTGGACCTGATGTTGAGCTGCTCCCTCTGCGTCTTTTCTCCAGTGGATTTAAACACAGTCTGCTTAGTTCTTGGTTCGGACCATCTTTCCTACTCATTATGAAATTCTGATCACTGTTCTGGAGTAAAATTTATAGATAAAAAATTCACACAGACACACGCAGACAGACCTTTCTTGCTTTTATGGGTTATCGTGGGAGAGACCAGGAGTCACATAAAACCAGAAAAAAAAGAGGACCACCCTCAATCAACCAACCAGTTATCATACGTTTTTAAGACTCTTCTGGACAAGCCACGTTTGTTATTTATGAGGTTAAAGTTATGGCTTAAAAGCACCATGTGTCGTAACTGAGATTTTGTCTTTGTCTCTTTCCCAGACTTCGCAGACATGATTGGCTCTTCTCTGTGCTGCTGGGTAACGATTGGCGCAATCATGGTGTGGTCAGCGAACTGTCGACCAATCATCAGCCACTCAAGGAAATCATCGGCAACTGACCTGTTGTCCCGCCCACTGCTGCGATTGGCCGAACTGTTCCAGAGCAACGCAAAGGTCAAACACGATTCTATCCGCCATGACAAGGAGCATCCTTTAGCATCGGAAACTAGGGACATTCCTTTATTAGCCATTAGCATAGGAAGCTGTGGGTATTCCTTAATTAGCCCTTTGTTCATGTCCCACCTGGTTACGAGAATAAGGTTTGATTTTCAGCAGAGGAACCCCTGCAGACCGACTTCAGCAAAAGGTCAATAAGACTATGTCGGATGGGGCAAAATAGGACGGAGAAGGACTGGGAAGGTCAAGGTGGAACTAGGACTAGGTTGGACAAGGCAGGACAAGAGAGGACTATGGACTAGGAAAGGCTGGGGAGGACTAGGAAGGACGAGGATTAGGAAGGAGAGTCAAGGTGTGCCCTCTTTCATCATGTGCTTTTGTTTATCTCCTTACAGCGAGCAGCAGTGGAACAGCGCCCCCTGGACTCTAACCTGCTCCCGGGTCTGTATTCTGCTCTGGATTCTGCTCTGGACCATGCTCTGGACCCTGCTCTGGACCCTGGTCTAGACCCAGCTCAGGACCCTGCTCTGGAGTCTGCTCTGGACTCTGGGCCGGACTCTGGGCCGGACTCTGGGCCGGACTCTGGGCCGGGTCTGGACTTGTCTCTGGACTTGACCTTTGTCCTCCTGCGGGAGGCGCTGCATAGAGCGGTTTCCGAGCGTTTGGCTCAACAGGCAACGGCCAACAGAGAACTAATGGACCAGATCGGAAAATAACCAGGACTGGACCAAGATAGGACCAGGACCGGACCACAGATAATAATCTATGATAATATTTTCTACATTATCTTGTTCAACTGTACCAAGTGGATGTTCTGAGCTCTTTATGAATTGACCGTGACCCTGACCACAGCGGAGACTGACCCCTGCTGACGTGTGTTTCCCAAACTGTGGTCTGCTCAAAGTGTGTAAAAATATTATAAATGTAAATAAAATCTTCTGAAATGCAGACGTCTCTATTATTTCACAGTTTAATTCCTCATTTGTCCAGCAGAGGCGCTGTGTTCTCATTAGGAGAAACATGAGTCTTGTCACTCCCGGATTCGTCCCGGAAACCGGATTCGTCCGGAAGTTCAGTTTGACCATACACAGCACTAGATCACGTCCAGATCCATGATCACGTCACGGAATCGGTACGGAAGCGGAAGTAAATACAACAAACTACCTATTCATGCCTAAACTTAACCAGCCATACCCATAAAATAACCCCAACCCAGCCTTAACCCTAACCTTAACCATCTTACTCAGACACCTAAACTTAACCAGTCACTACTTAAGGACTTATTAACTGAACTTCCGGACGAATCCGGTTTCCGGGACGAATCCACTAGCCACAGTCTTATGGAACCACTCCCTCAGACGTCTCTCTCTGATGATGTCACCGCTGTCGCACAGTGATGATGTCACTCCTTGTTGAGCCAGCTGAAGCTGAAGACGTGTCGTGCGTCATCAGTGTCGCTCTGCTCCTGAAACACACCCAGCCGTCAATCATGGTCACATGACCAAACTGAACAACACTGAACCAATCTGAACAAAACTGAACCAAACTGAAATGAACAGTGATCTATGTTCTCAAATTCTCCACGATGGAGACGTTTGCTGGGGCTCTTTGCCGTAAGTTTTGGCACATACTCCTTCTAGTGTTGTGTTCTGGACATGTGGAGCTGATACAGTGTCATTAGCACGAGTGTATTTCTGAAACCTAGTGGGTGGTGTATTTCAGAACACAGGTCTGTCACCAACTGCAGTGGATCAAACCGGACCAAGTGAAAACGTTTTTCACTTGTCTCTTCAAATATTTTGTTCATACGTTCTTTGTTGCTGTTCTGTTGTGAATATGTGTGATTGTCTAAGGGGGATTTCTTAACAGAGTCGGGGTAACGTGCCCTGAGGACCAAACAGGACCAAGGGGGCTGCTTTACTCTCAAAACCCTGGGATTCTGTCCTGAAGAAGTGAGACTGCAGATGACACAGTCTGGTCCTAAAAAAGAATCAACTTGTCGAATCAGAAAACTGAAGGAACCTGTTTGGATTATGAACTGGACTGAACTGGACCAGACCAGACTGGTTTCCATAGACGTGACTGGGATTGTATGAAATAGAAGGAGCATCTTATACCCACCAAAGCCTAATCCGGAATAATTTAGGCGAACACTTTGAGTTCTACGACAGTGATGATCCAGAACATATAAGAACATTTATGGATTGTGGTCATCCGGCTGTTTGTGATTATTACATTTCCTGTGTTTGAACGGTTTGATTCTCTGATCTGCTGTTGGCGAATCGACACCTTTGATAAGTCCTCCAAGATGACTAATGTCATGATTTATAAGGCTGTAGGAAAAAAAAAAGAATTACATTGCTTTAATGTAAGGGAGAGTGTGTTGCTTACCGAGGGGGCGGGGCCTGAGGCGGAGGGGGCGGGGCTTCGTGTCCGAGTGGGCGTGGCTTCTGCAGCTCGCTGTGACGGCAAAGGAGGGAAGGAGACAGGAGGCACCGAAGAAGACATGGAAGGAGCTAAAGAGGCTGGGTGAGGAGACAATGTGGCGGGGAGGGGCGGGAGCGTGGGGGGGAGGGGCGATAGCGTGGGGGGGTGTGTTGGAGGGAGGGGTGAGAGCGTGGGTGGGTGTGTGGGGGGGAGGGGCGACAACGTGGCGGGGAGTGTTGGGGGCAGGGGCGACAAGGTGGGCGGGTGAGGCGATGCTGTGGGCAGGGCAGTGGGAAGGGGGGAGGGGCCTGCTGCTGCTCGACTTCCTGTTGTGGCACGTAGCTCCGCCTCCTCATATTCATCGTCGTCGCTGTCGTCGTCTGAAACAGTGCAGTGACCCGGATCAGTAAAGGTTTTGGACTGGTCTAGGTCTGGACTGGGTCAGCCCTGAGTCTAGATCCGGTCTGAGTCTAAGTTTGAGCACCTGCATAAGTTTGTTAGGGCACTCAGCGTTTTCTTCAAAGAAGCTATACCCAATTTTTTTTTCAAATGAGTTAATAAAAAAGTTGTATTAAAATCCGTTATTTAATGGAAAACTTGAGCTCATTGATTCAGGCCTATGAAAGCAGGCCGTAAAAAGTGCCGAATAGAAACTTAGCGTGACGCAAGCCCTCCAATCACAGAGCGTGGAGTGGTGCTGTTACGAACAGGCTGCCTCCTCTAGGCCACGCCTCCTCTAGCGTCTGCAGTGCAGGTAAACCACAGACTGTATATATTAACGGACAGAGTCACGCCTATCTCCGCCGTTCTAACTAACGGGCCCAAAATAGTGCTCTACTGGAGCTATCCAAAATGGCCGCGAGTGGTCCCTTCAAAGACTTCAAAAATTCACAGCGAGTAAACTAGAGTGGACCAAAAAATTCCACCCCCCTCAGCATTGACACACATGTGGAACGGAGCTTTGGGCCAAGAGCCCATCCTGTAGGACTGTCCTGTAAAGACGTTTTCGAGAGGTCTGCCAATGCTATATGTTAGCATTGGCTAATTCTTCTTCTGGGTCCACCCCCATCGGCCCGGGGTGGTATTGCAGCATGTCATTTTGGCCACTTTTGAGCTGGGACCCGCCCCCACTGAGTAAGCACACCAGCATGGAGGCAGAAAGTGGCTATAACTCCTCTGGCTGTAACGGCAGACACCGCAAAACAGTCCAAACGACGCAACAGTGAGGAAGAGAAGAGGGAAAAAATCATTTAAGAAGAAATCAAGCCCGGGTGAACATAGCTAGCTCACATCGCATCCTCGATGGAGAGACCCGCAGGAGCGGTACTGCCTCGAACTACAATTGGACGCAAAACTAGCGGTAATCTTTCAGTTACATATATTGTTAGCAGTGCGTTGCTTTTGTACCATTTCATCAGTGATTGTTGTACAGCAGGCATGTCAAAGTCAAATACATCAAAGGGCCAAAAACACAAATTTGCTGCGAGCCGAGGGCCGGACTGGTTCAATGTTTATTAACTCATTGCCTGCCAGCCTATTTCAGAACAGGTACTCCCATATTGTCAGCAGTTTCTGATGATTATTATAGATTTTTCAAGACCCACAGAATATTGTGAACTATGACTATCTGAAATCCGAAACCAGATTCTGAAAGAATGGACTGTCTACTTTCATCAGCAAAAATTTTGTTTCTAGCTTGTTTCCTTCCCCTGTAATCCTCCGTCGAGTAGAGGGAAGTTTTACTGAAATCACCAAAAAGAAAAAAAGAGAAAAAAGAGGCACAACAAGTGCATCTAGCTGTTTTCAAACAATCCAGAGCGCTGCTGCCACCTGCTGGCTTGATAAAATAGGCTCTCAAGCTAATCCCCATACATATTAGATATAATAGACATCTGGAAACATGAAAATAGCGGAAAACGCAATTGATGCGGCGGCAGGCAACAATGAAATATCATCACGGGGGCCATGGATAATTCATTTGCGGGCCGGATTTGGCCCGCAGGCCTTGACTTTGACACATGTGTTGTACAGCTTACAAGAACTTGCGCTAATGCAAGTTCTTGTAAGAACTTGCATTAGCAAATAAAACTAACGCAAGATCGCAAATAAAACTAGAGGGCTTCGTGGGAGGACAGCGCAGGAGGAATGAGAAGCCTGTAAGTGAGTTGGGGGGCGGTGCTAAACATTCAACCTGAAAAACAAACTTACAGAAACGGGTATAGCTCCTTTAATATGGAAGAAACCAATTAGAGCTAACTCCACCAGGCTATTTGTGCAGGAATGTGGTTAGGGTTTGGCTAGTCAGTAGCTACAACCGAGTTAACAGGAGCCAATCAGGAGTGGCGCCGGTCTGTCTACACTTGCGCTACTCGCTGCTAAAGCCAAATTTGGCACCAGAGGGCTCCAGATTGGTCAGTTGTTATAGCTTTATATCTGAATTTACAATGACAATATCACAATATAAACACCAGGATCACGGAGAGCACTAAACCACGGATTTAAAAATGGCCGCCAAAAATGGTGACTGTTACACAAGCTGTTACCAAAGAGTATAAATAACAAGAGGCAACAGCCGCTAGATGGCTCTTTCGCAATTTTGAACTGACCTAGATAGCTACATACCATACTATTCAGCAATAACATTATATCTGAATGAATGGCATTGTGCTAGGGACTTAGTGTTGTCCATCTGTTTACGGCAATGGCTCCCACCGGTGCTGAAGGCGATGCTCGACAGCACCCTCTTCTGTTTCTCGAAGCAGACGGTGAAGTGGTCCATGTTGTCGTATCCGCGTGGCACCGTGTCCAAGTGAGACGTGTTGGTGTCGTCAGTGATCCTGCAAACACTCACAGTCACTCTTCCTCTTTTCACTCGTCTTCATCAAATCAACACAAACTCACTTCTGCAGCAGCGGTTTGGCCTCCTGCGGGAACAACAGCTTCAGTCAGATCCACAAACACAAGTCTCATCTTTATAATGAAACAGACTGAGATTTAACTACAGAGACTTTAAGCTGAAGGATTTACATCACAATCCAACACTGTGGGAATAGTTCATGATCATGTGACATCAGCATGTCCCAAAGAGCCTATAGTCTCACATTGTGGTGGATTTTTCCCAGTACCTATGGTTAGTGTCAAAGTCAGATTCTAGTCTTAAGCTGCTTTCACACCGCCAACGCTGGAACGCTGAAGCCTCGCGCACCAGACGCACATTCTCTAATTTTCAAACGCAGGGGTCTTTACACCAGAAGTTTGTTCACAGAGGTGCACCATACGTTTATTTTATTATTAAACGGTACTTCTGCATCGGCGAACACGCTCGAAGCAGTTGCATAAAGTCACAGGAGCATGAAAACTCACATGTTAACAAGCACTATGTCCCCCATTGTCAACCCTGGTTTAGTCCTGATGTAGCTCCTGTTTTGGCTGTTTACAGTAGGTTCAGTCTGCTCGCTCAGACCGCTAATGTCTCCGTGACCACTTTGCGGCTCTCTGATTGGTCGCTGCACAAACGCTGCACAAAGGAAAGGTTGAGCAAAATTCATCTCCCGCATGCGTAAATTTTTCCGCTCCTGCGCCTCTCCGTGCGTGCATTCCGAGACGCATTTCGACGCTCGAACTCGCGTCACCATTGACTTTGCATTGAAAGCCGACGCAACGCATGAGCCGGTGTGAAAGCAGCATTAGTCTGGAGCTAATTCATTTGTTTTCTCTCCCTTTATAGACCAATGCATATTCTATCATTGCATTTCCTGTGTTTGATTCTCTGGTTAAGTAACCTGGAGGAAGTGGGCGTGGTCCTGCTGCTCCAGCGTGCTCAGCGCCTCCTGCAAGGTGGAGGAGCTCTTCTCCAGATGTTGGTTGTACTTCTCCCTCAGGCAGCGGAGATAATCCACCTTCTCCTCCTGCTCAGAGGTGATCCTCTGTGTCAGACTGAGTTTCCTCTGCTCCAGGAGCGAAAACAGACCGTCAAAGACCTCACAGATCAACGACTTCTGCCGCCGTCCGTTCTCCTGAAGAGAGAGGAGGAGGTGAGAGGAGGGGAGGAGAGAGGAGAACATAGAGAGGAGTAGAAAGGAGAGAGGGGTCTTACCTCCACAGTGTGCCAGCTCTCCTCCAGGTGGCTGATGATGGCCTGAGTTCTCTCATTGTTCCCGACGAGCATCGAAATGCAATCAGTGAGCTCCCCCTGCAGGACAGCAGATAATGGTATCTCTGGTCTCTCTCTCTGGTCTCTCTCTGGTCTCTCTCTGGTCTCTCACTCTGGTCTCTCTCTCTGGTCTCTCTCTCTGGTCTCTCTCTCTGGTCTCTCTCTGGTCTCTCACTCTGGTCTCTCTCTCTTGTCTCTGTCTCTGGTCTCTCTCTCTTGTCTCTGTCTCTGTCTCTGGTCTCTCACTCTGGTCTCTCTCTCTGGTCTCTCTCTCTTGTCTCTGTCTCTGTCTCTGGTCTCTCTCTCTGGTCTCTCTCTCTTGTCTCTGGTCTCTCACTCTGGTCTCTCCCTCTGGTCTCTCTCTCTTGTCTCTGTCTCTGTCTCTGGTCTCTCTCTCTGGTCTCTCTCTGGTCTCTCTCTGGTCTATCTCTACCTCCCACTGGTCTCTCACTGTTCTCTCTCTGACCTCTCAATGGTCTCGAACCTTGTGCTTGCTGAAGACGCTCTGGAGAGGGGCTACTTCACAGTCCTTATGGGCCCCGAACACTTTGCACATGGAGCAGGTGGGGGCCCCACAGGACACACAGTAGATGTTGATCTTCTCCTCTGGATGCTCCTCACACATGGGCCCCTCAGGTGGAGGGGGCTCCTCTGGTTTACTGCAGATACACAAGTATTCATAACCATCAACACCAGCAGAGTACTCCACAGAGGTCCACCAGGGAACACCCTCCCTGGTCCAGACCATAGAGCGTATATTAGCAGTGGACAGACAGAGTGTGACATCACCAGTTTTACCCAAAGCAGAAGAAGCTGGTTTGAACATGAGCTAGCTGTAGACAATTTCCGACTATAGGGGCATTCCATCTGGAAGATTAAAAGGTCCTTTTTTTGTCCCACAGTGGGAAAATTTCAGGGTTAGCCTTGTTAGCAAGTGAGCATAGTCCAACTAAGGTCCAGACCAAACCCTGGTGATCCAAGATGGCAGCGTATTCAAATAAATGGTTTGTGCTCAGCAGCGCATGAAGCGACCATGGGCACCGAAAGATTTGTGGAAATCGCCCATATTTGGGCCTTTCTTCGGTCCTCCTGGTTTTGCGCAGTTGACGACCTCCCATTACGCTTGAGGCGCTGCTAATTAGAGCAGAGCCAGTGCAAGAGGAAAACAATCAAAGTTTGTGACACTAAAGTGTGGATTTAAAGAAAAATCGATGGTTTAACAAGAATAAAAGTTCAGGATGACAAGGGACACTAAAGTTACCACAAAATCTGACCTTTATGAAAGCTGTAGGTTCTCGCAGCTGAGGTCGAGCTGTTTTAGTTTACTTTGAGTTCTATGGGAAACATTTCTGTGTAGCCATTGTGAATTTAGTCTTATTTAGTTTACAGTACTGCGGGAAGCCCCCGAGCACGTGGATCCTTCAGCTTTGAACATGGTCTAAGCTAGTAATACCCTAATACCAGTTATTATTATAGATCCATGGTCGAGACCAACATTGACAGAGAAGTGAACGCACTTCCTCTGGCCCCTCCCCTTCTTCTCAGACTCCGCCTCTTCCCCCACCTGGCCCCTCCCTCTCCCTGTGCCTGCCCCTCCCATGACCCCGCTTCTCACCTGGCCCCGCCCTGCTTGTACATGTCGATTATATTTTCCACCAGTAGGTTGCGCTGCAGGCCGTAGACTCCGTGTCGATCCAGGACGACCTCGTGGCGACAGGACGGACAGCGGAACCTTCCGCCAGACGACACGGTGGAGGAGCGCGTGGACAGGTACGGGTTAGCGGCCTGTGGGAGAGCCCGAAGAGGCATATAGTGACTCACAAGGCTTTCTCAAACATATGTTTGCTGTTAAAGAGGAAGACAGGTTGCAAGATTCTTTCTGTTGGACAAAAAACATGTGTTTTTTATGAAGCTAAAGTTACTTAAATGTCAAGTCATCATTAATGGGCCCTAATCTGTCAAAGGCTTTAATAAACCATGCTCTTTCCAATACTTCTTTAACTGAGAACAGTAGTTCCGAGATACTTGTTATTGTTTTCATTTTGATGTCCCGCCCTCCACCATTTTACCAAAGTCCGTGATCCGGGCACCAGAACTCACCGCGTTGAGCTAATCTCACTGGTAAAGTAACATGTTGCCGCAGAACTAAAAAAGGTCTCGATGTGATTCTCAAATCATTAACGACAAAACAAGGAATAAAACCAGGATTTCTATCTTTGTGAAAAAGGTGTTTGTTAAAGATTTGTTGTTGACTAAACTCTTGTCTATTTAGTTATTATTATCATATTCCAAGCTGGATTCGTCTGCATATCTGGCAACCTGACTCAGGGAGAGTGGAAGAAGTTGCAGTACCACTTTTGGCCAGATTTTTACATACTGCACCTTTAACCCAGCTTTAATAACAAAAAGTAGTCCTTAAAGTCAACTTTGCTCAATGTAAGCCATCTTTTGTAATGCTCATGTTATCGTATCAGGAAATTATGTATGTCAAATTCATGTTTATAAGTATTTCAGCAGGTGGTAATACAGTACTATGTGGAAGAAGACATTTGTGAAAGAAATGATGATCACAGAAAATGTCCTGCTGTTTTTCCCAGATCATTATTTGATAGTGATTAGATTCAGAAAGCTGCTATAGTATTATGAATGGAAGTCCTTTCTACTGGCCAACTTCATGCAAATGTAATTGAATATACCTTTACCTTTAAAAAAAAAAAAAAAAAAAAACCTGGTTTCCCCTACCACTAAAAACATGCTCAATAGGTAAAATCCTCCAGCTCTGGTAGTCCTGACCAGGCCGAGCATCAACATCTGGAGATGGGTTCCCGGGCGCTGAACTACGGCGACCACTGCTTCTGACGTAAGCCTTAGCGGCATCGGGATGGGTCCAATGCAGAGGATTAATTACCCTACGGGGATTAATAAAATGAACCTCTACCTTTACATTACCTTAAAATTGTCTCTAATTCTTAATGCAGCACATGGTCAGGTTGGTGAGACTCAAGTTAGATATAGACGTATGGAGAAGTATGGAAGCTGTAGTCTGTTCATTGCTATTCACCCGCTGTCCCATTGTCTGTTTTATGGCATGGTGATGAGACCCTTTACCCAGCCTCCTCCATCGGCACCAGTGGACTGTCTCCCTTGGCCCAGACTCGTGAGCTGCACCGCCTCCGTCCTGCATCTTGTGGCCTCGTTCTACAGCCTGAGTCCTGGATCTACAGCCGGTCCGTTCTCAAGGTTTCCCCCTTTTTTTTAAAATTGAGAAACCTTGAATTGAACTGAATTGATCTTCTTTACACCTTTATGAGAAAATAATGAGACCGTAGTTTGAATGTGCTGAGAAAGAAGTTGTGGAACTTTGGGACAGTTTTTGTTTATGTGAGTTGTTCCAAGAATTACAGAGAAATCTTCTCAAAACTAAGACTAGAATTTGACTTCTGACTCTACCACTCTATGACTCTACCACTCCATGAAACATGCTGACGTCACATGAACACAGAGGCCTGACCCACTTGTAAGCTACGGCCTCGAAAACAGTTTGCTTTTATCGTGTCTTAATTACACTCATGTTTGGTCACAGCACAGAAAAAACACTCTGTCGCAAGGCGGGTTAAAGGCCCGGCCGTTCTGACACACTGACACTGACTCTGTTTGAAAGAGGAGACACTGAGGTTTTGGAGTTAAACAACTGTTTTTGCTCGTGTGGAATGGGACTAGTGGAACTTAAATGGCTAAATATAACTTAAACATAAAGTAACAGCACATATTGACATTTTAAATTGGAGTAGGACAGAGTTGGAAGGACGTCTGATGTCCTTGTGCGTAAGTGTTTAGATTTTGTGCCTCATGGAGGATGTAGTTTGGCACAGAAGTAACTGGGTTGGAAAACAGAGCATTGAGACAGAAGGGGTGGGGGCTGATTCACTTGTGTTCACACTCGCCTGGAACACATCGTTGGCACACTTTCGGCACAGGTTGTGTTGACACGGCAGAATCACCACCGGCTTCTGGAACATCTCTAGACAGATGGGACAGAGCAGCTGCTTCTCCAGGGACTCCATGTTCTGGACCAGCTCTGGACAGGGCCTGGATCAAGTCTGGATCAAGTCTGGATCAGGTTTGAAACCGGTCTGGATAAAGTCTGGATGAGGTCTCTGTCAGAAGAAAGTTGTTCACCAAAAATTCCAAATTACAACTGAAGAAAAAAAGAAATCCAAAACCAAAGTGGTAAAATCCAAGTGTGACCTCCTCTAGAGTCAAGGCCCGGTCCAGGTCTGGATCAGGACTAGACTGAGACCAGCTGAGTCTGTTTTTAGCACTGACCCCTCCCCCATTCTGTCTCCAGGGAAACGTGCCCATACAAGGTCAGAGGTCACATGCCTGGCACAGCTGCAAGGACTGATGGGAAATGTAGTCACACATGTGGAGAGTCTGTTTGACCTCCACAAGTTTAAATCTAAGACCAGAAAGAGACCAGAGAGAGACCAGAGAGAAAACCCAGAGAGAGACCAGAGAGAGACCAGAGAGAGACCAGAGAGAAACCAGAGAGAGACCAGAGAGAGACCAGAGAGAAACCCCAGAGAGAGACCAGAGAGAGACCAGAGAGAGAGAGAGAAACCAGAGAGAAACCCCAGAGAGAGACCAGAGAGAGACCAGAGAGAAACCCCAGAGAGAGACCAGAGAGAGACCAGAGAGAAACCCCAGAGAGAGACCAGAGAGAGACCAGAGAGACATCAGAAAGAGACCAGAGAGTCCAGATAAGTCAGAGAGACCCCAGAGCAGAGAGAGACCAGCAAGACCCCAAAGAGAAACCAGAGGAAGCAGAGAGGGGGAGAGACCAGAGAAAAATATTTTCATCTAACCTTTATGTAACCAGGAAATTCCCATTAAGAACATCTTTTTCAAGGAAGTCCTGGACAAGAGGCAGGAAAAGTTACACACAATTACATGAAGAAATACATTTATACAAACCGTTACGCATTACATACAATTATATAATGATAGAGACCACAGATAGACCAGAATGAAACCAAAGAGAGACCAGAGAGACACCAGACTGCACTCTGGTCTCTGGTCCCTGGTCTGGTCTCTGGTCTCTGGTCTCTGGTCTCTGGTCCCTGGTCCCTGGTCTAGTTTCTGAACCCTGGACTCAGGTCCCTGCTCTCTGGTCTCTGGTCTCTGGTCCCTGGTCTGGTCTCTGGTTCTCACACTTTTGGTTCTAATCTCCTGTTTTCACATAAATCCATAAATTACAGTTATTTCCTTTTCTCCCACAGAGGTTTGTTGACAGTGACGCGCCGGCTCTGTGGGAGCGGCTGAATCAGTGAGAGTGGTGCCTTTGAGCAAAGCACTTTGGCTCTCACCACTCGGTGTTTAAGAAACGATCCACTTTAATCCAGTTTAAAGCCAGTGTAAACCTGGACTAAACTTGAGACTTTACGTCACAATTTTACCCAAAATATTTGTTTAGACCACTATAAAAACTGAACTCTGCATCTGCCCCCTTTTCCCCAGAGAACAGAGACCGGACCAGAGACCAGAGACTAGGATCAGAGACCAGTGACCAGAGACCAAGGACCAGAGACCAGAGACCAGAGACCTGGACATGCATCTAGATCACATCAAAATTTGGATAAACCTGGACGACATTCAGAATCTATCCCAAACAAGACCAGGACTGTGTGAGGTCTAGAGAAGGTCCAGACCAGTTCCAGACCAGGTCCTGACCAGGTCTAGAACAGGTTTAGACCAGGTCTCAGTTTCTGTGGGAAAGTCATTATAGAAGTGAGAAAGACGAGACCTCAGACTAATCCACGTTTACTCCAGGTTTAGTCCAGGTGTGGAGTAAACAGAGAGAGACCAGAGAGAGACACCACAGACTAGACTATAGAGAGACCAGAGAGAGACCAGAGGGAGAGACCTGAGGGAGAGACCAGAGCAACCAGGGGGAGACAACAAGGGAACAAGAGACCAAAAAGAGACCAGAGAAGTGCGGTAGAGACCAGAGAGAGACCAGAAGGGTAAGTCCCAAATCTTTCTTCACATCACTTCATCACACTGCACTTCTACCTAAGACTCAGGTTGCATTTACACTGGACCCACTTCTGTTTCACTTTAACTTGACCCAGTCCGGTTCACTTGGGACAAATTGCTTCACATCTGTTTCAAAAGATGCAAACGGACTTAAATACAGTTTTCCCCAAGTGAACCAGACCCAGTCGAGATGAAGTGAACCAGACCCAGTCCAGATGAAGTGAACCAGACCCAGTCCAGATGAAGTGAACCAGACCTAGTCCAGATGAAGTGAACCAGACCATGGTCCCCTGTGCCCTCACAAATGTGCGTTTTATTTATCTTATATTTTATGTGGTCCTGTGTGTGTGTGTGTACATTTGCATGTGTGTGTCTGTCTGTGTGTCTGTGTGTGTGTGTGTGTGTGTGTGTGTATGTGTGCGTGTACATCTGTGTGTGTGTTTCACAGATGTTGGTGAGACTGAAGGAGCTGCAGGACAGTGGCAGGTGAGGCCAGCAGGGGGCGGTGTGTGATCTCAGTATAATGACAGTGGCTCCATGAGGAGCTCACAAAGATCTGTTCAATACATTCTTCACAAATGGACAGAGTATGGACCACTGCAAACTTACCTACACGTCCACCTGAAGTATGAAGCCAAGAGCCAAGAGCCAACAAGGAGAGCACAGATGGAGAGACCAACACTACTACTGCTGATCAGCCTGAGAGTGGGGGGGGCAGCATCATGCTGTGCACGATAAGCACAAACATAAATAGATACTTTATTGATCCCTGTAGGAGAAATTCAAGTGTCGAGTAGCAGCAGAAATACATCCATTCACACAAACAAAACAAATAAATACATCATTCTAAAAGTATCTAACAATAGTAACAAAATGCAACAGAACAGACGCCCTCATCTAATCTGACAGAGCTGTTTTGTAAAGGGGAATGGGCAAAACCTTCAGAGCTTGTAGAGTCATACTCCAGAACCCTCTGTGTGATTGACAGGTGTGATGGTCCGGTGTGGGGACCACAGATTGTGAAACATCAGGATCTGACCTCAGATCAGCTCAGAGAGCTGCTGCAGCGGCTGACACAAGGTGAGACCAAACAAACACAGACTAGACCTGATCAAAGCCTCACTCTGGTCTCTGGTCCAGGTCTCGTGTTGGACCTCAGCCCCAGGACCTGGTCCGGTCTGATCGAGACCCTTGTGGACCTACTACAGACTTCAGACCTGATCCGACCTGAAGACCGAGATCCGGTTATTAAAGTCCTCCTACTGCCACACTGGTCAGTCCTGGTCCAGTCCTGGTCCAGTCCTGATCCAGACAGTCCTGATTAATTCCTGGTTCAGTCCTGATCCAGTCTTGGTTTGATCTAATGGTCTTCTTTGTTTCAGTGATGGTGACTCGGGTGAAAAGCAGGACTCAGGTCTGGACCAGGACTCTGAGGTGGCTCTGGTGCTCTCTGGTAACACAAGATGGTCTTTGTCTTCCTCATGTCCTGCTTCTTCATTAGATGTGTTTTTTCCTCAGCTCAGGTCAGATCTCTGCGTGACCCGGTGGTGGCGCTGGTGAGGCTGCAGGAGCCACTTATGTTCCACACGGTTCTCTCGGCCCCAGTGCGAGTCCTGTTCATCAGCCTGGAACCAGGGACCACCGAGACCGGGACCACACAAACCAAGACCATGCAGACCGGACCAGCCTTCGCCTCCGTTATGAGGGACCAGGTAGATGTGACTTTGTGGCCTCTTGCTGTGATTGAAATCAGAGTGTGTAGTGTGCAGTGAGAACATGAGCTGTTCTAGAAGCATGTTCCAAACTCCAGAGCAGTCAATCTGACGGCTTTAAGCTTTTCGTTTTGGATATGTAATTTCTCAGCTTATACTGTATGTATTTTTCACTTATCTTCAGGTAAAGGTAAAGCTGCACTTTATTGATCCCCGTAGGGATATTCAAGCCTCTGCATTTGACCCATCCTGATGCCGCTAAGGCTTACGTCAGGAGCAGTGGTAGCCGTAGTAACAGTGCCCGGGAACCCATCTCCAGATGTTGATGCTCGGCCTGGTTAGGACCGCAGCTGGAAGATTTTACATATTGTACATGTTTTTAGTGATAGGGGAAACCGGAGTACCTGGAGGAAACCTACGCAGGCATGGGGAGAACATGCAAACTCAACTCAGAAAGACCCCGTTCCAATCAGGATTCAAACCCAGGCGAAATTGTACTGTAATTATTGTACTGTAATTATTTTATCTTTTGTGTATTCAAGTATTTCTATCTTTAACTCCCAGACTTGGCGACCAACTTTCTTTGGGAGTTGAAGCCACTTTTCAAGGTGCTGGTCCTGGACTGGTCCTGGACTGGTCTGGTTCTGGGCTGGGTCTGGTTCAGAGTTTTCCACCAGATAAAGCTAGTGGGGTGGTCCCGCCGGCGAGGCATCAACGCAGCGTCCATTGGCACGAGACAAACTAAATTTCAACTGCATGGGTTTAGAAAATCAGCCGTACTTTCACGCAGGCAGAAAGTTGTGGGCGAGCTTCGATGCTAACGAGTTTAAGCTGCGCCACTGCTGTATTATCTCATTAACCAGTACTTCTGTATCGGCAAACTCGTTAGCAGCACTTGTTTACAGTCACGGGAGAATGAGAATGGAGGCATATGTTCACACTGTAAACATAAGCCTTTAGTCCTGGTTGAACTCATGTTTTGGTTGTTTTGTGTGTCTTCGTCTTCTTGCTCTGACCGGCTTGTTTCCACGTGACCACAAGCCGGTCAAGTTCAACATTGTTCATCTCAAACAACACGTCTGCCGCAACACACATGCAAATACTCGCACGGATGCACGTCACCATTGACTTTGCATTGATACTGGACGCAACGCATGGTCCGATGCGAAGGCCCTGTTGGTGTTACCATAGAAACACACTGTTTCCTTGCAGCAGTTAACAACCATCATTAGCATTTGCCTTTCAACAAACCTTTGCTGTATCTTAAGTTTTATTTACCAGTATTTGCACTTTTGAAAGTAGAGGCAATAAACAAAACAAAACATTTGATTATTTACTTTTGGTCTTTTGGGGAGGATTTCTCAGAATTCCATGGGTTTGAATTAGAGACAGCTCTGGGAGTTCTAGTGTTCATAATGTCCAACAACAAGGAGGAGGAAGTGGCGCCTTATTACATTTTGCACATGATTGGCTCCTCTGGTTCCTCCTCCCAGCGTCATCTCTGACTGACAGGTGGCTCTCATTCCAGACACTATCGGAGGCTCTATCCCGAGCTCCGGACCCAGATGACGTCCTGAAGGTCCTTGTCCAACGTCTGGAACCAAACGTCATTAGAAGACGTGAACCAGGTGAAACTTCAGGACCAATATCAGGACTAGGACTGGACTCAGGACCAGACTCAGGACTAGGACCAGTGAACGGCAAGTTTACACCAGCCCTGAGTCTCACCAGTCTTCAGAAGATTCTACTAAGTACGTTAATGTGTGTGTGTGTGTGTTGCAGACTTGTCCCTGGCCCCTACACCCTCCTCCCCCTCCCCCCTCAATCGCACTGGGGCCCTCTTCGGGGGCCTCGTCAGAGACCTCAGGCACCGGTTTCCTCAGTATGGCTCTGACATCACAGACGCTCTGAACTCACAGTGTGTCGCCGCCGTCATCTTCATCTATTTTGCTGCTTTATCTCCAGCCGTGACCTTCGGAGGACTGCTAGGTAATACACACAGAGACACACACCCACACACACACACATGCCTACACACAAACGCACGCACACACAAAGACACACATACACAGAGACAGTCACACACATACAGAGAGCGAGAGAGACACACACACACACTTGTACACATGGAGAGAGGCACACACATACAAATACACACACATGCCCACACATACATAAACGCCCACACAAAAACATACACACATGCCTACACGCAAACACACACACTTATAAACATAGAGAGAGACACACATACAAATAAACGCCCACACAAACACATACGTACACACATGCATGCACACATACGCACCTACTTAAACACACACACACACACACATAAGCACTAAGACACAGACACATGCATAAACACACACACACACAACACAGAGACACACACGCGTACGCACATCACACGCACACACACACACGAATACACAGATACATACACGAACAAACACGTACACGTACACACACACAGAGACACAAACACACACACACATACACACACACACACACAGATATAAACGCACACCGCTCTCTGTGTCTTGTTCAGGGGAGAAGACAGATGGCCTGATGGGCGTCTCGGAGCTCATCATTGCCACCTCTCTGCAGGGCCTGGTGTTCGCGCTGCTCTCTGCTCAGCCCATGCTCATCATCGGCTTCTCTGGACCTCTGCTGGTGTTTGAGGAGGCCTTTTACGCCGTGAGTCGCGGTCCAGATCCAGACCAGACCTGGACCAGAACCAGACCAGACAAGTCACATACGTATGTTTCGAAAGAAGAATAATATGGACCTTTAAACCTGGTCTGGCCACTGTGAGGTCCTGTTTGTGCTGTAGATCCAGGACTGAGGCTGTAGATCCAGGACTGAGGCTGTAGATCCTGGACTGAGGCGTTAGATCCTGGACTGAGGCTATAGATCCAGGACTGAGGCTGTAGGTCCAGGACTGAGGCTGTAGGTCCAGGACTGAGGCTTTAGACCCAGGACTGAGACTGTAGATTCAGGACTGAGGCTGTAGATCCAGGACTGAGGCTGTAGATCCAGGACTGAGGCTGTAGGTCCAGGACTGAGGCTTTAGATCCTGGACTGAGGCTGTAGACCCAGGACTGAGACTGTAGATCCAGGACTGAGGCTGTAGACCCAGGACTGAGGCTGTAGTTCCAGGACCGAAGCTGATAGAGTCATATTCAGACCCTGACCTGATCCTGACCCTGACTCTGACCCCACAGTTCTGCCAGTCTCTGGGCGTGGAGTACCTAACAGCGCGGTTGTGGGTGGGGCTCTGGCTTGTGGTGATCGTCGTGGTGACCGTGGCGTTGGAGGGGAGTGTTCTGGTGCGGCACGTATCACGCTTCACGCAGGAAATCTTCTCTGTCCTCATCTCTCTCATCTTCATCTACGAGACCTTCGTCAAGCTGGTCAAGGTGAGCAGGACACAGGTAGTTGTACATGAGGTTCTTTATCCTCTCTGGTCTCTCTGGTCCCTCTGGTCTCTCCCTGGTCTCTCTGGTACCTCTGGTCTCTCACTGGTCTCTCACTGGTCTTTCTTTCTGCGTCTCCCGCTCTGGTCTCTCTCTCTGATCTCTTTTTGCTCCCTCTGGTCTCACCCTGGTCTCTCTCTGGTCTCTTCCGTGTCTCTCTTTCCGGCCCCAGTGGTCTCGCTCTCGGGTCTCTCACTGCTCTCTGGTCTTTCTCTGGTCTGTCTCTGAGGGTAAAGCTGCCCATTCTTCATGGCAAAAATACCCTGGTTGGTGTAAATTCCTGGACCGCCTTGCATGAACCGCATGTGTTAGACCTCCTCAGAGCAGCTAAAAACAAAACACAATAAATGGCTACTATGACCTCTGACCTCTCCGGGCGTCTAAACTTTCTGTATGTCACATTTTTCTGTAGATTTTCCTACAGTTTCCTCTGACGAGCTGTTCCCGTGGAAACGCCACTGAGACGCTCGATTGGAGGAACTCCTCTGAGCCGTCTGGTTGGCTGAATGGCACACAGCACTCTGATTGGTTGAACAGCTCCTCCTCCTCATCAGCAGCAGTGCATTCTGGGACGCGGCCCAACACGGCACTCCTGTCTCTGCTGCTGATGTCCGGGACGTACCTCAGCGCCTTCTACCTGAGGAAGCTCAAGAACTCTGGAGTCCTGCCGGGACAGGTACACACATGTACACACAAACACACCAATACAGACAAACCCTGGGTATACTTCTGAAACTGTCCCACAGGGCTCAGTCTTAGGCCCACTACTGTTTGTCCTCCCAAACTGTCAGAAGTTCTGTGATAGTTATGGAGAGTGACCCAAACAGAAGCTCAGCAGTGTGGGGCCTGGTCCTTTGTGTTTTATATATTTTACTGTTTTTTTAGTTTTTTTTAATGTATACAGTATATATTTGGTATTTTATTGTCTTGATTTTATTTGAATGTCTTTTATTTTATACATCTTAATGTTTTATTTTTCCCTATTTTTTTAAACATATAGCTGAAAGTCTATTTAAATGTGTTACTTTTCTCTGCAGCACTTGAGATGAGACTTTATTATGTCACAATGGAGAAATTCAGTGGAAACTAGTTTTATGAAATGAGCTATGAAAATAAACAGGATTGGATGAGATTGGACAGTGCAGTGATGGGAGACCCTGTAGAAACATGTGTGATCATGAAAAGCCTGTGTTTCAGCTGAGGAGGACCATCGGTGACTTCGGCGTTCCCATCTCCATCTTCATCATGGTGATGGTGGACTTCAGCATCACGGATACCTTCACCCAGGTCTGTCCCTGACCTCTCTCTGTTTCAGTCCGTGTGTCTGTGTGTCAGTCTGTGGGAGTGTGTGTGTGTCTGTTCCCAGAGGCCGGTCCCTGATTTCTCTGTGTGTCTGTGTGTGTTCCCATTCTCTCCTTGTTCTCTCTTGTAGTTTGTAGCTCCCCCTAGTGTCTCTCTCTGTCATTACAGAAGCTGAGTGTGCCCAGTGGCCTCTCCGTCTCCACTCCTGAGAAGCGGTCGTGGCTGGTCCCATTCCTCGGAGCGTCCGGAGGGTTTCCTGTCTGGATGGCGGCGGCCAGTGCTCTGCCGGCGCTGCTGGTGTTTATCCTGCTGTTCATGGAGTCTCAGATCACAGCGTGAGGCTCCTCCCACTCATCTCAGGCCCCTCCCAACCACCACAGCCCCCTCCCACTCACCACATGCCCCTCCCACTCACCACATGCCCCTCCCACTCACAATAGGCTCCTCCCACTCACCACATGCCCCTCCCTCTCACAATAGGCTCCTCCCACTCACCACATGCCCCTCCCTCTCACAATAGGCTACTCCCACTCACCACATGTCCCTCCCACTCACACCCAAAGCCCCTACCGCTCACTACATCTAGAAATCTAGGGGAAATAATACATATGTGAAAACAATCCAACCACAGTAGACAGGTGCTGCCACAGAAAATGTTAGAGTTTTTGTTTCATGCTGAACGTTCCAGGAATTACAGAGAACTTGGCTATAAACAAAGACTAGAATATGACTTTTGACTTACATAGTAGATGTTTCAGTTCCGGAACACCACAATGTGAAACTATGGGCTCACATGTCACATGAACGTAACACAACAGATTTTAGATTGACCACATCTTTCCTCATCTTTAGACTCATTGTCAGCAAGCGGATCGTTAAGGGCACCGGTTTCCATAGTGACCTGCTGGTCATTGTGGTGGTGGGCGGAGTATCGGCGCTGTTCGGGTTGCCGTGGTTATCGGCTGCCACCGTGCGCTCCGTCACTCACGCCAACGCGCTGACCATCACGTACAAGCCCCACACCGAGGAAGAGAAGCCCCACCCCCTGGAACAGAAGCCTCAACCCCTGGAAGAGAAGCCCCACCCACATGAGAAACCACGCCCTCTGGAGCCTCACCCACACCCACCCGGACCCCTCCCCCTCCTCCGGGAGCAGAGGGTCACTGCCTTTGTGGTGGCGCTGCTTGTCGGTAAGTCAGGTTGGCTGGTTTAAACCCTCGCTGTCTCTCACTGGTCAGGGCTCTCTCTGATTGGCTGGTTTAAACCCTCGCTGTCTCTCACTGGTCAGGGCTCTCCGTGTTTGTGGCCGGGCTCCTGAGACAGATTCCGGTGGCTGTTCTCTTCGGCGTGTTCCTCTACATGGGCGTCATGTCGCTGCAGGGCATCCAGCTGAGTGAGCGGCTGCAGCTGCTGATCGTGCCCAGGAAGTACCACCCCAAGAGCGGGTACATCGCCCAGGTAACAGACCCCGCCCATTTCCAGGTCTTAGGGATTTACTGTGGTCACTTGTTTATTGTGGAAGGTACAACTATAAAATTAATCTGCAATCAGTGAAATCCAGTAGCAGCTGTATGTTTTAAGACTGTAAAACCCCTCACACACTTTTCATACACTATTGCCCCGGGGCAGATGCGGCCATGGCGTCTGCACCTCTACACAGGTCTTCAGCTGGCCTGTCTGGTCTTCCTGTGGGCTGTCATGGCGTCTCCTCTTGCTCTGCTCTTTCCCTTTGTTCTGCTGCTGACGGTGCCACTGCGCAAACTACTGCTCCCCCTTGTGTTCACGCAGAAAGAACTGCAGCTGGTGAGACACACTTGCTCACACACAAACACACACGTGGGCCCCGTCCCAATACCCACACTGCACCCTACACACCTCTACGAAGTGAGCATTTGTTCGAAGTGCACACCAGGGTTGGAGTGCGGAGGTTACAAGTGTGCAAAAAAGGCGGAATTGGGACAGTGCACACTGAGTGCAGGGTACGTCATCGACTCGTCAAGAGATGGACATTTTCAGACCTAAACTTTATAAACATTAAAGGTAATTTTGTCTGACCCTTTGGGAAACAAATTGAATTGCTTCACACACGTTAAAATACATGTATATTAGTTGTTTTTAATTAGAGATATCTGTATAATTTTAAGTTAAATGTGGGTAACTAACTATCTGGTCAATTTTTATACATTCTAAGATTATTGTACTAAGTGTAAAGTTGAAATTGAATGTTATATAAACGCTTGCTTTAAAATGTATTAAATTGTTAAAACACAATGTCCGTAATTCTTCATCAGACGTTTATGCTTCTTTCCAAGTAACATAGCAAAACTTATTTACACACATACTGCATATATATTTCAAAATTTGCATTTTCCCGACGTTTTGGTGAGTACCGCAAAGAATTATGGGCAATATCCTTTGCCAGAGTGCGCATAGATGCAGACTACGGCGAAGTGTGGATCAGGGGCGCAAAGGGGGCGGGGCCAAAGACCTCTCTGGAGAATTGGGACACCCTACGCACTCGCACACTTTATTGGGAACGCGCAAATGAGGGGCGCAAGGGTGGAAGTGCGAGTATTGGGACGGGGCCACAGACACACACACACTCCGGTCTAATGTGTCTGTCCGCAGCTCGATGGGGAGGAGCCAGAGGAGCCGGAGGACGAGTACGAGGTGCAGATGCCTGTGTGAGAATATTGACAGAGAACAAAAGTATTTTCCAGTGAAATAAGTCCTTTATATTTACACATGTTTATAATTACACATATTTATATTTACAAATGTATTTGTATATATTACAAATGTGCACTTTTTAAAAACTCACACGTTTCACTAACTCTTCTGTAATAAAAAATGTTTATACAGAAACTGTTTCAGTGTTCCTGATTTCAGGTTGCACTACATATCCCATCAGCCCCTGCTCCACCCATACATCCTCCAGCGTCCAATCAGGGTTCAGCTCAAGTGTCCAATGGGGGGTCAGCTCAGGTCGGCGATCCGCAGCAGTTTCTGATGCACATACTTTTTCACGTCCTCGATGCCGTTGAGTTTTTCCAGCTCAAAGTACGGAAGCTGTGAAGGAACAAAACCCGAGTAAATCTGAGTCTGAGGCCACACACGCCCCTCACGTGCAGTAGTTCCACCCCTCACATCTAGTAGCTCCTCCCCTCACCTGAAATAGCTTTGCCCCTTACCTCCAGTATCTCCGCCCCTCACACCCAGTAGCTCCACCCCTCACTTGAAGTAGCTCCGCCCCTCACTTGAAATAGCTCCGCCCCCGTCAGCCTAATCTTTAATAGCTCCACCCCTCACCTGCAGTAGCTCCGCCCCCGTCAGCCTCAGGTGCCTGTTCCTCATGTCTCTGGAGCCGATCAGGACGTCAGACTGATGACAGTAGTGCCAGCGATCGTTCACCGACAACACCAGCCTAAGGAGAGACCATCACTTTAATGAAAGCTCTGCAAACACTGACATTACATACACTTTTCAGACATGTGATATCGGTTTCAATGGAAGCTATAACATTAGCAGAAGTGAAGCATTTAAGCCACCTCTGGTCCTCCGGCAGGGCCGGCACAGGGCATAGGCGACCCAGGTGGTTACCTGGGGCACCATCTGCAGGATAGGCCGCAAAATTGCTCTTAAAAAAATAAAAAATAAAAATAGTTCTCAGAGATATGACTCTTTACAGATTCCTCTTTGAGACAGAGGTAGAGGTACTACGCAACAGGAAATTAATATAAAATAATTGAACTTGAGATGATTAAATCCTAATCCTTTTTTCCTTTTTCTTTTTTTACTATATACTGTATATTTGGAGAAAGTAACTTAAAAGTAATGCAGTAGTAGTGTAATGCATTACAATTCAGATACAGTAATATTGTAGTGTAATACATTATTTTGAAATAACAGTAATAAGTGAAAAATAATGGATTACATTTTTGAAGTAACTTGCCTAACAGCAGGTGGCCCCTTTTGGCTGTTTCTTACGTAAAAGTGGAAAGAGAAGCTGCGGGAATGAGCCGGAAAAATGCACATTTTAAACTAAATTGTTTGAGGGCCACGGGAGGTAGCAGTGGTGAAATGAGTCGACAGTGGTGCACCATATAACACACGACTCAAACCTGCGTATTTCCTGGTTCGGGGGTGTGCAGTGGGTCATGTGATGCCGACATGCCCCGCCCTCCTCTGGCTCCGCCCCAACACAAGAGTCAAACTGAGAGAAAAATGTTGGACAAAAACATAAACCTATTTTAATGACATTTTTTGTGTGGAAAAAAACCCCCATCAAATAAAATATATTTTTGGGGCAATTTTTCCTTTGCAAAAGAATCACACACACACGCATTGTTTTGTAAAGAGGAATGGGCAAAGTGTCTCTATTTGATTATATTTGTTTGGTATTGAGAAAGCTTCACTTGACCTGTCCGTCATGTTGTGTTGGTCTTTCACAAAACGTATAAAAGTCAACAGGGTATGAATACTTGTGCAGAGTGTGGAGGAGTCTCACCGAGGAGGCATCGTCGAGAACCGGAATGATGCGTCGAGAAGAATCCATCCACAGGAGGAAGTCTGCATAGAAATACTCCCATCATGCACTGCAGCGACCACAGAGTACAATTTAATGATAAAGCACAGACTCATATGAACCTGTGCTATGATGGATGTGTGAATAACCAGTGGAACCAGGATAAAACCATGTCGACTGAGTTTATGCTGCATGTAACTATGGAAACTGGATCCTCCTGAGACGAGGCTAACAGACACATTTATGAGCGCAGAGAAATGCATGAAACATGGAGCGTTTGATTGTGCTGTAAATGAAATATTTCCTGCAGCAGCAGGAGATTCCCTCTACAAGTGTACAAGGGGCGCCATGATATATTTTCGCCTAGGGCGCCAAAGGACAGGGCCGGCCCCGGTGTTTAAACTCTTTTAAGGCTCTGCAGAGTACGTATTTATGACTGGTCCAGTCATGGTCTAGTCCTGGTCCAGACCTGTGTAATATCCAGGAGCGAGGATCTGATCTTGTTTGTAGAACTTTTCTCCTATGAGTTGCCGCAGAGCCTCCGCCACCAGAACTTTGTAACTGAAAGAAACAGACCTGGTTCAGACCTGGTTCTGACCTGGTTTTTGGCCTGGTTGCGTTCACCTGAACTTGCGGTGAATCTTATCTGACGTCAGTGGCTCAAACATCTGAACTTTAAGATCTGGACTCAAACGAGGTCCAGAGTAGTGCGGGAAGTCCAGGTCCAGAGCCGAGTCCAGGACAGAGAGGTACCTGCGGACTATCACAGAGGAAGGGCCTCCTGAAGACCAGAGAGACCAGGTTTAGAGAAAGTTTAGAGCAGGTTTAGACCAGAGACACCAGAAGGGGTCCACAGGGAATAGGTTTGGACCAGATTCAGACCAGATAAACCAAGTATGGCCAGCTTCAGACCTCATACAGATCTTTTTCAAATCGATGGAATTCTAAACACAATATTTAATGCCTCTGTAGACCTCACCCCAGACTCTCTGGATGAAGTCCGGCCCGTAGACCGTCCGGACCAGCTCCGTGGGGCAGTGCTGCAGTTGGACCATAGACATCAGGATGTTCAGAGTGGCCAGAGGAGCGACCAGAGCTTTGGTCTCCATCACATGCTCCACACGCTGCAGGAGATGCTCCAGGTTCTCTGGCCGATAGTTCAGTCGACTGAGGGGGAACAGCAGCCTCTGGATCACCTGAGGATTAAAGGGAAATGTGAACACAACTGCACAAGACTCATATGGACCAGACTCACATGGACCAGACTGGACCTGACTCATGTGGACTAAAAGAATGAACTAGCATTACAGTACAGTAGCCTCACCCCCTCTCTCAGTAACTCCACCCCTTCTCACATGAGGCTGCATTAGCTCCACCCCCCTGTCAGTGTCTCCACCCACTCTCACCTGGGGCTGCAGTTGCTCCGCCCATTCTTCCAGGTACTTCGACAGCAGGTCCAGGAGGCGGGGCTCTCTCAGACGATGCCGAGCTGTGTATTTGGCGATGAGTGACACAGTGGGCGGGGCCAGCTGGTGCAGCTTCAGCGGCAGTACCTCTGAGCACATGATGTCATCGTTAGGAACATGAGATCATCAGGGTCATGAGGTCATCGTTAGTTTCTGAATGGCACCTACCCCAGCTTTAAAGTCACCTACCCCAGCTTTAAAGTCACCTACCCCATCTTTAAAGTCACATACCCCAGCTTTAGAGTCACATACCCCAGCTTTAAAGTCACCTACCCCAGCTTTAAAGTCACATACCCCAGCTTTAGAGTCACATACCCCAGCTTTAAAGTCACATACCCCAGCTTTAAAGTCACATACCCCAGCTTTAAAGTCACCTACCCCACCTTTAAAGTCACCTTCCCCAGCTTTAGAAGTCACCTTCCCCAGCTTTAGAAGTCACATAACCCAGCTATAGAAGTCACATACCCCAACTGTAACGCTACGTACCCCAGCTTTAAAGCTTTGCAGTCTTACAGATCTTCTCATTGTGACTCGTCACTCACCCGTCAGCCTCCGGAGGAAGCGCTCCTGTCGTCTCTGGTGAAACAGCTCAGAGCTGAAGATCTGCTGTAGACTACAGCTGTCTGCCTCAGGGGCAGCTGCGGCTAGCATCTCATCCAACAGCGCCATCTCCATGTCACTCACGGCAACAGCGACTGACAGTGTGTGTTTGACCAAACACAGGATCTTCCTACACACACACACATTATAGGGAAGCTCCTTCCCCTCTTGCTATGGAAACGTTTCTCCATCTGGTACTTTGCTCCTTCCCCAAATCTCAAGATCATAGGTGTGAACACAGGTGGTAAAGCCACAGCTCTGGCTGCAGATGCTGCTCCCTCCACACAACAATTTCATACAATTATCAGAACTAAACTGAAACAACCAAAACCCGGGACTGTCGTTTTTATTTAGTTTGAGCAACACCTTCCGCAAGACACACCTGTTGATGAGCTGTTGCTGTGGATGATCTGTGGGAGTGTCCTCACTGCTGCACTCTGATTGGCTGCTTCTCAGCTCTCTCTGGCGCCCCCTGTAGTAGGCCAGCAGCAGGAACAGCGTCTGTGGGTCACGCTCTCGCTCCAGTCTCTGCTCCAGGACACGTGCGAGTTTCACCAATAGAGATGAGGCCTGACCAATCAGAGACACAGGGATGTCACCATGAAACAAATAAGAGACCACCTCACAGTTGTTGGAGACCGGTTTGAAGCAGAGTCCGGTTTAACATAGTAGTACAAGAGGACTACTTTGTATTCACTACAGTGATCACAGTCGGTGTACCACAGGGGTCGAGCTTTGGCCCTGTCCTGTTCCTACTAGACCGGTTGTTTTAATGTGGTGTGCCTTTGATTAAATCACCTGGTTGGTCAAAATAATGTGATAGGAAAAAAATGTAAGAGTATTAGAAAGACGTTTTGTTTCTTCATTCTATATATAGTACTTTGATGAGAATTACTTTGCTTTGTTAATAAAGGCTGCAGAGGCTCAAAAAGGTTGGGGAACACTGCTCTACACTGCACATTCATAAGTGTGGACACAAAAGCAAAAAACAGGAGAGAATGTGAGACTAAAACAGATCCATGACCCACCTCTGACTGGTCTCTGGGCTGGTCTCTGTGCAGCTCGGCGGCCGGGTTCAGTCTCATGACGCAGCTGAACACGATGGACAGATGTTTCTGACTGAACTGATCCACGCGACGCTCACACTCAGACAGCAGCGCGGCGAGGAGGGGGGAGCGGGGCCGAAGACCTGGGGGGGGGGGGGGCAGGGTTCAGCATAACAGCAATAGCGTAGTTGCAGTAGTCATATCGGACCATGACTGTCGCCCCCTGCAGGACACTGTCTGCTCTGGAGTGCAGCTGATCCACCCTTGTTGTGTGAAGGCGATTCCGCAGTACAAACCCAACCATCGGTAAATGTAAAACCTCCTGACTGCTGCTGACTACACTGTAAACTCCACAACACAAGTAATTTATTGTTGTACCAAGTGCAACTAAAGCTCCAGAGTTTATCTTATTACTTTATTATCTAATATCTTAAAGATATATAGGAGGATATTCTACTTCCGGGTGGATCATAAAAACTATTGGTCCTCCCAATTGTCAATCGTTCTGCTGATACGAGCTCGTCAAATAAGACCAGCGAGTTTTGTTAAAAAAGGGCAGAGGGCATTTTTTTCCTATAATCTGGAACAATCCTCTTATATACCTTTAAATAATAGATCCTGTTTGATGTGTGCAAACTGATTGCTCTTATTTTCTCCCCCTTTTTTGCTGTAATGTGCACAACTATGGCATTAAAATGTACCCAATGAGGGACAAATATCTGATCTTATCGTAGCTCGTGCAGGTAGATTGTACCTAGCGACTCAGCAGCGTTTAAACTCGTGACCAAATCAAAGTTGTCTATCTTGTCACAGACTCTGGTGATGTCTTCGCACAGAGACAGGAAGGCCTCTTGCCCCAGTATCCACTTTCTGTCACGAGGGGGAGGGGCTCGGGCACAAGGGGGAGGGGCCTGCAGCAGCTGAGCGATCCTCTGCAACGCCACCACCAAGTGAATGTTGGAAACTTTAGAGGGATTCTGGGAAATCCACCGCAGCACCTGCAACATGACAGATGATTGGTTCATTCACACACATTTAAATACTACTCTAGTCATTTCCCTATGGCTCCTCTCCCCTGGTCCTCCCTCACCGGAGTCCCTATTAATCCTGAACCCCTCCTCTGTCCTCCCCTAAGCTCCTCCCTCACCTGAGCCCCTCCCCCTCCCTCAACTGTGTCCCTCCCTCACTCCACCCTCCCTCACCTGAGCTGGTCGACCAGAGGTCTGGATCAGCCGCTTCATGGTTGAGACCGTGGCGTGACTCGAGTCAGAGCTCTTTGGGGGAGGAGCTTTGAGTTGAGGGGGAGGAGTGTGATGGCAGACCACGCCCATCAGACCACGTAATGTAGCCCCGCCCCCTCTGCAGCACGTCCTCAGGAAGCGGACACCGAGCATGATGCGGCCCCCCTGCAGAGATAATGATAAACATTAAAAACCTGAGCTGTGTAACTGTAGTCTTATAACACATGCTTAAAGCTGGGGTCCCTAGAAAACACATGTAGTTTGTCTAACAGAAAGAGTGCGTAAAAGTAAAATGTTTTGAACATATCAGACCCCAGCTTTTGTCCCAGTGCGTAACTTCTCAAATAGATAACTTCATGGCATGTTTGAAGGCTTGAAATTCAAACACTGATTCTAAAAAACATTTGTCTTTCTCTAATGTCCATTGCTTAAAAAAGGGTGTTGAATAATGCAGAGCAACCTGCACCAGAATCCCGTTCTATATCTGACAAACAACCAAGATAAATGATCGGATTGACAAACTATTTCATTTTAACGTTGTCTCTGTTGCAAAAATTATTGAACATGGCCAGAAAACTCCTAAAAGATAAGGAATGTATGTGATTTTATTTATAATAATGGAATATTACAGTGTTTCCCAATCTTTTTGAGCTGTGGCACACCAATACAGTGCCCGGGCTTGGCTGCAACGTCCTGAGCGGGGAAACAGCTGACAGAATTACTGCAAGGATGACTATTATAAGTGTATGATTATTGAACTTATCGTTAATTATTGGCTATTAGCTACATTTCACTTTCATTTACAGGTGAAAGTTTTCTTCAATTCAAACATCTGCTCCATTTCTAAGTTTGTGAAGATTCCTGTTTAAGCCTTCCTGACGAGTCAACATAGCAGACTAAAAAATGTTGTGGATAATGAAGGTTTACTATAAAACCAACATCATTGTGATCAGGAGAATCTAAGGACAGTGGTGATGATCCAGGACACTTCACATTCAACAACATTTAAGGACATTTTTGGTAATCTGCCCCTTATGTGTTTTTTATCATTGCATTTCTTGAGTTTGATCTGTTTGATTCTCTTATCTGTGTTGTCAAATGACTATGTAGTGATTTAGAGCTATACAAAATTGAATTGAATTGACTTCAACATCATCTGTTCTCCTGTTCGCGTGAGAACTGTCACATATGAGGGGCATACTGTCAGTGTCTGGTCTGGTGACAGACCCGGAGCACACGGAGATGACCCACCTCATGTCCCGGGTTCCTTGCGTTTTCTGCATCCGCTAAACGTGCCCTATCACCGGGCTCCTCGCGCCTCCTGCAGCCGCTCAAAGTGCCCTCTCTCCGGACTCCCCGTGTCTTCTGCAGCCGCTCACAGTGCCCTGTCCTGGGGGAAGCTCACAGGGGTCAGCGGCATCATACCTCTACACGCTCCGCCATGTTTACAGTGACGCGCGCCCTCTGTCGGTCACACACTGTACTGCAACGTCAACATGTGACGGTGCAAAATTAGCTCTTCCGTTGATTTAAGAATGAACAAAAAATGCCACAGTTCGTAAACACAAAATGACAAAACAAATTTATTAGGCCGCTCAGAGAGGGAGAAGCTATCAGAAGCTATCCACTCTACTACTGTGCTGAGTCCCGTGTTTGTCCTTCTCTATCTGGCATCCCACTCTGAAACTAGAACTCCCATATACTGCAAAATAAAAATATCTTATTTCTTTATTTTACTTTTATTTTTATGTTATTTATAAGGGGCTTTAATCTTTACTCACATTTTGCTAAGTGCTCAACTGGTGAATATGACTTGAAATACAGCAAGTTTGATGAAATGCTAAATTAAATGGGAAAACTAACCTTTCACCGAAAAATCATAAAAATAATGACATACAAATAAAGTACAAAAAGCTACAGAAAAAGAGTAAATACACTTCCAAAACTACAAGTTGTCAAATTGACTGCTATGAGAGATCTAATGTAAATTCATTTTTTTTTCTCATTTTTGTGATTTCGAAGAAACACGTACAAACATTGAAAAATGGCCCCTAAAATCAAAACAGACGCATACACACGTAACATATTGTGTTACATTCAATTGTCATAAAATTGTATATAATTTTATTCTGAAATTAAAGTAAGTTTGGTCTTCAAAACTTAGATTTAGATGTTTGGTTAGAACATTTGAACCAATGTATGGGAGTTTACCAAGATCAAATTTAAGAAATACGAATATTTTCATCTTAAATGCGAAAAGTAATAGCTTTCCAAAACTTCCCTGTCTGGTGCACCTTCCGATCTGGCAGCTTGCTTTCGTAAATATGGCGGTGTGTTACGGCACAGGACACTCTCACCCCACAACCCTGCTCCTTTTCCTGCAGTGAAACCAGTGTCACTCAGCTGTCGGTGTGGAGGAGGCTCGGGGGACATGGCCCTACGCTGTCTCCGCGTGTCTGGGCCCCTGAGGCGGCTGCTGCTGACTGCGCTGTCCCCTTGTCCCCGCGGAGCTGCCGCTATGGCTTCAACCGGAGCTAATGCTAATGCTAACGAGGTAAACACAACACAAGTCCAGGGCCATGTGGGGGACCAGACCCATGTGGACTCTACCCATGTAGACCAGACCCATGTGGACCAGACCCATGTAGACTCTACCTATGTAGACCAGACCCATGTAGACTCTACCTATGTAGACCAGACCCATGTAGACTCTACCCATGTGGACCAGACCCATGTAGACTCTACCTATGTAAACAGGACCCGTGTAGACTCTACCTAGCTCTATGGTGGACCAGACCCATGCAGTCCAGACCATGTAGACTCTAACCATGTAAATTCTACCAAGGTAGACCAGACCCATGTAAAATCAACCCATGTAAATCAGACCCATGTAGACTCTACCCATGCAGACCTGACCCATGTTGACCTGACCCATGTTGACCAGACCCATGTGGATTAGACCCATGTGGATTAGACCCATGTAGACCAGACTGGACCAGCCTGCTGTGAGTGATTGTTGCTTGACTGTGTGGCAGGTGCTGATGGAAGCCACAGGTTCCCATGGCGACCAGCGAGTGTGGAACGCCCGCCCTCCCAAAGGTTAGCCACATAACCTCACACCGTCCAATCAGCGCTATTCATGTGTTGTCACATGATGTATGTGTTGCAGGTTTTGAGAAGTATTTTCCCAATCAACGCAAACCTCCACAGACCGACGACAGCAAATCAGGTCTCAGAACACTTTGTGTGGATCTGTCCTCAGAACATTCTGTGTGGATCTGTCGTCAGACCATATTTTATTAACCTTTTCAGAACCTGAATCTAAAGAGTCGTCGGTAGGAGGTGAAGGAAGCGGGGCCAGAGAAGGCGGGACCGGGGGAGGCGGGACCGGGGGAGGCGGGACCGGGGGAGGCGGGGCAGAGGGAAGCGGTACAGAGGGGGGCGGGGCCGGAGGAGGCGGTAAACGTGGTGGGAGATCGGGTGACTCCCATTGGTCGAGTCGCCTGCAGAAGGTTTGCAACTAAAAACACACTGCTATGAGCCCTTTGTTGTGGCAACTGCAGACATGTTTTGTCTCCAGGGCGACATACCGTGGGATGACCGTGAGTTCCGCATGTACCTGCTCAGTGGCGCCGCCTTCTGGTTCACAGTGGGGTACTACACTCTGTGGAGGGACACAGGCCGAGAGGTCACGTGGAAGGACTTTGTCAACAACTTTCTGTCCAAAGACGTGGTAAGGCTGGGACCAGAGTCTGCAGCTGGAGAACCTTGTAGAACCTTGTAGAACCTCACCATGTAACCTTGTGTGGCAGGTGGAGCGCCTCCAGGTGGTCAACAAGCGCTATGTCAAAGTGATATTCAGTCCTGGAAAGACTCCAGTGGACGGGGTAAGTCCAGAGCACATCTTTAGCATGCAGTTAAGGTGTCTTTAATGCAGTCGTGTTTATAGTGTCTTTAATACAGTCGTGTTTATAGTGTCTTTAATACAGTCGTGTTTATAGTGTCTTTAATGCAGTCGTGTTTATAGTGTCTTAATGCAGTTGTGTTTATAGTGTCTTTAATACAGTCGTGTTTATAGTGTCTTTAATGCAGTCGTGTTTATAGTGTCTTAATGCAGTCCTTTATAGTGTCTTTAATGCAGTCGTGTTTATAGTGTCTTAATGCAGTTGTGTTTATAGTGTCTTAATGCAGTCCTTTATAGTGTCTTTAATGCAGTCGTGTTTATAGTGTCTTAATGCAGTCCTTATAGTGTCTTTAATGCAGTCGTGTTTATAGTGTCTTTAATGCAGTCGTGTTTATAGTGTCTTAATGCAGTCCTTTATAGTGTCTTTAATGCAGTCGTGTTTATAGTGTCTTAATGCAGTTGTGTTTATAGTGTCTTAATGCAGTCGTGTTTATAGTGTCTTTAATGCAGTCGTGTTAATAGTGTCTTAATGCAGTCGTGTTTATAGTGTCTTTAATGCAGTTGTGTTTATAGTGTCTTTAATGCAGTCGTGTTTATAGTGTCTTAATGCTTAATCAGTCGTGTTTATAGTGTCTTTAATGCAGTCGTGTTTATAGTGTCTTTATATGCTTAAGTCTTTTATAGTGTTTATAGTGTTTATGTCTAATGCAGTCGTGTTTATAGTGTCTTTAATGCAGTCGTGTTTATATGTCTTATATGTGTGTCTTAATGCAGTTGTGTTTATAGTGTCTTTAATGCAGTCGTGTTTATAGTGTCTTTAATGCAGTCGTGTTGCTTTATTAGTGTGTTTTATAGTGTCTTATGCAGTGTTTATGTCTTAATGCAGTCGTGTTTATAGTGTCTTTAATGCAGTCGTGTTTTATAGTGTCTTTAATGCAGTGGTTATAGTGTTTTGCAGTGTTTATAGTGTCTTTAATGCAGTCGTGTTTATAGTGTCCTAATTCAGTCCTTTATAGTGTCTTTAATGCAGTCGTGTTTATAGTGTCTTTAATGCAGTCGTGTTTATAGTGTCTTAATGCAGTCCTTTATAGTGTCTTTAATGCAGTCGTGTTTATAGTGTCTTAATAGTGTGTTTATAGTGTCTTAATGCAGTCGTGTTTATAGTGTCTTTAATGCAGTCGTGTTTATAGTGTCTTTAATGCAGTCGTGTTTATAGTGTCTTTAATGCAGTTTATAGTGTCTTAAGCAGTGTGTTTATAGTGTCTTAATGCAGTGTGTTATATCTTAATGCAGTCGTGTTTATAGTGTCTTAATGCAGTCGTGTTTATAGTGTCTTAATGCAGTCTTTAATGTCTTAATGCAGTCGTGTTTATAGTGTCTTTAATGCAGTCGTGTTTATAGTGTCTTTAATGCAGTCCTTTATAGTGTCTTTAATGCAGTCGTGTTTATAGTGTCTTAATGCAGTTGTGTTTATAGTGTCTTAATGCAGTCGTGTTTATAGTGTCTTTAATGCAGTCGTGTTAATAGTGTCTTAATGCAGTCGTGTTTATAGTGTCTTTAATGCAGTTGTGTTTATAGTGTCTTTAATGCAGTCGTGTTTATAGTGTCTTTAATGCAGTCGTGTTTATAGTGTCTTTAATGCAGTCGTGTTAATAGTGTCTTTAATGCAGTCGTGTTTATAGTGTCTTTAATGCAGTGTGTTTATAGTGTCTTTAATGCAGTCGTGTTTATAGTGTCTTTAATGCAGTCGTGTTTATAGTGTCTTAATGCAGTCTTTATAGTGTCTTTAATGCAGTCGTGTTTATAGTGTCTTAATGCAGTTGTGTTTAATGTCTTAATGCAGTCGTGTTTATAGTGTCTTTAATGCAGTCGTGTTTATAGTGTCTTAATGCAGTCGTGTTTATAGTGCAGTGTGCAGTCGTGTTTATAGTGTCTTTAATGCAGTCGTGTTTATAGTGTCTTTAATGCAGTCGTGTTAATAGTGTCTTTAATGCAGTCGTGTTTATAGTGTCTTTAGTGCAGTCGTGTTTATAGTGTCTTTAATGCAGTCGTGTGTTACAGCACTTCGTGTGGTTCAACATCGGCAGTGTGGATACGTTTGAGAGAAATCTGGAGTCGGCTCAAAACGAGATTGGAGTCGAGTCCGAGAACAGAGTCCCAGTGATTTACACAACAGAGAGTGACGGGTGAGCAGGGGCGGGGGAAAAAGCTGCTGATCGCTAACTTGATGTGCATTAAAGGGGACTGAATACACATGATCAATTCATTGTATTTGTTTAGCCCTAGATCACAACTGTGGTCGCTTCAGAGGACTTTACAAAGTTGCTGATTTGCCAACAACAGAAAAATCTAGAGACAGAGGCAGGGGTCACTTAAGTGTTGTTTTGCATTGGGGGTTGTCTTCACATGGTTTGCATTTGGGTGATCTCATGTTTTCAGGTTCAGTGTGTTTGCTAACACTTGGTCTGGTTCAGATCCTTCCTTCTGAGCATGCTCCCCACGGCCCTCATCATTGGCTTCCTGCTGTTCATGCTGAGGCGGGGAGGGGCTGGCGGACGACCTGGCCGGGGCGTGGGGGGGCTCTTCAGTGTCAGTGAGACCACCGCTAAAGTCCTGAAAGAGCAAATCAACGTGAAGTTCAAGGACGTGGCCGGCTGTGAAGAGGCCAAGCTGGAGATCATGGAGTTTGTGAACTTTCTGAAGAACCCCAAACAGTACGAAGACCTGGGGGCCAAGATCCCCAAGGTGAGACCCAAGCAGAGATGGGGACTTGCGACTCGACTCGGACTCGTCCCCTAAAGACTGAGGACTTGACTCGGACTCGTCCCCTAAAGACTGAGGACTTGACTCGGACTCGTCCTTTAAAGACTCGGACTCGTTGTTTTTGGAATTGTGAACATTGAGAGTCCTGATGCTCCAGATCCATCCATTTCACAGGCTGGTATGGGTGCGCGCTCTTGACTGTGCAGGAATGCACACAACTGCTTGTTGTGTGCATGTCTTTATACACCTCTGCAATAAACAGCTGGATGAAAGAGCCTCCTGAAGTTCCCATGTCTCCCTGTGTCTCCTCCTAAACTCGCTAAATTAAAATTATGTACATATTCCCTTGCTTTAACAGCTCATGTTAGTTGTGCCAATAGTAAAATAATGTGAACATGACAGCCATCGGCTGACATTATGTATCTCATCCCTGTAACAAACAATAGTTTTGGTCTGTGGCCTCACTGTAGTGACATGTTTGTTACTCTTGTAACGAAGACTATTGCACTTTATTTTAATTGTTGAAACTGCATACCTCCTCTACAGTATGTGCTTCTACAAAAAAAATGGGACAACAAACCGGGCCATTGAGGTGGCAAAAATCCCGGGGCTGTTTTTTGGTCCCAGTCCAGCCCTGGTGTGACCTGCAGGCAGAAATGTTTAATGCTGGAAAAATGCACTCTAAAAAAACAATACAATAAAGTCAAGTCCAGGGTCTTGGACTTGACTTGGACTCCTGGGCTAGGGACTGGGACTTGACTTGGACTTCAGGACTTGGACTTCAGGGCGTGGACTTAGACTTTACTTGGACATGACTTGGACTTGCGGATCCAGAGACTTGGACTTGACTTGGACATGACTTTGGGCTTGCGGATCCAGAGACTTGGACTTGACTTGGACTCCTGGGCTAGGGACTGGAACTTGACTTGGACTTGCGGGTCAGAGACTTGTGTGCATCTCTGGACCCAAGACCCGAGACCGGAATGGGTCAAACGCATTTCCACATTTCCCGTGGGACTCTGAAGTATCTGAACCTCTCTCTGCAGGGGGCCATTCTGACTGGTCCTCCTGGGACAGGGAAGACCCTTCTCGCCAAAGCGACTGCTGGGGAAGCCAACGTCCCCTTCATCACCGTTAACGGCTCAGAGTTCCTGGAGATGTTTGTGGGAGTGGGTCCGGCCAGGGTGAGTGCAAAGTCCTACACTCATGGAGCCTCTGCTGTTCTCTGCTGCAGAGAGCCCCAGGGGTCGACTCTGGGGCCTCTGCGGTTCTCTATATTCATCCTCAGGGTTGTTGCTTGGTCCTCAGGTCAGAGACATGTTTGCTCTCGCTCGCCGGAACGCTCCGTGTCTCGTCTTCATCGATGAGATTGACGCTGTGGGACGCAGACGAGGACGAGGACAGTTTGGACAGAGTGAACAGGAGAACACCCTGAACCAGCTACTGGTTGAGATGGACGGTGAGATCCACAGTAACCAAGGCCCCAGTCAGGTCCAAGACCAGGACCAGACCGGTCCTCATGTTTGTTCTCTCTCCTCAGGTTTTAACGCCTCCTCTAACGTAGTTGTTCTTGCTGGAACAAATCGTCCCGACATTTTAGACCCGGCACTGATGAGACCAGGACGCTTTGACCGACAGATCTACATTGGTGAGATCTGGTCCAAACCTAGTTTGTTTTTTTCAACTGAAAGACCACACAGGGACCTCACATTACACCTGTGTTACAGACCTCACATTACACCTGTGTTAAAGACCTCACATTACACCTGTGTTACAGACCTCACATTACACCTGTGTTAAAGACCTCACATTACACCTGTGTTACAGACCTCACATTACACCTGTGTTAAAGACCTCACATTACACCTGTGTTACAGACCTCACATTACACTTGTGTTACAGACCTCACATTACACCTGTGTTACAGACCTCACATTACACTTGTGTTACAGACCTCACATTACACTTGTGTTACAGACCTCACATTACACTTGTGTTTCAGACCTCACATTACACCTGTGTTACAGACCTCACATTACACCTGTGTTTCAGACCTCACATTACCCCTGTGTTTCAGACCTCACATTACACCTGTGTCCTCCCTTTCTTCCCTCAGGTCCTCCTGACATCAAAGGCAGAGCTTCTATATTCAAAGTTCATCTTCGTCCTCTGAAGCTCAACCCGAGTCTGAGCGCCAACTCTGTGGCAAAAAAGATGGCCGCCCTGACACCAGGCTTCTCTGGTAGCTCTATCTCTTCCTCCTCCTGTGCTCCTCCTCCTATGCTCCTCCTTCTCCTGATGTGGTGATGTCATTTGTTGCAGGCGCCGACATCGCTAACGTGTGTAATGAAGGAGCGCTGATAGCAGCTCGCCATATGTGCGATGCAATTGAGCAGAAGCACCTGGAGCAGGCGGTGGAACGGGTCATTGGAGGTGTGACATCCTCGTGACATCATCATGACATCATTGTGACATCATCATGACTGTTGCTATTCCTTCAGGGCTGGAGAAGAAGACTCAGGTCCTTCAGCCGGAGGAGAAGAGGGTAGTGGCCTATCATGAAGCAGGACACGCTGTGGTGGGCTGGTACCTGGAGCACACAGACCCTCTGCTGAAGGTGATGACCGCTGCTGACCACTGCTGACCGCTGCTGACCGACCTGTGACATTGTTGCAGGTGTCCATCATCCCTCGGGGGCGGGGCTTAGGCTATGCCCAGTACCTGCCTCAGGAGCAGTTCTTGTACGACGGCGAGCAGCTGATGGAGAGGATGTGTGTCGCTCTGGGAGGAAGAGGGTCTGAGCAGCTCTTCTTCAACCGCATCACGACCGGAGCCCAAGACGACCTGAGGCGGGTCACCCAGTCCGCCTACGCCCAGGTGAGAGTTGGCCTGTTCTCTCTGTCTCTATAGATTTCCTCCGGGTGCTCCGGTTTCCCCTACCACTGAAAATATTAATAATGCGGTTTTATAGCGCTTTTTTGGATGCTCAAAGACGCTTCACTGGACGCTTTGATGCTCCAGATTGTTCAACGTCTCTCTTCTGTCATCACTCTGTGGAGTGAATGGAAAAAATATCTGAACTCTGATCATTAAGTGCTTTGGGTGACCTTGATCGTAAAATGCGCTATATACAGTGGGGCAATAAAGTATTTAGGCCCCGTCCCAATTCTCACCCTTGCCCTTAGGTGTGAGTGCCCTCACCAGCAAAGTGCCTTCCCAGTGGGGAGTGCACTCACAATTCTCCCTAAGAATTGGGATACCCCTGGATCTAGGGGACAGTATGAAAATGATGCAGCAGACGTGTGCCACGTCACACACATTATCAATGTGTGTGATTTCACCACAGATGAGATCTGACACAGATATGACTTTATGAAACACAGTATTTATTAAAATGAGACGTTTTTAATTCTATTTCATATGAAGATTTGCTATAATTAGGTACAGAACTGATGCACATCACGCACAGACACACATGTACACACACAGAGGCAGACACACACACAGACGCATGTACACACACAGAGGCAGACACACGCACACAGACGGACACATGTACAAAAACACAGAGACAGGCACATACATGTACGCGCACAGAGATGTACCGCACAGAGACAGACGGTTACAGCCGCGGTCCCGCGGATCACAAAGCAAACTGTGTCAAAGAGATGCTCTGAACTACAACATGGATCTGTAATAAAAACATGGATCCACGTCTCTGAAGCCTCACGCCACACGCTGCTTCGGGAACGAACGTCACCGCACACGGCACCAACACACGCTTTAAAAACGAACTCACACACGCTTTGGAGCTTGCTCATGTTCCGCACAAACTTGTGCGCAGGTGTTTCATGTTGTTTTCTTTCATTGTGGCACAGCTTTGCCCGACTGCTGCTTTAACAACAGCTATCGCATCATGGGATCACACCGGACCTCACTTGCGCTCAAGGGTGGTTTTTAGGGGTGTGAAGGCCCTCGCCTCTTCTCCCTAAGTATTGGGACACCCTTCCACTCCCGCGGGCACGCGCAAACTCTAGGGCAAGTGTGCTTTTTAAGGGAAAGGTTGAGAATTGGGACGGAGCCTTAGGCTATATCCACACGAAGACAAAACGCTTATAATTTCAGAAACGTTTTCTGTAAACACGGAGTTAGCTCAGTAAATGTGTGCGTCCATATGAATGTAGTCAATACGCCTGAAAACACTGTGAAACTATGCCAGACCTGTTGGTGGCGCTGTGACGCAATGACGGGATCAAGCCCAAACTTCCGTGACGGGAACTGGGCATGCGCGGAATTTTGTAAACAGACAACATGGCGAGTGGGCGAGCTGGTACTACATTAGTATGGACGGACGATGAGGTTGAACTGTTGCTTCGGGTCGCACTGGATTACAAAACCAACAAGCTACATTGTTGTTGTCATTATTTTCTGAGTGTGGCGCATGCGTGCTTTAACAAGAGGCGGGGCGATGACGCAAGCGTCTCAGATACATTGCGGAGAGGCAGTAACCACGGAGCGGCATATACGGAGTTTTGAAATCTTTCCACTCTGGGACCTAGTTTCAAAAATGTTCGTTTACACCCCCCCAAAACGCCGGCCTCGTATGGACGATACACTGGATTGATAAAGTATTTTTGCGTTTAGGCCTGAGCTTGACTTCGTGTGGACAGGGCCTTAGTCAGCCACCGAATGTGCAAGTTCTCCCACTTAAAATAATGACAGAGGTCTGTAATTTTCAAAAAAATCCAGAAATTCACATTGTAGGATTTTTAAAGAATTTGTAAATTATGGTGGAAAATAAGTATTTGGTCACTTCAAACAAGGAAGATCTCTGGCTCTCACAGACTGTAACTTCTCCTTTAAGAAGCTCTTCTGTCCTCCACTCGTTACCTGTATTTAGGGCTGGGCGATTAATCGATTTTAATCATTAATTCGAGTTTTACGTTTAGGGCGATTTCTTTTTTTAAAAATTCGATTTTTATTTTCTCCAGCGCAGAACTACAGCGCTAACGCGCTAACCGCGGGTCTATGGTGTTGAGCAGTCATTTTGAAGCTAACCTAATGCTAACAGTCTCCCTCTGGCCTGATGCTCGCTCTCACAGTTGGTGCTGTTGCAATAACACTTCAAACGTTCAAGAATCAGACTTTATTTAAATCGCCAGAACACACACACACACGCACGCAGGCAGGCTCCGGTCGCTATGTTCGTACGCCACATCTTTCACGCTCTCTCACGCTCGTTATTCCAAAGCGCACTCCCGTGTCCGTGGCACGCACACACTCGTGTCCCACTGAGCCGCTGCACTTTGGGGAAAGACACGTCTCACACATTGCTCTCATTGCTCTGATACAAACAACGTGTTCCCCGCTGTCTGTTAGCTACAGTAGCTGCTACAGTAGCTGTTAGCTACAGTAGCTGCTACAGTAGCTGTTAGCTACAGTAGATGCTACAGTAGCTGTTAGCTACAGTAGCTGCTACAGTAGCTGTTAGCTACAGTAGCTGCTACAGTAGCTGTTAGCTACAGCATCAGAATGTAAACAGGAAGCTCGCACAATGCGGGAGTCACTGAAGTTAGTATTAGCGCCACCAGCTGGACCGAGCGTTGTACTACAGCACAGTTACTCAGGCACAGTTGAAAGAACAAGCATGAAAACCCGAGGAGGCTTTTGGAAAATACTGTCTGTTACAACATTTCTATTTTGAGTAATCAGTTTTAAAAATGTGATATTTCATGTAAATAATGTATGTGTTTAATAGGATTGATATATTTGCAATGGGCCTTGTTTGTGTGATTTAAGTAATTTTGAAGGTGCATAGTGTCATTGTAAGTGAAGTTATTATAAAACTGTTAAGCTACATTTTCACTGTTTACAGAGCCATCTCGTTTACAAGCATGTTTTAAGGCTTAATTCCTGTTACACTTATGCTCCATGGGGATTTAGATTAAACTGCATAAAGGAAAATCTATTTCTTTGTCAGTTGTAGTTTGTTTTTAAATAGAAAAAAATAAATCGATTAAAATCGAAAATCGGATTTGGTGTGAAAAAATCGGAGATTTTTTTTTTTTGCCATATCGCCCAGCCCTACCTGTATTAATGGCACCTGTTTGAACTCGTTATCTGTATAAAAGACACCTGTCCACAGCCTCAAACAGTCAGACTCCAAACTCCACTATGGCCAAGACCAAAGAGCTGTCGAAGGACACCAGGAAAAGAATTGTAGACCTGCAACAGACTGGGAAGAGTGAATCTACAATAGTCAAGCAGCTTGGTGTGAACAAATCAACTGTGGGAGCAATTAATCAGAAAATGGAAGACATACAAGACCACTGATAATCTCCCTCTATCTGGGGCTCCACACAAGATCTCATCCCGCTGGGTCAAAATGATGATGAGAACGGTGACAAAAAAATCCCAAACCACACGGGGGGACCTGGTGAATGACCTGCAGAGAGCTGGGACCAAAGTAACAAAGGTTACCATCAGTAACACACTACGACGACAGGGAATCAAATCCTGCAGTGCCAGACGTGTCCCCCTGCTGAAGCCAGTGCATGTCCAGGCCCGTCTGAAGTTTGCCAGAGAGCACATGGATGATACAGCAGAGGATTGGGAGAATGTCATGTGGTCAGATGAAACCAAAGTAGAACTGTTTTGTATAAACTCAACTTGTCGTGTTTGGAGGAAGAAGAATACTGAGTTGTATCCCAAGAACACCATACCTACTGTGAAGCATGGGGGTGGAAACGTCATGCTTTGGGACTGTTTTTCTGCTAAGGGGACAGGACGACTGATCCGTGTTAAGGAAAGAATGAATGGGGCCATGTATCGTGAGATTTTGAGCCAAAACCTCCTTCCATCAGTGAGAGCTTTGAAGATGAAACGTGGCTGGGTCTTCCAGCATGACAATGATCCCAAACACACCGCCTGGGCAACGAAGGAGTGGCTCCGTAAGAAGCATTTGAAAGTCCTAGAGTGGCCTAGCCAGTCTCCAGACCTCAACCCCATTGAAAATCTGTGGGAGTTGAAAGTCCGTGTTCACTGCTCTCAAGAAGATCTGCATGGATGAATGGGCCAAAATACCAGCTACTGTGTGTGCAAACCTAGTGAAGACCTATAGTAATCGTTTGACCTCTGTTATTGCCAACAAAGGTCATATTACAAAGTATTGAGTTGAATTTTTGTTATTGACCAAATACGTATTTTCCACCATAATTCACAAATAAATTCTTTAAAAATGCTACAATTCGAATTCCTCTATATTTTTTTCACATTCTGTCTCTCACAGTTGAACTGTACCTATGCTGAAAATTGCAGACCTCTGTCATTATTTTAAGTTGGAGAACTTGCACAGTCGGTGGCTGACTAAATACTTTTTTGCCCCACTGTAAATATAGATTACTTACTTACCACCTATCACTGTTGACTAGTGCTCACAGCTGATCTCCTTTCTTTTCTACCCTCTCATCTTTTCTCTCCTTTTGATTGGCCCTCCTCTCCCTTGTGTTGCCAGGTCGTGCAGTTCGGTATGAGTCGGCGTGTGGGACACTTGTCCTTTGACGTCCCCGTCCAGGGGGAGGTGATGTTGGATAAACCCTACAGTGAAGCTACAGCCCGAGTCATTGACGAGGAGGTGCGAGCGCTGATCCAGGAGGCCACCAGGAGAACGGCGGAGCTGCTGAAGAAGCACCGAGAAGACGTGGAGAAGGTATGACCCAAAGAGGATGAGCTGAGGAGGCACTGAGGAGACCCTGAGGAGACCAGGGACCTGGAGAAGGGGAGGGGGAGAGGAGGAGGAGGTTCTTGAAGTAGAACATGGACCGTGGAACAGGGAATGTTGACTGATTAACTAGACTACATTTTGACTTGTGTTTTCTCCCATGTGCTCTGCAGGTGGCGCTGCGTCTCCTGGAGAAGGAGGTGTTGGATAAAGCTGACATGGAGGATCTCTTGGGGAAGAGGCCGTTCAAAGAGAAGACCACATATGAGGAGTTTGTGGAGGGAACAGGAGGTGATGAGGAGGACACAAGTCTGCCTAAGGGACTACAGCAGTGGAACCAGGAGCGAGGAGCAGCGAGCAGTGATACCCCTGAGGAGGAGGTGGCAAAGTTGATCTCCAAAGGCATGCCCTTCTGACCCATGAGGTGATGAGGAGGACTCGAGTCAGGGGATCTCTGACCTTATCCCTCAGAGCTGCAGTTCATGTAAGACGCCCCCTGGAATTTACAGGCACTGGAGATGTTACCATAAGCGGCAGATTCCATGACCTGCACCACGGCCGCCACAGTCAAACACCTATCGTCTTCGAGAACCACAAGTTTGCAAAGTAAAAGTTCTAATTTAAGTTCAAAATCATGTGAGAGTGTGTGGACCCCATAAGTGTGCAGCCCTTGTGTGTGAGGAGAGCACCCCTTTCTTTCCAAACATGAGGTTGTGGGAGTTTTCCCTCAGGTGCGTGCGTAAAGTGTTCTCCTTGTTTGAGTGACTTGTGGGCGGAGTTAAGTGCACTTAGTCTGACTATCAACGGCACAGTGATTATAGCCACCTGAAGTAATCTGATCAATATAAAGTCAGGACTGAAGTTACGGTGAATTAGGATATTCTTGTCTTTCCTGTTTGGAGCAATGTGAACAATGGGGGATAGACACAGAATAATTTCAGGGGTCAGAAGAACCTCATCCACAACCACCACAAAAGATTCCAAGCTGTCGCAGATAATATAGGGCACCACACGCTATTTAGAACCTGCTCTGTGATTGGCTGCTGCTCTGTGTGTAATAAAGACTGTACAGCCAATCAGCACGTAGATCACCATTATTTTATCATAGCTGCAGTACACAGGGCTCACATGTTTTTCTTCCATGTTTTGTGTATATTTTGTAATAAACAAACTTAAGAAGAGGGTTATGCACACAAAGATCTTAAGAGATGTTTTAATACTTAATTTTTCAGTTAAAGGAAATTGTTCTAAAATCTGAAAAAGGAAATATTTTAATTACACACAAGGATGAGGATTGTAATTGGCCTCCTGAGTCTCTCACACCACAAACACTTAAAGAATAAACAGTTCTTCCATCGCAGGAAGAGTAAAAAAACTATGAAAATGACAACAAAAACAGAACGCCCCACTTCAGCGAACTGCATGGTGCAACTGTAGAAAAGGGGTCACCTTTAACCTTTCCTCTCCCTGTGTGTATTTCACCCCCTGCATGGAACTTATGAACAAAATGTCTAAAGCCTCACGCTCCGTGGTCATTCAGGTTTAACACATTTACAAATGAATGCATGTGCTTCACTTGGACATAATACTCCTGGAGATTCAGTGAATGAATCTGCTCTGATTGGTCCATTTTCCGGCTGCTTGGTTCTGATTTGTCCGACACTGCAGACATTCACCACCAGGGGTTGGGCTGAGAAGCCGGCGACTTCTTCCAGTTCAAGCTCCGCCCTCTTACTGCTTGTCCAATCATGTGAGATAGTCCACAGTTTGGGGCGTGGCCTAAACAGGAAGTGCTGGCCCTGGACAGAACAGGAGTTACAGATGTTACAGATACATGCTAACACAGAAACATACTTACCATGGATCTATTATAATAACTGGATAGGGTATTACAGCTTGGAACTGAATAACCCATGTGCTCGGGGGATTCTCGCGGTACTGCAGACTAAATCAGACTAAATTCTTGTGGGCTACCCAGAAATTTTCCCCATAGAACTCAATGTAAACTAAAACGGCTCCACCTCAGCTGACAGAGAACCTACAGCTTTAATAAAGGTCGGATTTTGTGGGGATTTTAGGGTCCCTTGTCATCCTGAACTTTTTTCTTCTTAAATCCTTCGGTTTTCTTTAAATTCTCACTTTAGTGCCACAAACTCTTAGCCTGACCCATGTAGTTCGCTGCACTTCACACATGAGTCTGAGCCATAGTGGTTGGATTTCAGAAGGCAGAGCCTTGTAAAAGAATCCTTGTATGTGATTGGATAGACCACTTGTCCGTTATCTTGAATGAAGTCTGCTTTCAACCACTCACATCGAAGCACACGGCTCCCATAGGTTGCCAAATCCCAGCAAGATTTTCCAACCCAAAATCCGCGAGAATACCCAAAAAAAGCAAAAAAAACACTTAGAATGATTTTTTGGCTAAAAACGTAATTTAATCAACTTGGGCTATCATGATTGTGTTTATTGTCTTTCTGTTTATTTAATACCTACAAGTCTCTTGGAAAAAAATATGCGGGAACCACCAAACCTGGCAACCCTGCTGCATAGTGTGTAAACCATGAACTATATATATTAATGGACAGAGTCACGCCTATCTTCGCCGTTCTAACTAATGGGCCAAAAAATGTGCTCTACTGGAGCAATCCAAAATGGCCGCGAGTGGTCCCGCCCACAAGAAAATTGTGAAAAAACGCATCTCTGCATGCGTCAGCCGGCGCAACTCCATTCATTTGAACGAGAGACTTCAAAAATTCACAGCGAGTAAACTAGAGTGGACCAAAAAATTCCACCCCCCTCAGCATTGACACACATGTGGAACGGAGCTTTGGGCCAAGAGCCAACTTTTGGTCCATCCTGTAAAGACGTTTTTGAGAGGTCTGCCAATGCTATATGTTAGCATTGGCTAATTCTACTTCTGGGTCCACCCCCATCGGCCCGGGGTGGTATTGCAAGCATGTCAGCGCACGTCATTTTGGCCACTTTTGAGCTGGGACCCTCCCCCACTGGTGTAAACAGGAACACTGAACCAGTGCTTCAATCTGTGGTGCGTAAGGAGCGGAGTCGGAGGCGGTGTGTCAAACAGCGGTGACAAACGTACACGTTTTAATGCCATAAAACAGCCAGTGTTAACAAAACTCCTCACACAACCAAAAACATTTCTCTAGGTAAGAATCCTGTGCAACGGTCCCACTCGTCCCCCCGGAACCCCACCAGAGTAACCACAGTTCCATGGGTGAGTTATGTAAACCACCACAAACCAAACTTTACAGGGACATTTGACTCTTAAAACACACATATATCAACATAGAACCATCAACATCTCGCCTCAAATTGCATTAAAAGTGACATCCGTGTCTTAATTCATTCATATTTACTCTTTTAAAAAGATTCGCGGACTTTACGTCCGCCATCTTGGATTCCTCTCGCTGCTGCATGAGAGAAGCTTGAGAAGGCAGTGCAAACCCCACGTAACACCGGCAATCCTGATTGGTCGATTAAAAAATATTCTGGGGAACGCGTTCGCTATGGCGTCGATACCAGACGGTCAGCACTAGATCATATACGGAATCTCGGGACATAACAGGAAGTAACGATCATACTTTCGAATTAGTTTTAGACTAATAAGTCCTTAAGTGGTGACTGGTTAAGTTTTAGGTGTCTGAGTAAGATGGTTAAGGTTAGGGTTAAGGCTGGGTTGGGGTTATTTTATGGGAATGTCTGGTTACGTTTAGGCATGAATAGGTAGTTTGTTGTATTTACTTCCGCTTCCTTCCAGATTCCGTATATGATCTAGTGCTGACCGATACCAGACCCATATGGTTCAGCCAAACGCCTCTGGTGGAGCATGGCGGAACTACAAGGGTCTGGCAGAGCCAGGCTAACAAACTCTGCCCGTCTGGCTCCTGCTCTGGCTCCTGCTCTAACTCCTGCTCTAACTCCCGCTCTGATCAGCAGCGCTGATTGGTCAGAGCGCCGCCGAGCCCCTCTGTGCTCATGCATGACAGCCATGACAGCCACACAGCGTATTTTGCGCAACGCATCATGGGAGATCATCCACTGCGCAGAATCGGGAGGACCCATGGATCTTTGCGAGTTCCAGTCGGAGTTCAGCTAATCTTTCAGCCCCAATGCCGACACAAACTGCCACTGAGCACAAACCATTCATTTGAATACGGCGCCATCTTGGATCGCCGGGGCTTGATACTTACACAAAAAGATGCTAACACAAATCACTCACCGTCTGCCATGCTCTGATTGGGCGGCGCCACGGCTGCTCAGCTCTGATTGGTCCATTCTCTGGTCCCTGTGCTGTGATTGGTCAAAGAAGATGGTCTCAGTGTTGGCCAAACAGAAGCCGTTGCATCGGAGTACGTCTGCAAACAAACAATACAATATTGATGTATTTATTCATTTATCTATCCATATATTCATTTGGATAATTCACAAAAACATGTCTTTTGTATTTCACATTGTTCGGATACGGCTCTCAGCACTGACCTGCGCTCAGGCAGAGGGAGACCTGGTCTGGACCTGGACTTGGGTCTCGGGGCTCTTCTTGGGTCACAGAGGTCTTCTCTGGACCCTTCCCAGCTGTCTTAGTTGGGTCTCTAGTCCAGTCCTGTGCTGGATCCTGGTCCTGGTCCAGTCCAAAGAAAGTCCGCACTGCTTCGGACTGAGAGAACTGAGAGTACAGAAACCAGGATGATGCTCAGCATTCGAATGAGGTCATGAAAATCAACGAGGCTCGTACCTTCTGCGGCAGCTCGATGATCGTCGTCAGAAGTTTGTTTACCTCCAGAACTTTAGAGTCTGCATCAGTACTCTTCTCTGTGGCACGGACCTTCAGCAGCCCTGACCAATCAGAGGGCAGAGAGGAACACACTGACCAATCAGAGAACAGGGAGGGTCAGAGGGGAGTGCTGAAGGAGTGAACTCACCGCTCAGCAGCTCATTGGACAGCGTATTGCGGTCGTCCGGGAAACCGTCGACCAGTCGCTTCATCATCCAGGCAAGGTCCGTATCCGTCCGACGGACAACACACTCCCTCCCATCAGAGAGCTCCCCCCACACCTGCAGAGGGGGCGGGGTCTATGAGAACATAGGAGAGGTTACAGCGCCCCCTGCACAGACCTGAGACCAGGACTAATGTGAAAGGACAGAGATCTGAGACCAGGACTAATGTGAAAGGACTTCAGGACAGAGATCTGAGACCAGGACTAATGTGAAAGGACTTCAGGACAGAGATCTGAGACCAGGACTAATGTGAAAGGACTTCAGGACAGAGATCTGAGACCAGGACTAATGTGAAAGGACTTCAGGACAGAGATCTGAGACCAGGACTAATGTGAAAGGACTTCAGGACAGAGATCTGAGACCAGGACTAATGTGAAAGGACTTGTTCAGCTCTTTGTTCCTCAGCTCTATGTATCATTCTCTATCATGTACTATGTTCTTTGAGGGATCATGGGCATGCCCCCAATCAACAAATCACAGAAACTCACCTGAGAGTGGGCGGGGCTAGAGAGTAGAGCTGTGTGCACCTGGACCACATGCACTGATGACATCATAAAGAGGCGAGAGCAGCTGAGGATCGGAGGGTGTGTAGAGCATGGATCTATTATATAAGGGTGTAGAAAAGGAGTAGAGGTGGAGCAGAGTAAAGAGAGCAGAGGAGCACTCACTCAGAGGCTCAGAGCCAAATGAAGTTGGTCTGAGTAGAAACAAGATTAAAAATAATCCTGAAGATCAGAGATGAGACGCCCCCTGTGTCATGTGATCTGTGTCATGTGCAGCTTTTCTGTGGTACAATAGACCCTAGACGGGGGGTGTTAAAATTCTATGACAGGTGCGAGTGTGACGCCACCTGAGTGTGACATCAGCACGTTTTCTGGAGGTGGAAGAACCTAAACTGGAGCCAATTTTCTGATAGTGACATTTGTTCCAGCACTGTTGGATGCATTGGATCCTGTCAGGGGCAGAAAACGGAAAGCTGTAGTTTCCCTTGAGAATGAATTTACAAAAGACAACATTTACAAAAAAAATATCAAAATAAAACAGTTTACTTTTCAATGCAAGTCAATAGGAGCCAGTGAGTTGGATTAAAACTTCACCACAAGCACTTCCCTATTGGACGTCATTGAGAAAGCGTTGTCCATCTCTATACAGTCTGACACACAAACAGTGGTTGTGAAGGAAACAGGTCAATCCTCAATAGTAATCAGATTACCATTATTACTGTAATCAGATTACAGCTCCTTAGCTCCTCCCCTTCTGTGTAACAGTTGTATGAACCACATATTGAGACGCTCAGAGGACACTTCCTTAACAGGACACAGCTTCATTTGAATAATTTATTAAATTACATTATTTTCACCAAAACGTCAGTTTCAGCAGCTTCAACATCAAGTACAAGAGTCCGGAATGTTCCATATGATGTCGTCACTCATGTCTAACCTGTCAATCACAACATCTGTCACCAAGACGACATCATTAACCCAACAATGACATCATTACCCTAACAACTAAAAAACTCCAGGAGGCAGGGCCTGAGTCCAGAGGGCAGGGCCAAAGTCCAGAGGGCGTGGCCCAGAGTCCAGGGGGCAGAGCCAGAGCCCAGCGGGCATGGCAGTTGTCATGACAGCGGCAGAGGGACACAACCCACCCCTACACCGCCCTGATGGCAGCTCATGTGGGCGCAGAAACTCCAGCGACCAATCAGAGGACAGAAGGTCTCCACCGAGCTAAGGTTTGACTGGCCATCGTACCCTCCCAACGCAAAGAGCCGCCCCCCCGAGGTGACCAGCGAGACCTGAGGACCAGAAACACGAGTCAGACCACCCCCAATGTAAAAGAGACCACACCCTCACGAATGCCTCTCCCTCACTCACCCGGCTGCGGCGTGTCGCCATGGCCACCAGGAGGCTCCACTGTCGGCTGTGAGAGCTAAAGACCTCGGCGCTGCTCAGAAACGCAGAGCCGTCGTACCCGCCACAGACAAACATCTGAGCAGCGAGTGACGCGGCGCCATGACGACAGCGTTTATTCAACATGGAGGAAAAGGTCTCCCAGCGACCGGTGTGGCGGCAGAATGACTCCCCCTGGAGGAGAAGGGGAGAACATGAGGATGTGATATGTCACCTGGAACCATCCTGCAGCTTCTCGTAGAGAGCTGTGTTTACAAGTGTTTACAGTATGTGGTTAGGAGTCTGCATGTATGCCGTTAGCAGCTCAATAGCATTAGCAGGCGGTTAGCAGCTCAATAGCATTAGCAGGCGGTTAGCAGCTCAATAGCATTAGCAGGCGGTTCTTACCGTGTTAAAGATCTGTAGACCGTCATGGCCGCCCGACACTACAATTTGTCCGTCGAACACTGCAACTCCCGCTGCACTGCGGCTCACGCTCATCGGTGCAACCGGAGTCCATCTGAAGAGCAGAACCATTACCAGATTAGAAAGGATCTGTTCTCAGTGACACTAAGGGTCTCTAACATCTTTAACTTTCAGAAAAGTTTTTTTTTTTTGCATTGTATTGTACAATCAATAATTTGAAATAAAGACTAGTATGATACGATCAATATTGCAACAGGAGTGTGGTTTTGCAGTGGTCTTCAAGTCTAATATTTCTGTTTGCTAAATGTACCTGTGTAGCCCCGCCCCTGTCTCACCTGTCTGTCTCTGGTGAATAAAACTCCACTGAGTTCAGAGATGATTTCCCGTCGTATCCTCCGCAAACGTAAATGTGTCCATCCAACACAACGGTCCCCATAGCACTGAAAACACACACACACAACAAATCTTTCACAATGGCTCTGTGAGTTTTTTCATTGTTGTGTTTCCTCTGTTTGAACTTCTTGACTCTCTGATCTGTGTCTGCGAATAGCTTTACAAGACTTTACGACAGCTACTGTTCTGATTCAGGCATGGATCTATAATAATAACTGGATATAGGGTATTACTAGCTTACAGCTGTCCCACCCATGGGCACAGGGGGCGCCCGTGGTACTGCAAACTAAATTCACATGGGCTACCCAGAAAAAAGTCCCATAGAACTCAATTTAAATTAAAACAGCTCAACCTCAGCTGACAGAGAACCTACAGCTTTCATAAAGATAGGATTATGAGGGGATTTTATTGTCCCTTGTTATCCTGAACTTTTTTTCTTCTTAATTCTTCAGTTTTCTTTAAATCCACACTTTACTGCAACAAACTCTGCTCTTTTCCTTCCCGCTCTGGCTCCGCTCTGATGATCAGCTCTGATAGGGCAAAGCGCGGCCAAGCCCCACTGTGCACATGCATGAGAGCCACACACGCGTATTTGGCGCAAAGCATCATGGGAGCTCGTCCTCTGCGCAGACCCGGGAGGACCAGACAATGCAGACAATATAGGCGAGTTCAGCTAATCTTTCGGTCCCTGTGAAGTCCCATGCGCTACTGAGCACCATTCATTTGAATAGGGCGCCATCTTGGATCACCGGGTCTTGGATTCAGGGCTATATAATAATAAAATAAATTTAATTGAATTTCCTATCCCTCCTTGCTCCGTCTGGCTCCTTCCCCTGTCGCCTCCTTACTAGAGCTAAACGTCTAGACACGAGCCAAATACAATTATTTCCTCTGATCTTTTAAAAATGCTGCACATCTGAAAATATAGGTGACTGCGCCAATAAACAGCAAATGAACGTTTACTATGGTCTTTGTACAAAGGAATATGTCTCAGACCAATCATGGGTTGGGTTCGGGCAGAATCCTCTCTAGCTCTAGTTTTACCTCCTCCCATTTCCATCCCATTAGAAGGCTTCTGCCAATTCATTTTTTGGTTGCATCTCATTATCATGTGGTTTGAACTGTAACTTTGTTGATGCGATAAATAAATACATGAATCATCTCCCCTCCCCCTCATACCCTCACCTCCTCTGACTCCTCATACTCGCCACTCTAGCCCAGCTGTCCGTCTCGGGGTTGTAAACTTCCACGGTACTGAGCCGTGATTGGCCGTCATATCCTCCAATGGCGTAGAGCAGACCGTTGACCACGGCCACGCCCACTCTGCTGCGGGCTGTTTTCATTGGTTGACACGGCTCCCACACGTTCGCCCCAGGATCAAAGACTTCAACCAGATTCAGAGAGTCGCCTGGAAACAGTCATCAGTCACTGTCTATGATGTCACGGTGGTGTGATGTAAGTAAGTAAGTAAGTGAAGTTTATTTGTATGTCGCCTTTCACAGACCAGGATCACAAAACGCTTCCCATTTAAAACATACAGATAAAATAACACACAAACAAATCAGATTTAAAACAAAGACACAGAAGACGTCATGTGACGTGCCTATGATGTCACTGCCGTGTGATGTGTCTATGATGTCACTGTGGTGTCACCTGTGCTGCTGAGCCCACCCACTGCATACAACAGACCACTCAGAGAGGAGCAAACCCGGGGGCGGAGCTTAAAGGCAGGAAGAGGGCGGAGCTCTGGCATCAGGTGGAAGTCCTTCGCTTCGTCCACCAGATCCCTGCACAAACCAGAGTCCTACTTCAGACATAGTCCAGTCCCGGTCTAGACCCAGTCCAGTTCCGGTCTAGATCCAGCCCAGTCCCGGTCCAGTCCCAGTCCAGACCCGGTCCAGTCCCGGTCCAGACCCGGTCCAGTCCCAGTCCAGACCCGGTCCAGTCCCGGTCCAGTCCCAGTCCAGACCCGGTCCAGTCCCGGTCCAGTCCCAGTCCAGACCCGGTCCAGTCCCGGTCCAGTCCCAGTCCAGACCCGGTCCAGTCCCATTCCAGACCCGGTCCAGTCACAGTCCAGTTCTGGTCTAGACACAGTCCTGTCCCAATTCTGTCCTAGTCCGGACGCGGTCCAGACCTAGCCTAGAATCGGTCCAGTCTTGGTTCAGTCCAGGTCAGACCTGGTCCAGTCCTGTTTTAGCTCGTACACGGTTTAGACCTGGTTCAGTCCTGGGGCGTGACCCGGTTCAGACCTGGTTCAGTTCCTGCCATGACTCGGTTCAGACCTGGTTCAGACCTGGCTCAGTCCCAGGGCGTGACTCGGTTCAGAGCTGGTTCAGTTCCTGCCATGACTCGGTTCAGACCTGGTTCAGACTTGGTTCAGTCCCAGGGCGTGACTCGGTTCAGAGCTGGTTCAGTTCCTGCCATGACTCGGTTCAGACCTGGTTCCGACCTGGCTCAGTCCCAGGGCGTGACTCGGTTCAGACCTAGTTCAGTTCCTGCCATGACTCGGTTCAGACCTGGTTCAGACTTGGTTCAGTCCCAGGGCGTGACTCGGTTCAGAGCTGGTTCAGTCTGCCATGACTCGGTTCAGACCTGGTTCAGACCTGGGTCAGCCCCAGGGCGTGACTCGGTTCAGAGCTGGTTCAGTACCTGCACTTGTGGCAGCAGCGCAGCAGTCTGTCCTGTTGAACCACATTGGAGAGATACTGCGGTCGACACAGAGGGAGACGGATCTGCTGCAGGAGCTCGGGCAGGACGTCCTGTCTGGAGGGGACATGGTGGACCCAGGACAAGACCGCGTCAAAGACCTGAGGAAAGAGGGGAGAAATATAAAGCCTTAGTCCTGGATTGACTGTCTCAGTCCTGAGTCTACAGCCTTAGTCCTGGATCTAGAGCCTCAGCCCTGGGTCTACAGCCTCAGTCCTGGGTCTACAGCCTCAGTCCTGGGTCTACAGCCTCAGTCCTGGGTCTACAGCCTCAGTCCTGGGTCTACAGCCTCAGTCCTGGGTCTACAGCCTCAGTCCTGGGTCTACAGCCTCAGTCCTGGGTCTACAGCCTCAGTCCTGGGTCTAAAGCCTCAGTCCTGGGTCTAAAGCCTCAGTCCTGGGTCTAAAGCCTCAGTCCTGAGTCTACAGCCTCAGTCCTGGATCTACAGCCTCAGTCCTGGGTCTACAGCCTCAGTCCTGGGTCTACAGCCTCACCCCCTCAGTCCAGGACTCCAGGTGTTTTTGGGGTGGTTGTTTTGTCCTCGTACCTGTTCCTCATGTGTGACGTTGAGCTCGTCGCAGCCCGTCAGCTCCAGAAGTTGCTCCAAACTCAGCGCCAGAAACTCGTCCGACTCTGAGACGTCCACAAAGTTCTGATGGAGGAAACTGTTGGCAGCTTCATACAGCGCGGTGCACATGAGCGACTCTGCGAAGGAGCGAACACCCAGAACGTTCTTCGGATGCAGCCTGCAGTGCACGCAAAAGACAGACACGCATTACACAAATGCACACACATTACACAGACGCACAAACATGACACAGACAAACGCACGGTCTAAACTTTTATGATTAAGCTTAGATCCGCTCAGATATTCCACTCTCAACACAGGGCTCTTCTTAAGTATCTATTGAATACTTATTAACGCAAGGGAAAATGTAGGTACCCCAGCTTTAAATTAGTGAGTTTTAGTTTAGCTTCACGGGGAGACACGGGGAGAAACACGGACACTTCCTGAGACTCCATAGTCCAGCCTCGTTTCTTGCAGAGTTGCATTTATTGCATACACAGGTTACGCAAAGACACACAAGAAGCAGAGGATGGTTGTGTGCGTGTGTGGTCTGTGCTGGGAACATTATGACCATGTCACGGCTGCGCGCTCGCCGCGTTATTGTCACAGTGGGTCGCGACTCGTGGCTGCAGTTGCATCGGGTCAGAACGCTGCGGCACAGAGGATGCGGAATCCTGGGAGCGCCCCACAACTTGAGAAGCACTGGTCTATGTGAAGTATGCAAAGACGCTTGCTAACTCAAGTGATAGAAGCATTTCTGATTTTTGTTGAGCATACGTACCAGTTATGTGCACCCCTGCATATTACACACATGCCCACATACAGTATAATAGACACACACATAAAACAGACGCTGACCCCTGAACCACACTGACCCCTGACCTCTGCTGGAGGAAGGAGCAGCACTCCTCCTTCACGTTCTGCAGTTGGAGGAAACTGGCTCCAATCAGGAGGTTCTGCACGTTCTGCTGGTCAATGGTCAGATGTCCACTGTAGGAGAAGTTTATGAGGGCCTCCAGAGCTCTGAGGAGGAGAGACAGAAGGTGTACGAGGGCCTCCAGAACTCTGAGGAGGTGTAAGGAGGAGCACACTCACCCTGGATCCAGCCCCTGCAGTAGGATTTCCTCCTGTTTGCTCTCTGACATGTCGGAGGTGAACATGGCGTGAAAATACGGAGAGGAGGCGCAGAGTACGATTCTGTGGGCACTGAACTTATGCTCCCCAACCTGAGGAGAGAAGGGAGTTGAGAAGAGGAGTGGGAGTGAGAGGGCAGGTGAAATAGTTAAGGTAAGAGGAGGTGAGAAGAAAAAGGGGGTAAGATGAGAAGACGGGTAATAATAATAATAATAATAATGCATTGGTTTTATATAGCGCTTTTTGGACACTCAAAGACGCTTTACATGTCATTATTAAGGGGCGGTAAGAAGGGGAATGGGGGTGAGAGGAGAACGGAGGTGATAGAAGAGGAGATGAGAGAGAAGTTGGGTGAAAGGGGGAGAAGGTGGGTGAGGGGGAGAAGGTGGGTGAGAGGGGGAGAAGGGGAGGTGCGCCCAAGTCTCTATCCACACATTATAACGGCCTGATGGTGATGTGGACCAAAATAACAGGATTTAGCTTTTCTTATGTTCTATGTGTGACACAGGTGGTATAAGACTGCAGTGTGTTCTATGGTTATGGCGTTGGCGGTGGATCATCATGGACCAGGTCCGGACTAGGAATGGAGTCCGTCGGGACGAGACTAGTACTTGTGCACGCGCTGCTGTGAGGCAGGTGCACGCGGGGTCAGCCTGTTGTTTAGCTAACAGTTAGCGTTAGCTGTTAGCATTAGCACGATGCACTCCAGCGTTGCGCGCGCCTTTCTCACCTTGAGTGTGACGTCACATAGTTTGCCCTGACGTCGTATCTCCTCCATGACCTCATACCCACGCGCGGGAAACTCGTGCGCAGAAAAATGAACCAAATCCTCGAACTCCGACTCCGACAGCAGGTCTCCCATCACTTCCGCCGCGTTTGAGCCGCCCACGTCACTTCCGTCGCTCGAAATCACCATGGCAACAGAGGCCGTTACAACATCATTAAAGCTCGTGCACGTAACTTTAATCTCATATCACATGTTTAAAGCTGAAGTACGTAACATTTGTCTCATTTGTCTCATGTTTAAAGCTGGGGTAGGTAATTTTAGTCTCATAGATAACATGCAGTTCCATCCATCTATCCATTTTCTTCCCCTTAATCCATTTCTGGTTCGGGGGGGTGGCAGTCAGAGCTGCACCCAGTACACATATCACAATCCCCTCACTGATCCTGCAGATGATGAGTCCACAGGACATAACATTAATAATATGGCGTTATTAATGTAAAATAACATATCAGTCCACAGCTTGCTGTCTTCATCATATACGAAAACATGTTATCTTTTGTATACAACCCAAAACATGTTATATTGCGCTGATTGGTTGAATGAGAGTGGTTCTCTCTTTTTAACTTCAGCCCATTTGACTTTACTGTTGGACATGAACATTCAATTGTTAATTATACAATACATGTTTGAGTCTAACGTAAAGTCAAATGTGCTGACAATCAAATTAACTTGTTTGTGTGGGGACCAATCAGCTCTCAGCCCAAAGAGTAAAATAGTTCTTAGTAGTAGTTTCTTCCCCAGTGTTTATCTGGAGTCAATAAGAACACAAATGTCAGCGGCAGAAGAACTTTATTTGATCACAACAAAACACAGATGAAGGAGGAGGCTTCTGATTGGTCCATGTTTGAATGGCAGGTCAGGGGCTGCATGCTGATTGCACGGACACTACACACTACACTCATACTGATATAAGCACAAAGCCATATAAGGGCATGTGGAACTGGTCCCTATGGTAACAGATACAGGGAGGGGCTTTTACACACATCTGAGAATACAGGTTTTAACATGCTGTGGCAGTTACCACGGCAACAGAACTAAGCTCTCAACCCGAACTGTACAAGCTTTAGAATTATCTACAGGGTTCAGTAGGAGTAGCTTGTGAGCGGTACGGTACTCTGTGAGCGGCACGGCACTCTGTGAGCGGCACGGCACTCTGTGAGCGGCACGGCACTCTGTGAGCGGCGCTCTGATAGCGCCTTCACCTCTGCTGAAGCTGGTCAGACTGGAGTGTGCCGTCAGCTCCCCTGTGTGAACAATGGTCTCAGGAGTCTTGAGGAAGATGTCTTTATCTGACCAGGACAAAACAGGTTTTCCAAACAATTTTGAAGAAGTGTTTCTGAGGCTGCACGAGTGTCTCAGGGTTGGGTAGTGCTAATGACTGACCTAACGTGCTCTCATGCCCACATACACACACACACACACACACACACACACACACACACACACACACGCACACACGCACACACGCACGCACGCACACACACACTCACCCATATAATATATACTATAGTATATACTGTGTATATATATATATCTATATATATATATACACATACACTTTGGACTGCCATGGTCAAGGGGTATGTGGGGTCACAGGGGGGATGTGGGGGTCACAAGGGTCGGAGGTCAGTTCAGCCGCTGGATGAAGTTTTCGGGGAACAGCCCTCGATGAGCGCTCACCCCCAGGGCTGACCAATCAGAGAGCTTTATGCCTGTAAGCCAACCAGCTTCCTGCAACGCACAAGAAAGGATGTCAGCGCTGTTCATACTGTCAATGTAACAGGGTCAGGTCAAGTGTATTTGTAAAGAACTGTTTTCCTCAGAGTCCCAGCAGGGGACCAGTCCCTGTGCACCTCAGAGTTGACTCACCTGGTCCTCCTGACTGAGTGTGTCTCCTCACCTGGTCCTCCTGACTGTGTCTCCTCACCTGGTCCTCCTGACTGAGTTTGTCTCCTCACCTGGTCCTCCTGATTGAGTTTGTCTCCTCACCTGGTCCTCCTGACTGAGTTTGTCTCCTCACCTGGTCCTCCTGACTGAGTGTGTCTTCTCACCTGGTCCTCCTGACTGAGTGTGGGCACCACCAGAACCACATCTCCTCGTTTCAGCTCCAGTTCGTCTGAATTTGCCGCTTCAAAGTCGTGCATTGTCTCCACCTGCAAGAGACAGATGGTCAGAGGTCACGGGTCAGCGGTCAGGGGTCAGGGGTCATTGAGTGAGACAGATGGTCAGAAGGGTCAGGATCTGGGATTCAGTGAGGGGCCTGCACCTTGTAGAGGAAGTCCTGGGGTAGGGTCCCGTCGCTTGGCCCGATGTGTTGTAAAATGGGGGCGGAGCTGTTTCCGGCGGCGACTGTGGGACTGATAATGTCAGCATCACGGTCATCGTCGCCTTCGTTACTTGACGCTGGTTCAATGACCACAGACGGGATGGCCATGGTTTCCTGAACACACACACACAGCCGTTAGTATCGTGCTAACAATATTGCGGTTAGCATTGTGCTATCCCCAGTGCCATTGGCATGGAGCCTATACTGTTGCCATCATCATGGTTCTAACACTGGTTAACACATGTTAGCCTATGTGTGCTAACAATGCACTGGCTAACCCGCTATCTCAATGAAGCCCAATACGGAAGCGCTCATGGTGAAGTTTTGCTGCAACCCGCTTATATCCAAATTAAATCCAAATATGAATAAGATTAAAAGATCCTTTATTTGTCCCAGAGTGGGGAAATGTCACTGTTGCATCAAAAGTTAAAGAACAGTAGGAACATGGAGCACACAACACAAGACAAGTTATTCTACAAAAATAATTGTAATAATTATACATCGGTTTTATATAGCATTTGTTTTAGATACTGAAGACACTTCACAGCATTATTAATTCCCTTCATACACAGTAGTGACAAACCATTGCTGTAGCCACAGATGCCCTGGGACAGGGGTTGGCCCTTTCAACCACCACCAACCTGTCACGCACACAACAGACTCGGTACAAGTGGGTGTCCTTTGGCAACACTTGGCGAAAAGGACACCCATCATAGAACTAATGAGGATCTTCCTTGCTTAGGTTCAGCCTATGGTGACGTCAAGATGCAAGATTCAAGATTAATTCATTATGTCCCGTTGGAAATTTGTCTTGTACTTACAGCTGCTTCATTGACAATACCCATAAGACAGACATAAAACACAGTAACACAGACATAAACCATTATCGCTCTGCTCAATGGCCTGCATTCAGGAGGTTCACAGATATGAGTAGGAACGAGTTCTTAAATACCGGTTTAGATAACTTTTCTTATTTCTAGTTGGTTCTCCGTAGCGGCGGCCTGATGGGAGGAGCTCATACTGAGAGTAGAGGACATGAGAAAGGTCTGAGGTGATTTTCTTTGCTAGTCTAAAAACAGTCATACTGTAAATCTGCTGCAAAGATGGATGCTCCCTAACTCCCAGCGCTCGGACAGTCGCTTTAAAAGACTCTCACTTTTGTCAGACTTTGTAATTACGAGTACCTGATCTGGCTCCAGTTCTGACTCCAGTTCTGGCTCCAGTTCTGGCTCCAGGTCTGGCTCCCGGTCTGGCTCCAATGCTGGCTCTCGGTCTGGCTCCAGTGCTGGCTCGCGGTCTGGCTCTGGTTCTAGGTCCAGGCCTGGCTCTGGTTCTAGGTCCTTGTTTGGCTTTGGTTCTAGGTCCTGGTCTGTCTCCTGTTCTAGGTCCTGGACTGGCACCGGTTCTGGGTCCTGGTCCAGCTCTGGGACTTGACTCAGGTCCCTGGACTGAGAGAAGACTTGGGTCAGGGCTTAGATATGTTCATAAATAATAATAACAGTATATTAAAATATAAAAAAGTTATTTTAAAAGTTAAAATATAATAAATATATAAGAAGGACAAAGGCTCGTGACTCACTGGCTGCTCTTCCATTGGCTCTGTCTCCTGTGTTTCTATTGGCTGCTGTTCAGCTTTAGCCTCCTCCCCTGGTGTAGTCGTGTCCACGTCGTCTTTAGGCCCCTCCACCTCTGCAGTGGGCGTGGCCTGATTCTGCAAACACATAATTATTGCTGTATCCAAGCAAGACTTTCTTATGTCTGTCTTTCATCAGTTTCTATTTCTAATTGTAAATAAAGGCCAGATCTGTGGTGAGTACGACTCAAATTTGTCCTATGTGCAGAATCTCCCATGTGAGGTGTGGATTCGTGCACAAGTAACCATGGGCCTCGTGTCCGCATCTGTGATCAGTGCCCTCGTTGTTGGGGCCATGTGTTAGTAAGTTTGCATTGGTCCTTACTTTTAACCTCTTAAATCTTGTCCCGCTGCAGTGTGCCAAAGTCAGATTGTGTGTCACTCACCATTTTATCAAAATCGGCAAAGAATGATGAAGCCCCGGCCTCCTGAAAACACAACCAATCAGCTTCAAGCACTATTAGCATATCAAATGAACCAATCAGAACTCACAGAGGAGAATCCATTGAAGGCATTGGCTGACTGAAAAAGAGGAGGAAATAACGTCGTTAGCTTAGAGGCTACAAGGCTAACAGGGTCAGAGTGAGGAGAATAGTGTCTCTAAGGAAGAAAGAATCAGGGACTAAACAGAGACTAGACCACAACCGGATCAGGAATGTAACAGGTCTGGACTAGTTCTAGTTGGGTCTGGGCTAATTCTGATCAGGTCTAACCCTAACCCCACCTGGTCTTGGTGATGGTACATTGATCCCAGTCTCTGATTCGTCACTTCGTCTTCATCAGACTGAAGATTGTGTCCAGACTCTGTGGGTCCCAGGTCCAGACCAGGTACCATTCCGAAATCTGCCCCAAAGCTGAACGGATCGGGTCCAAAACCGGGTTGTGTCTCAGCAAATGGGTCCGAGTCAAAACCTGAACTAAACCCGGACACTAACATTGAGTCGAACGACACCTGGTCCACAACTGGATTTGGGTCTGAACCAAGTCCCAGGTGTGTGGCTTGGGCCAGATTTGGGTCTCGCTCAAGATCTACTGAGAGGTCTTGATGGTCTCCCCATTGGTCTGGTTCTGGTTCATGTCTGTGGTCTGGTTCTGGTCTGTGGTCTAGTTCAGGCTCTGGTCTCTGGTCTGGTCTGTGGTCCGGGCCCTCCTCTGCAGTCTCATAGTCCGAGCCGGATCCTTCAGGACTGGGGGGTCTCAGCAGTCTGTCAGGGTCTGGGGTGGACTCTCTCCGGAGATTCCCAAAGTCCAGGCCTGGATCTAAGGCCTGGTTCTGGTTTGGTATTTGTTGTGGTGCTGGGTCTTGGTTCTGTTCTGCTTTCTGGTCTGGGTTCTGGACTAGGTTCTGGTCTAGGTTCTGGTCTAGGTTCTGGTCTTGTTTCTGGTCTTGTTTCTGGTCTTGGTTCTGGTCTGAACTGAACGCAGCCCAGCTGCAGACGAAGTTCTGCTGATGAAGGTAATGGATGGACAAATGAAAAGTTATGATTAAAAGTTGAAAGTGAAGGGTTAAAAGGACTCACCTGGTCTTGCTGCTGGTCACCCTGAAACAGAAGCAGAAACATTAGGACCACAACATGTTTATTTAGAAAAAGCTGGGACTCAGACTCTTGCTGACCCCTCCCCTCCCCCTGAGACCGAGCCAGACCGGAGAGGACCCAAGTGCAAGATAATTAAAGTGCTTAAGTGTGACATCTTCTGCCAGAGGGAAGAAGCTGGAACACGGCTTTTCCAGGGGTTTTCCAGAAGAATAATTGAATATTTTAAGACCTCAATTTAAGAGGTCTGAATTCATAAAGAACCTCGGAACAGGCAGCTCACCTCTTTGAAGGTCGGAGCACCTTGTTCTGAGATCTAATGGTGTGTTAATAAGCACTTCCGAGATCATCCACCCCATGTGATTGTAAAAGTGTAGTTTGTGATACTCACCGCCCACATGTCCCAGGGCACAGCGGTCTGTGGAGGAGCAAAGGTTTAGGTAAGAACTTCAACTTATTTCCCTCTTGTTTCATAGACTCAGACCTGAGGAATTGGAGCCACGTTTTCATCCAACTGAAAGGAGTCCAGGTCCAGGTCCAATAGGGACTCGCCGGGCCGGTCGTTGGGCTGAGGAGCAAAGGGCGAGGTTAGCACTGAACCAGGTCTGAAACAAGTCCAAAACAGGACTAAACCAGGACTGAAACTAGACTGAACCTTGTCTAAACCAAGACAGAAACGGAACTGAATCATCTTTAAACCAGGTCTAAACCAGAACTAAAACAGGGGTAAACCCGGACTGAACTGGGTCTAAACCAGTACTACAACAGGTTTTAATCATGTATAATCCAGGACTGAGCCAGGTCTAAACCAGGTCTGAACCTAGACTAAACCAGGTCTAAACCATGCCTTAACCATGTTTAATCCAGGACTAAACCAAGACTAACCCAGATCTAAACCAGTTCTGAACCAAGACTAAACCAGGTCTAAACCAGGGGTCACTCACTTGGGAGGGGGAGGGGGCAGGCAGGAACTCTCCCCCGAACAGGTCGATGATCTGTTCTTCTTTTGGAGGCGAGACTTTGGGCGGTAGTGGGACAGGCGGACCTCTGGCCTGGGGAGAGGTCACATGATGTAGGTCACACAGGTCACATGATGTAGGTCTGGCTCTGGGGTCAGTGGTACCTGGCTCGGGCTCTTGGGTCGGGGTGGCCCTGGGGACACGGGTCTCAGGTGATTCACTTCTGGAGAATCTGGAGGAGAATCGTCTTCAGGAGGAGAAGGAGTCCTGGCCAGACGCAGCGGACCAGAGTCACTGAAATAAGAACCAGGTTTGAAACAGATCTGGACCAGGTCTATACCAGAACTGAACCAGGTCCGGTCCAGGACTGAACAAGGTCTTACCTCGGAGCTCCCTGGATGTTGAACATTTTGTCCGGATGTTGTTCGGCGAGTTTGGTCATGACCTCATACAGCTGCCGGCACACCTGTCAATCAAACAAGCTCCATTTAAGCGGAATGTGGAACCAATTCACGACCAATTTATCACGAGTCAATCAGAAGCGGCACCAGTCTGTCCCTGACAAGCTACTGGCGGCTGATTGGTCATAAGGACATAAAGAACCAGTGTGACACTAACAGATACAGAGCCAGAGGAGTTTCCAAAGTAAGTCAAAAGAAGCCAGAGTGAGTAGGAGCTGTTACAGGAAATGTTACAGTAGTCTAACCTACGGAGACAAAACCAGTAAGAAGAATCTCCAAGTCTGCTGTAGACACTACATTTTTGATTCTGGGCATTTAGATGGCAAAAAGCTGCTCATGTTATTGCTTTGAAGCAGCTGCTAAAGATACAGTCTGATTTCATTATTACTCCTTGATTTCTATTCAAGGAGTAATAATGGGGGCGACAGTAGCTCAGTTGGTAGAGCATTGGCCTTCAGGCCTGAAGGTCGTGGGTTCAATTCCCGCCTCTACACCTTCTCCACCGACTCCCACTGATGACTGCTGCCGTTGTGTCCTTGGGCAAGACACTTAACCCCACTTTGCCCAAAGCCCCCACTGAAATCTCAAGGCTATGCTCACACTCAGAGAGCAGCCGTCCTCCTGTGGACTCACCACCTGCAGAGGGTCAGTGAGGGGCTGGTGCTATGAGACTTGGGTGGCAGTCAGACCCCTGACCCAGAAATGGATTAAACTTAAGGGTAGACAATGGATGGATGGATGGATTTCAAATCTGATTTGAAGGTTTTAGGAAAAGAGACTGGAGGTGACAGAGAAATCATCTTTGTTTTGGTGGATGCAGTGAAGGAGTGAGTCCACTGGTCCATGTTCTCCTGCATTCAGTTATGATTTGACACGTTGTTAGTGCGTATTAACTGACATAACCGTAGAATGTACAGATTGAACAGAAGAGGGCCCAGGATTGACCCCTGTGGTAACCACAGGTTCGGGCCATAGGATCAAAGACACAGTTTACATCTAGAAGACTTCCAGTCTTCTAGATGTAAGTGTCATCTAAGTGTCATCTAGAAGACTTCCAGTCTTCTAGATGACACTTAGATGACACTTACATCTAGAAGACCAGTCTTCTAGATGTAAGTGTCATCTAAGTGTCATCTAGAAGACTTCCAGTCTTCTAGATGACACTTAAATCCACACATACTCATATACACACACTATATAGATACACACATTTGTACTCATATATATTCTCTCTCTCTCACACACTCACCAGTGAAATCTCTCTGTGGAACTTGGTCTCCAGTGTCGTTACACTTTTGAACATGTCGATGTAAAACTGAACTCGACTGAAACACAAACACAACGTCCACATTTATGAGCAGACTAAGACTTTAAAGACGATGATCAGGAGAATGGTTTGGCCTGAGTCCGGCGTGAGGTCTCACCTGTCCCAGAGTGTGGGCAGCTCGTCCTGAAGTCCCACATTCAGATCTTCAAAAACTCTCTGAGCTTTTTTCAGCTCCTCCTCTGCCTTAAACCCAAACCAATAAATATTTAATATCTGAATCTGGGTCTGGTCTAGGTCTGGTCTGGGTCTGGTCTGGGTCTGGTCTGGGTCTGGGTCTGGTCTGGTTCTGGTCTGGGTCTGGTACCTTGATCATCTTGCGGTCGCTCTTCAGCCCTTGCGCCTGCAGAGTTTCCACATGATGTCGTGCGCTGTCGTAGTCGATCAGTTTCCGGCTGCGTTTGGACACGCGGATCTGGAACACAAGAGTCACGGTCATGGTACACACTGGTCATGGTACACACAGGTCGATGGTACACACTGGTCATGGTACACACAGGTCGATGGTACACACTGGTCATGGTACACACAGGTCGATGGTACACACTGGTCATGGTATACACTGGTCATGGTACACACAGGTCATGGTATACACTGGTCATGGTACACACAGGTCGATGGTATACACAGGTCATGGTACACACAGGTCGATGGTATACACTGGTCATGGTACACACAGGTCATGGTATACACTGGTCATGGTACACACAGGTCGATGGTATACACTGGTCATGGTACACACAGGTCATGGTATACACTGGTCATGGTACACACAGGTCGATGGTATACACAGGTCATGGTACACACTGGTCCCAACACGAGGACCTGCCCTTGTCTCACTAAGGGACCTTCACTTTGGAGGTTCTCCAAGTGTGAGGGACTGGGCCTCAGGGTTCTGATCACACACAAGACACCATGAAGAACATCCACTAGAACTAGGACCAGGACCTGAACTATGACCAGGACCCGAACTAGGATCAGGACCAGGAGAAGGACTAGGACTAGGACCAGAGTTAGAACTAGGACTTTGACAAAGACTATTTATTTATTTTACTGGGAGCATAATCCCCGGAGATGAAGCATCTCGTTCTTGCTAGGACCAGGCCAGGATCAAGATCAGAACCTGGACAAAAATTACGACCAGGGCCAGGACCAGGACTTGCGCCAATCCTGGGACAAGGGCTAGGACCTCACCTTCAGATCTGGAAATTGTGTCAGATAAGCGTCCAGGTTCAGCAGCGTCGAGTCCACGATCTTATTGTGGAAGTCCTCCCAGAGCGCGTCACAGTCCTGCAACACAAGTGTTACATGCACATGGTTTAGGAGTTAGGCTTTAGAATAAGTACAAGAAAGTCACAAAGCCATAAAAGTAAAACATTGATATAAGGCATGTATAAAAGATAGACACAATAGAAATTTAGGAGTTAAGGTTTAGGAGGTAGGAGTTAGGAGATAGGGTTGTTTCCAGACCTTGCCGATCAGCACCACATCGTCTTTGCCGTGCCAGTCCGGCTCGTAGACTTCATGTAAACTCTGTGTCAGGTTTATGGACGCCTGCTGCATCCCTAAACACAAAACACAAGCATTATTATTAGTTGTAATATTAATGATTTGATCATTACTCTTATTATGGTTACAAAGAAAATAATAATAATTGCTAATATTTGTATTACTAATAACGATTGATATAGAACTAATAATATCATGATGATTATACATTATTTTGTTATTTTGGTTTGTGTTTAATACTATTCTCATTATTATTATTATTAGTATCATTTATTAATGTTAATAATAATATATTAATACACAGTTATAAGATAAGAGAGACTTTATTGATCTCACACTGGAGGAATGTACGTGTCACATATGGCATAGATAGAATCACTCAGATTGTGCAAACATGTTAAATGTTAAATATATAGTCTGAGCAGGATATTTACCTTTAATAGCAGCCATGTAATTCTTCATCTCCCGCTGAAGACGAGACCCTTCAGACTGAAACACAGGGATAAAAATGATAAAAATGAAAGTGGGAGGACCCTCTGACAGTGGGAGGAGCCTCAGGATGTTAACACTAACCTCTTGTCTTCTGAAGTTGATCACGACCTGTTCAAACTGTTCATCCTTCGTCTCATCGGCTTTCCCCAACTTCTGTAAAACCTGAGAGACAAGAGCGCAACATGAGGTCTGTGAACCAACATGAGGTCTGTGAACCAACATGAGGGCTGTGAACCAACATGAGGTCTGTGAACCAACATGAGGGTTGTGAACCAACATGAGGTCTGTGAACCAACATGAGGTCTGTGAACCAACATGAGGTCTGTGAACCAACATGAGGTCTGTGAACCAACATGAGGTCTGTGAACCAACATGAGGTCTGTGAACCAACATGAGGTCTGTGAACCAACATGAGGTCTGTGAACCAACATGAGGGCTGTGAACCAACATGAGGTCTGTGAACCAACATGAGGGCTGTGAACCAACATGAGGTCTGTGAACCAACATGAGGGCTGTGAACCAACATGAGGTCTGTGAACCAACATGAGGTCTGTGAACCAACATGAGGTCTGTGAACCAACATGAGGGCTGTGAACCAACATGAGGTCTGTGAACCAACATGAGGGCTGTGAACCAACATGAGGTCTGTGAACCAACATGAGGGCTGTGAACCAACATGAGGGCTGTGAACCAACATGAGGTCTGTGAACCAACATGAGGTCTGTGAACCAACATGAGGGCTGTGAACCAACATGAGGTCTGTGAACCAACACTTGGCCCTGACCCTGATCAGAACTTACCAACAGTGATAGTTGTAGATGAGGTTCTTTATCCTCTTTGCTCTCTCTGTCTGGTTTCTCCCTGGGACCTCTCTCTAGTCTCTCTCTCGGGTCTCTCTCTCTCTGGTTTCTTTCTGAACTCTCTTTGGTCTCTCTCACGGGTCTCTACCTTGGATCTCTCTCTCTGGTCTCTCTTGGGTCTCTCTATCTCTCTGGTCTCTCTCGCTCGGGTCTCTCCCTTGGATCTCTCTCTGGTCTCTCTAGTGTCTCTCTTGGGTCTCTCTCTCTCTGGTCTCTCTCCCTGGTCTCTCTTTCTGGTCTCTCTCTGGTCTCTCTCTCTTGGGTCTGACTCTCGGGTCTCTCTCTCTGGGCTCCCTCTCTGGTCTGTCTCGCTTGGTCTGACTCTCGGGCCTCTCTCACTGGTCTCCCTCTCTGGTCTCCCTCTCTCTGGTCTCTCTCTCTCTCTGGTCTCTCTCTCTAGCCTCTTTCTCTGGTCTCTCTCTCTAGCCTCTTTGTCTGATCTCTATCCTGTGACTGAAACCAGGACTGAACCGGGACTGAAGACCAAACCCACTCTGAACTCTGTGCCTGGCCCATACACTTCAGCACCATGGACAGCGTCAGTGCCTGAGCCCTGCCAGCAGGTGGGGCTATTGGTCTGTTTACCCTTTACCTTGTGCAGGAGCAGTTACTGAAATAATAAACCATGCTTTGATTGTAATAATAAAAAAAGTACAATACAATCACAGGGCTGCATTACAATTAATCAATCACTGGACCAGGACTGGACCAGGCCTAAACCAGGACTAGACAAGGACTGGACCAGGACTGAACCACGACTAAACCAGGACTGGACCAGTAATAAACCAGTACTGGACTTGGACTGAATCAGGACTGGACCAGGACTAAAACAGGACGGAACCAGGACTAAACCAGGACTAAACAAGGACTGAAGACCAGCTCTGACGCGCTCCCGACACTACAGCACCACGGACAGCGTCAGCGCGGTCACGCACACGGAGGCGCGCTCGTCCTTCACACAAAATAAAGATGATGTCCGTAGATAAAACAGTATGTTCAAACACAGTAGATCTCGGTCCGGGAGCGAGTCTCGGGATCAGCGGGCCTCTGGCTCACGGTACACATAACGGGGTATACGTGGGTAGACCTGGGTAGACGTGGATAGACCCGGGTATTCATGGGGTATATGGGGGTAAATGGGGGTACCCGTGGGACGGTAAATGGGCTGTACTCTCACTCACCTTCTCCTGTGCGCGGCTGATCCGCTTCTGCACGTTCTTTGCAAAGATGCCGCTCTTGATCTCCGCCATCTTCAGCTCCGCGCGCGTGCATGTGTGTGCGTGCGCGAGGAGGGGGAGGGGGGGATTACGAGTCACGTGAGACGCGGGTCACATGACAGGTGTCCATGGTAACGCATGGTAACAACCACAGAGCCACGTAGGAAACGTAAATGCTGAGTCCATATGGTTCTCACACCTGCATATGGTAAACATCCCCACACTCAGCCCTACTATCAGAACAACAGCACGAGGGAATGTAGTGATTCTTTTGTGACTCAGTGAGAGTGACAGGGAAAGTTTAAAACAAGGGAGAATGAAGAGGAACATGTTCAGAGAACGCAATGTTTGTTGAACGGAAGTTGTTGAAACTCTGCAGTGAAAAAGCCAAAGGAGCGTCCTGTAGATCCAGAACAAGGTTAGATCTCATTTCTTCTTTTTCTCTCAGGATTAGCGCATTAGTCTAAACTTTAGCCTGTATATTGGACCCAATCTCAGTGTGGCTCTTAGAAGACACTCTCCTCAAAAAAGACTATCTTAGATCAAATAAATAATTCTATGGAAAGTGGCTATGTCCCTTAAACCATCCATCCATTTTCTCGGGGGGAGGGGGGGGTGGCAGTCAGAGCTGTACCCAGTCCACAGAGCACCAGCCCCTCACTTCCAGCGGGGGCTTCAGGCAAAGTGGGGTTTAGTGTTTTGCCCAAGGACACAACAACAGCAGACATCAGTGGGAATGTCTGCTGTCCCACAAACCACTTATGAAAAGACCCAAACCCAACACTGAATTGAAAACAAATTAGACCAATTAAAAATCTTCCTATTATATCTAAAATACTTAAACAACTTTGCTTTCACCTGCAGGAAAATCACATATTTGCAATCTTTCAATCAGGATTCAGAGCTCATCATAAAGTGTCAGTGTTGGTCCTAATGGACTCATTTGACACAATAGGCCACAGCATTCTACTGCGGAGTGACATAGGTCTCAGAGGAACAGCACTTGGCTTGTTTAAATTTAATTGGTACTGTATCAGTTTGTCAATTCTGTGCCACAAGGATCCGTACTCGGACAGATTTTCTTCACACTCTACTTGCTGCCGTCAGGAAACGTCGTTAAAAAGCATGATAATAATGCTGCAGATAACACACAGCTTTACATGTCTTTGAAACTAAACCAGACAGATCAGTTAGAAAGGATTAGTGCAGCAGAAAGGACCTAAAGACCTGGGAGAACCTAAATGATCTGCTCCTCAACCCAGAAAAGTCATCTTATATTTAACGACTCGTGGGCTGCACCCCGCTCCCTCTGGGCCGGTGACTCTGATGTGTTTGTTATTATTGCATTTCCTGTGTTCGAACTGCTTGATTCTCTGATCTGTTGATACCACATTGAGATTTTTTTGAAGTCCTTCAAGATGACTGCTGTTGTGAATGTGATACAAAAAACATTGAATTGAATTGAAAACCAGCAAAATATTTATTTAAATAATACAAATAATATTTATTTATTTTAAAAAAGCAAGAGTGTTGAGGCAATTTTTCTCAATGATTGATGGAAACGGAGTTGTATTTTGTGTGGTTTAGTTAAAGTAAAAAGAACATGATGAGAACAGACATCGCAATAGAGAAAAAAAAACTGCAATCCTCTCCTTGGCCCCTGCATCAGTCTCTGAGGCACAATGGGATTCACTCAAACTTTATCACATGGGTAGGTCCCTCATTGGCCATATGAAAAATGTCCACAACTGGGAACGCGAAGGGGTCAGGGACTCAGAGGACAAACCTACACAATCTGCATCTCAACTTCGTCCCGAATACCTTCTTGCCATAAAACAAAGCCCCAAAACCATTTATTAACAATCACAATACTTTTGCCATCACTCGGCAGGGTCAGGGGTCAGAGGTCGCACACCCCGTCACTCGGCAGGGTCAGGGGTCGGGTCGTCGTCTCTCTTGGGTGAAAACACGTCGAGTTCATTGATTATTTTTGTTGCTATGGTTTTGTTATTTGCAGCAACGATTCTTCGAGACATGAGATCCACAGCACCTCCTGTGGAGAGGAGTGGAAGGGTCAGCAGAAGCAATAGGATCAGCAGTAATAAAAGCAGCAGCAGTAGTAGCAGTAGTAGTAACAGTGGTAGTAACAGTAGCAATTGCAGTAGAGTAAGAGCAGCAGTAGTAGTAGTAGCAGTAGTAGTCATCTGTTTAGACTATTAAGACTATTCACTTACATCATAACTATGTCCACTTTTTGAAGATCTAGAAAGGCGCCGACGAAATGTATTATTGTTGTTAATGTTATTAGTAGAAGTAGTAGTAGCAACAAAAGTCAGAAATCGCAGTAGTGAGTAATAAGTAGAAAGTAAGTAGTAGTAACAGCAGTGGCAGCACCAGTAGTAGTAGCAACAGAAGTAATAACAGCAGCAGTAGTAGTAGTAGCAGCAGCAGTAGTACCTCCAGTGTCCAGCAGGACTCCTCCAGCCTCAGTCACGATCACAGAAGCAGCAGCGACGTCCCAGATGTGAATCCCGGTCTCAAAATACAAGTCGACTGCGGACGACGCCACGGAGCACATGTTCAGGGCCGCTGAGCCGAACCCGCGGATCCTACCACAAAACCGGTTAAAGACCTGGACCCAGACCCGGACCCAGACTTGGACCCAGTCTTACCCATGCACCGGCAGGGTCAGCACTTTTCGGAGGCTGCTGAAGATCTTGTCAACCACTTGAGGATCTCTGTTGGAGCCGAACTCTGTGGCCACGAGCGCTTTGTGCACATCTACAAAACATGGAGAAAAGTCTTAATACCTAAGAGTAGTTTTGAAATGTATATTATTATGTTTCATGAATACATGGTCTTTAAGGCAACTGTGTCAGAGGTGGTTTAGGATGTCGTGGCAGACAATGTTTGCAATTTTGCATTGTCAGCAGACCAGCAGGCCAGACCAGCAGGCCAGACCAGCAGGCAAGACCAGCAGGCCAGACCAGCAGGCAAGACCAGCAGGCCAGACCAGCAGGCCAGACCAGCAGGCAAGACCAGCAGGCCAGACCAGCAGGCAAGACGCAGCAACAAGGAAGCAAAGGGTCATTAAAAAATCTGCACTAAGTCTTGTGTAAGCAGATCTGGGAACTGCTTTTCAATTCTACGTTCCAGTTCTAAAGAGAGAGAGAGAGACCACAGAGACCACTGAAGGAGAGAGAGAGACCACAGAGACCACTGAAGGAGAGAGAGAGACCACAGAGACCACTGAAGGAGAGAGAGAACACAGAGAGAAACCTCAGACAGAGAGAACACAAAGACCCACACCTCCTCCACACCGTCCCTCGTGTTGGTGGTTGTGACGTTCATGGGGTATGAATACTTTTTCAAGCCTCTGTACACAAGCTTGGTACCTGTTTGTGCTGACACCTGTAGGGGGCGCCCATTGCAGAAAGCTCCTTGTCCTTTTCGAGCTGTGTACATTTTGTCTTCGATGGCGCTGTAGACCACGCCCCATTCCACCTGCATTATGCAAGTATATGTTAATGTATGTGAATGTAATGTACAGTATGTAGACCACGCCCCATTCCACAGTCTGGTTTGTTGTTTTTTACTTGTTTATTGACAGCAAATCCGATGCACACTCCGACAAATGGGAATCTATAAGAAAATCATGAATGAACATCTGCAAAATTATATATATATATATATATATATATATAGACTAGGGCTGAAACAACTAATCGATGAATCAACGACTAATCGATTATTGAAATAGTCGACAACTATTTTAGTAATCGATTAATCGTTTTCTGGTTCACACGGACTCAAACCGAGCAAAAATGACATGAAAATGTAGTATTTTTGATTAAAACCGACTTTGTTTTTATAATTTCATGAATATCTGTCTGTCTCATCCAATCAGATAGCAGAATTAGCACAAAGAGCCTGTTACAAACATTTACTTTAAGTTTACGCCATCAATACGTCCTCGAGTGTTGCCACTTTAGCTTTTTGTGATGATTTTTTTTTTCTACACAATTCACAGCCAAGCGATTAATTGATTAATCGTAAAAATAATCGATAGATTAATCGATTACAAAATAATCGTTAGTTGCAGCTCTTACACACACACACACGTGTGCGTATACATACATACATACATAATATGTATATAGACACAGACATAAAGCAGTATATATCTTTTCATCATTTATCACTAACCCATAATAAGTGAAATCCTTGAAATAGCAGCTGTAAGTTTTAAGTCCGTAAAACCCTTCACAAACACTTTTTACACTGTTCTGAAGTTACAAAACCACCTGAACATACAACTGCTGAGGTGAGATTGTGGCGATATCTACTTGGAGGTCTGAGCTGCTACAGCTGTCAAAAGCCGTGCATATACTGTAAAATACAGCTGCAGAGGACACTGAGGGGCAGGAACAGGACTGCGGGCTACAGTAAGACTGAGGCAGTCTGAACTTCACAGATCACAGCGCTTCTTCTGACTTCAAATAAAGGTAACTGTCATGTTGTATGATGTTGTATGATGTTGTATGATGTCGTTGGAGAATCCATGCGGTGCATGAATATGTAATACACCAGTGTACTTGCACCTGTGGACGTAGTTTGTCGTTCCGTCAATCGGGTCGATGATCCATGTGGGATCAGAGGTCAAGACACAGGCATCACCACCGGCAACAGACTCCTCCCCTATGAACCTGGGAACCAATCACAATCAGGCTTATGTCTGTGTGAGCAGAGGTTAATATTAATAATAATAATTAAAAAATCTGAACAATGTATTATTGTAGAAAAGCACAATAATAATTTTAAAAAAACATGAATCTAAACCCCAAACCGTAGAGCAGTGTTCCTTTTAGAGCCGTGGCCTTTTTATTGAAAACAACCAATCATCACATCAGATGAAACGTTGCAGCCTGTTAGTGCCATATGTACCAGCACAGGGACTGGACTCCTTCTAGAGCCCAAAGTCAGAGCTAAATATGTGGAGGCAGCATGTCAGATTCATTGAGAAATAATCTGGAGCAGTCTTCCTGAAAATGTGAGACAGGCCTCTTCTCTGACAATATTCAAATCCAGGTTAAAACAGTTCTGTTTAGCTGAGGGATTTTATATTTTAATCTTTCTTTTTAATGCACTGTGATTATTTATTATTCTAATTCCTTGTGTAACTGTTTCTGTCTTATTTTGTTCAGCACTTTTAGTTGCCTCGTGTATGAATTGTGCTATACAAATAAACTCGCCTTGCCTTTATGAACAATGTGAATTATAGAGAAAATCCAACAAGCGCAATTTTTTTATTCTAATCTCTAATGATATTCTTCTATTGGATCACTTCCAAAGGACCACAACATCTGGAGACGCACTAACGGGCCACAGACCTCTGGTTGAAAAACCCGGCAGTAAAAAGAGGACTAATAGCTGACGTCAGCAGTGTTCAAAAAATCCAATTTGAACATAAGATAGCTGGAGCCTATTACCTCAGACAGGAATTGGTTGCTATGGCTTACTCTATCTGAGGGCGGGGTTTACCTGTGGGTGGGGAACTTGCTCTTCACTGATTGGATGATGAGCTGCTCTACTCTTTGATCAGTTTCTGTGACAAGATCCACAGATGAAGACTTGGTCTGGACTCCGGTCTGAGCCTGATCCTGGAGCGAATCCTGGATCACCTGCAGAGACCTGGGTCAGTCCCCTTTCAAAGCAAGTCCAGTTCTGGTTTTAGTCCTGGTTCAGACCTAGTTAGCTCTTAGTTCAGTCTCTGTTCAAACCTGGTTCAGTATTGGTTCAGTATTGGTCCAGACCTGGTTCAGATAGGATTCAACCCTGGTTCAGTCCTGGTTCAGTCCTGGTTCAGTCCTGGTTCAGTCCTGGTTCAGTCCTGGTTCAGGCCTGGTTCAGTCCTGGTTCAGACCTTCCCCGATTCTCGTGCCACGGCGACAGCGTGGTCCATAGCGTCCTGCCAGAGGTCATGTGACGCGGCCATCGCTCCTGTTCCACATGAGCAGTATCATTAGAGCAGTACTTATAACTGTTCATCTAACATGGTGCGGTGTAACTGATCAGAGGAGAAAGAAGGTCATGTGACCAGACATTCACTGAGCTCAATTATAAGGGGTGGATGACCATTGTCCATAAATGTCCAGTTTGAAAACAGAGCACTGGCTGTAAGTGCGTTTAAAGTGTGGCTGTACGGCACCAAAATTAAGCGGAACCCACCCATATTTGGGCATGTCTCTGTTCCTCCAAAACAATACGTGCAATCAATACAGGTTGTTCAAGGTACAAACTATTTACAATGCAATATCTTTATACAAGACTGAGGAAGATCATAAACTTCAAAAAGTGCAAATTGAAGTATAAAAAATACTAACGAGGAGTTAGTTATTTAGTTTACAGTTCTGCAGGAAGCTCCAGAGCCCGTGGGTGAGTAATTCATTGAGCTATAAGCTAGTAATACCCTATCCAGTTATTATGATAGACCCCATGTTCAGAGTTTACTCACGGGCGCCTAATCCTCCTGTTCCGTCGTTATTTAGATCCATGGTTCCGTCACTGCTCTTCCGGGTACCAGGTTGTGAGCATGCGCAATGTGGGGTTATTCCTTTGACATTCATTCATTCATTCACTAGTTGGTGTTTTGAATCACTTTTATGCACATACCTCCCCTTGACACGCGACAGCTCCAACAAGTGAAATTTAACATCACTGTCGCCAGGTCTCAATGCATGCCTCATGGTCAATGCACACGAGACGGAAAGGCTCGGTAAGATGAGGAAGGGGGTATTTTTTTAAATGAATCTAGTAGTAGTCACTAGCTTATCCATCCCAAATCCGTGAACACAACTAAACATGCACTTACACACGTGGCCGAAGGAGGCAGTGCAACAGAAGCCTCTTTTCCTATAACGCAGATTTGTCAATAATCTCTTAGCACCTTCCCAAAACCTAGACACTTTGCATAACGAGTTTAATTTAGAATTACCTAAAATTATTGAGGTAAACTCTAAATTTAAAAATAACCAATTTTTGAAATCATAAATATGCGCTACAACTGCACAAATGCAAAGTGAGGAGCCTGTGGCAGGACTGCAGCGGGGAAAAAACTCCTACGTGTGAAGCGAAGCGAAGTCAAGTCAGGACTCCGGTCTAAACCCTCTTAGAACCTCTGTAGACCTGTTTCGGAACCGGTCCAGTCCAGACCCGGACTGAACCTGCATCACGGTGAGTGAGACTCGGTCTGGTCCAGACCCTGTAACCCTGGTTCAAATCCGGACTGTGCTGGATTCAAACTAATGCTAATGCTAATGCTAATGCTAATCAGCTGTTTCACTGCTCTTACGTCAGGAACGTGTTTGGACCATAGATACTACAGTTTTGGACTAAACTCTACTACAGCGAAGGAAAGGGATAAAGCGTCAGAATCTTTGTGAGTCTGCTCATTATATGTTCATGACCCATGAATATGTATGAATAAGTTTAATTATTCAAAGCAAGTTTATTTGTATAGCAAATGCATACAGAAGGCGACTCTTAAGTGCTTTACAAAACAAGAGAGGACACTATAAAACCATAGAAGGAATCTCATTTGTAGGAGTCTGTGGAATGGTAATAAGAACCAATTTTTTTCATTATGCTTATGTGCTAAAGACAGAGGTTCGGGTCATTCAACTTGGCAACAATTATACCACTTCGTCACAAGGGGGCGCTGAATGGACACATTTGGAATACAGGTGACGGAGCATCCTGGTTCAGGAGGACTTTGTATTAAAAATCACCATAGGAGTTTCTGATAACAATTATAGATTATTACAACAACAATGGTGAATTTACTGTAGTCATCAGGTCATTACTGTTGTGTCCACTATAGTCACTCCTACTGCATACTTATGACTGATATATTGACTTTCTTCCCAGGCCCCGTCTCCATGGCGACACAGACCGTTCTATCAGAGCGCGTGTCTTTGGCGGAGGACTTGCTGCAGCGAGCGGAGCGTCTGGTTGGAGCAGAAGGAAACGTAAAACTGCGAAATAAACTACGTTCGGAACTTAAGTTTTTACAACGAATCCAGTCGAGTCGCCACAAGGGGGCACATGTGCACAGCTCCAACCTGACACAGCTGAGTGCGGTGGTGAGCCACATGCTAACAACACGCTGACATGCGAATGACATGCTAACAGCACACAAACAACCTAGCGCAGCTAAGTGAGTCACAGTGGTATGTCACACGCTAACTACAGATGCTTGCTAACAACAAGATTTTAACCAGCGGCCCCGGTTCAAAAACTTCCATGAGCACGTTCGCTGATATACTTGCAATACCACCCCGAGCCTGTGGGGGTGGACACAGAAAGAGAATCATCCAATGCTTTTGTATAGCGTCTTCGTTCCTCTCAAAAACTAAGTCTCAGACTGATGATGTCATCTCTGTGTGCCAGGTCCAGTGTGCAGAGTCGCTAGAGTCGGTTGTGTCTTTGCTCCAAGTTTTTTCTTTTACGGACGAACAACAGCAGAAGAAGACTCTAACGGTGGACGTGGTGGGAGGTACGAGGACTGCTGCAGCTGTGGTCATTTTATGTTTATGTTTACTAGAATAACACATATTCTTCATTTGGCAGATATGCGCTTCTTATTGTATAACATGTACACAGGCTTTACATAGACCCGTTGAAAGAACTCCGCATTACTGCTTTATGGAGTTGGGCTTTTATTAAGATTAAGACCTCCTTTATTCATCTCACAGTGGGGAAATGTCAGTGTTGAATCACGTTACAGAATAGGAGGCGCACACATGTTTATTAGGGAATTAGTGTGTCAGACATCGGGCTAACATCCATCCAGCATGAAAAACGTATGTGTTGGCTACATTAGCATGCTAGTCTTACCGCAGCACTGTGTGCTTATATTTCACTGATCTTTACATGCCATTTTGAACTCATTTGAAAGCTCTGTTCAGTTGATGGATCAGTTTCAGTCTCGAAGGTCAGACAAAGGAACTAGGACCCCCAGAGGCCGATTTGCTATGCATCTTGATACTTGATCACTGATTCAATACAGTAACGGTACATTGAGGCCTCGTGTCAATATGATGCGATTCACCCCTGTCAGAAATTCGATACGATTCACTCCTATTCTCGATACGATGCAATTCAAAACAATTTCATAAGGATAAAATATAGGCCTTACAACGTACAAATGTCTGGTTTGATTAGTTTTGATAAGTAATACAATTTATATCCCAGGATCTAAAACTGAAATTCTGTCACTTTTGGGCGGCACGTGGCTGAGTGGATAGGACTCTTTGCTTCTCAGCAAGAAGGTCCTGGGTTCAAATCCGGGTCGTAACAGGGCTTTTCTGCAAGCATGTTCTTCCTGTGTCTGCGTAGGTTTCCTCTAGGTGCTCCAGTGTCCCCTACCACTAAAAACATGCACAGTAGGTCTGGCATGCGCCTCCTGTTTGGCGACTTGCTCCCATCTCTGTGCGTTGTGACTCTGGTCTGTGACTGGCGCTATATAAATAAAGATTACTTACTTGCAGTATTTTGGCCTCATTCGTAGATCACTTCACTTCACTTCACTTCACTTGATTCATGATCAAGATCTGCTTTTTCAGACTCTGCCAGTGTTTTAATAATGTTAAGGTGTGCTGTTGTCTTATTTGTTCACAATAATTTACTTTTGGACACAACTCCTAATGCTGAAACTGCTGTAATTACTGCTACTTTAACAGTGGCCTTTTCCAGAGTGTGCTGGTGTCACATGTTTGAATGTGTTGTAACTCTCTGTTTCACCCACAGATGGCGGACTGCTCTGGGTCAAAGCTGTGGGCAGGAAAGCAGAGGCTCTTCACGCTGTGTGGCAGGGGCGGGGCCAGTTTGGAGACCGCTCTTTGATTGGTCAGGCAGAAGAGTTTCTTCTGGCCGCATCACAGCACCCTCTTCACTACAGCCACCCACGGGTGCTGTTCGCTTTCTACAATGGCGTCTCTGAGCCCATGGCCAAAGAGCTGCAGCGGCTGGGCGTGGGGGTCCGGGGGGAGGTGGTGCGAGTGAGGGGGGAGGAGCCAGAGGAGGAGCCAGAAGAGGAGTCTGAGGAGGAGTCTGGGGAGGAGCCAGAGGGGGAGCCAGAGGGGGAGCCAGAGGAGGAGCAAGGGCAGAGGTGAGAACCCATTGAGTCCAGTTCAAACAGCTTTCTTCATGACCGTCTCTCTGTATCCTCAGTGACCGCATAGTCCGAGCACAGACCCCCGAGGAGGAACCAGACTCTGACCTGGATCAGGACTCTGATCAGGACTCTGATCAGGACTCGGACCAGGTCCCAGGCTCTGCACTGGACCGGTCAGTTCTGGTCACCTGTTTGGCGTTCCCCCCTGCAGCTCCGCCCCCGTCCTGCTGCCGGGCCAACCTGGACGTGTCAACGCTGCTGTCGCTCGTGTCGTCGTTGTGTCATGGGGGGTGTAGCCTTGTGTTTCGGGAGGCGGTGCTTACGGAGCAGGCGGCCTGTGAGAGACAGGTGCCCGTGTTGCCACGGTTACATGAGTTCATGGCGGAAAAGGAGCTGATAGCGTGCGTCTCTGCGGTGAAGGACTTCAAAGAGATTCTACGTACGCTTGGCGGAGATAAAGAGAAGCAGAGGGCGGAGTCTCTGCTGCAGCGTATTACCGTCGTGACAGACTCTCCCTCACCGCGCTCCCTTGCCCTCATGCCCAGCGCCGCTGTTACCACACGCTCGGTTGCTATCTTTGGAACAGGCGACGCCCACCATGCGGTTACCATGACAGCCAACAGGAAGTTTGTGAGGGCAGCGGCCAATCAGGGCGTCCACTTCAGTGTATTTATTCATGAGCCCCGAGCTCTAACAGAGGGCAAGGAATGGAGGGCTACTCCCGCAGTTACTACAGCCACTGCCAAAGACCAGGACCAGGACCAGGACCAGGACCAGGACCAGGACCAAGACACAGACCCAAACTGAGGACTGTGACCTGGATTTACAAAGACACATTAAAATATTACCCTTCCTTTCTCTACTTGTGTGTGTGTGTGTGTGCCCCTGTGTTTACTCATGTTGTTATGATATCACAATGTCATATCCAACACATGATCACAGTGTCAGTTCAGATCCTGCAGCTGCACACACATCTGAACACACAGATCATGCTCACACGTCTGAACAGTTAAATGAGATATGCCACGGCAACATGGTAACAGAAAGGAGAGGTTGGCTTGGGATTGCAGCTCATGGGAGTCACCCCCATGATTCCTCTGATGTCTCACCCAGACACAAAGTAGTCTGACCCCTGCTCAACACACACCCACGTTAGTAACATCTTGAACTTTAAAGAGTGAAGAAGAAAATACTAAAATAACATTACAAAGACCGCAAGACATGTGTGTTTAATGTACAGTTGTTAAAATAAAATTATGACTCAAGCTCATCATTTCTGTGATTATTGAGCCAAAGCAGAACTCCTCACAAACAAGAGGAACATTGATCATCAGATTGTGACGCATATGAGGCACTGGGCGGGACTTCCGGTGGGCAGAGCGGATGTTGTGTGTGTGGGAAGCTAACACAGAAGCCAACACTGACTTCACTAACGAACGGAACCACAGTCCGCTCGTGACCGCTGTGCACGCACGCGCATCAGGACCGAACCGGGTTGACGTGCACGCGCATCCCACTGGACCCCAGCGGGCACGCGCCCCCCGTCTCCATGGAAACGGAGGATCTCTACGAGGTGAGGCTAATGCTAACACTGGAGTTCTCAGCACTTTTAACTCACCCAAACTCCTCATGGAGTTGGGTTTCAATATTTATATTTATAAAAATGTTATATCTAAGTAATGCAGAGGTCTTTTTGTGGCTGTCATGGAAACTTGGAGAAAGTTCCGAACTTTTAAACGGACTACTGTAATCCCAAAACCTTGTGTGGGGTAACCAACCCATTGTAAATTCTGTCTTTATATCTACAGGTTTAAATTTTTTTTAACTATGATCTCTGATGGCAATTTATAAATGGGTTTGCAGAGGTCTGAAAAGGACTATATTTATTTATGTCCAAATATATCCTGGTAATGGTAAAAAGTAGTAATTCCCCTACTAAAGTAAAAGCATAGATGTGTGTTTGGTTGTAGGTGGACTCATTTGGTGTTTGTGTGGTTGCAGGTGGAGCGCGTCCTGGACCGCCGCTCTGCTCCTGGCCAGATGGGGCAGGTAGAGTACCTCATTAGGTGGAGAGGGTACGGTCCAGACTCTGACACGTGGGAACCAGAGGAACATCTCCAGAGCTGTCTCACCCACCTGGAGCTGTTCAACCGCTCTCAGGTAAGACCCCGCCTACCTGGACCTCTGTGACTGACCCGAGCAACAATCCACACCTGCACACTGGTATGTAACCCTGAGGGACCTGATGTTTGTCTTTGCAGCGTCACATGGTCCTACAGAGATCCACCCACAGACTGCTGAGCCCCGCTTCCTCCCCTAGCTCCGCCCACAGCCTCAGAGACCTGAACAGATCTGGGATCAAGATCTTGGTGCCCAAGAGTCCCATGACCCGAGTGCATGACCTGGAGCAACGGCTGCCTGACTGTGTGCCTGCGACTGGACCTGAGGTATGCCCTGTACTGACCTGAGGTCCTGACTTCTGTACTGACCTGTGGTCCTGACTTCTGTACTGACCTGAGGTATGACCTGTGGTCCTGACTTCTGTACTGACCTGAGGTATGACCTGTACTGTGACCTGTGTCCTCAGACTGTGTGCAACAGGGCTGCTCTCGGACCTGGAGAAGAACGTGCTCGAATGGGGACAAGACCCAGAACTGGACAGGTCCAGTCCCAGATCCATTCCCAGCCTCAGGTCCAGCCTCAGGTCCAGCCCCAGGTCCAGCCCCAGGTCCAGTCCCAGACCCAGCCCCAGACCCAGGCCCGGCTCAGTCAGAGACCAGGTCAGTTACATAATCACTGCACGTTTTCACCTCAATGATCTTTTATTAATAGTATCTATTACTAGGGACAATGCTGGGGAGTGGGGCCAGTGCAGCAGTTGCCGCGGCAACACGTCGTCTGGATGAACGCTTTGATAAACGACTACGATTCAGTGTTCGACAAACGGAGAGCGCGTACCGCTACCGCCACCTGGTGGTTAGGAAGCAGGACGGCTTCACACATGTGGTCCTGTCCACACGCAACTCGGAGTACAACGCCCTGAACCCTGAGGTGAGCCAGGAACACAGAAACACATTCGTCCATACAAACACAATAAATACATAATTCTGAAAGTTACTAACTAAAGTAATTAAATAGACATGTTTAACTCAGACAGATCTGTTTTACATTATTCTAATCAAAGGAACAAGGGATCTCTTAAAACGGCGCAGTGATAGGAGCCTGTTGCTACGGTTACTCCTCTGAGTGGAGTGTTATGCAGAGGGTGTCTGGAGTTACTCAGGATGCCCTGCAATAGAGCCCTCCTCCTTCTCTCTAAAGCACAGTCCACACTTAGCCTCATCACAGAAACACATCTGGTCATACTGCTCAAACTAATTCCTGAGGTAATTTAGTTTGTTATGGTCTCAGGTCAGCCTCAGGAGCGAGTTTAGTTATGACACTGCAGCGCCACAGTCACCACAGACATGCAGCGTATGGAACACAACCAAACGTCTCTGTAGTCTGAGTTTCATTTCAGCTTGAGCCAGTTTAGGTGACAGTGGGCAGAATTTCTGGAACATGTGATTACTGATGCTTTGATTGACAGGTGATGCGTGAGCTGCAGGGCGTCATGGCGACCGCGGCTTGTGACGACTCTCGGTTGCTCCTCCTGTCGTCTGTGGGACCCGTGTTCTGCTCAGGGCTCGACTACCTGTGGTTCATCCATAAACTAACCGAAGACCGTAAGAGGGAGAGTGCTCGCATGGCTGAGGCAGTGAGGTACACACATACACAGCACAAACCCACACACACATACGCACACGCACTGAGACACACACACACACACACACACACGAAAGACTGCAAGAGGGAGAGTGGAGGCGTGTCTGAGGCTCTGAGACACACATGCAAACACGCACTTGTGACTGGATCGGGACACACATAGACACAAAGAATACACACCGCAAGAGGGAGAGTATGCATGGCTGAGGCACTGAGGTACACACAGAGACCCACACACACACTCAGAGACACACTTTGAGAAGCAGGCAAGTTTTGCTCTTTGATCTGGGTTCATAGAGAAGTGTAGTAGTAGCTTTAGCATGCTAACACCCTCTGTGCAGGTCATTTGTGAACGCGCTGGTGCAATTTCCAAAGCCACTTGTTGCAGCTGTGAACGGTGCAGCTGTTGGACTGGGGGCGGCCATCTTGGCTCTGTGTGACGTAGTCTGGGCTAATGAGAAGGCCTGGATCCAGACGCCGTACGCCTTATACGGTCATACACCAGATGGATGCAGCTCGTACACGCTGCCACTGATCATGGGCCCTGCTCCTGTGAGTGTTTTAGAACAATTCTGTGTTGATAAGTATGCAGTATGATGTAACTCCCTCTCTCTCCAGGCGGGGGAGCTATTACTCGGAGCGCGCAGACTCACTGCTCTTGAAGCCTGCGCTAAAGGACTCGTGTCACAGGTGCTGTGGCCTCAAACCTTCAACCAGGAAGTGATGTCACGAGTGAGAGACCTGTGTGCAGACGCCCAGGTGAGGAGGCCCCTTCCACACACACACACCTGTATAATTTTACACCCGTGTTAAAAGACCTCACATTACACCTATGTCTTAGGTACTGAAAGAATCTAAGTCCCTGATCCGGTCCTGGTCCAGGTCTGGACTAGAGCAGACCAATGAGAGAGAGTGTGAGGCGCTGAAGAGGATCTGGGCCACGACTGAATGGACCGACACCATTTTAGAATATTTACAGCGACCGCCCGAGTACTGACCTCCATGAAGTCATTAATATTTGAATTATAAGAGTAGTGATGTCATCCATTACGCTCCGCCCCTACGGTCATGTAACTGATATTTAATAAATAATTTTTTTCAGATATTGACGTCTGTCAAATTATTTCAACTCTTGGTGCAATGGCGAAGAATGCGATAGTAAAGTAATCCGGTCTGGTTCTATCAAGAAATTGAAGCATGAGCAAGAGGAATGTTTAGCAAATGTAATCGCTGGTCAAGATTGTGGTGCTACTCCCCACGGGCTCCGTTAGCTGCAAAGGGGATGCTAGGCTAAATGCTAAATGCTAATAACACACTTGGGCGCATTACATACGTCACGGTAAACTCAGATCCAATCGTTTCAATCTGCAAAAGGAGTTAACCCCTCCCACCTGTTCACGGAGCTCAATGAAGCAAATCCAGACCTTAGTATGAAATGTCATTTGTACTAAGGTGTGGTACAACCAGGCTAATCCAGACAGTTTTTAACAACATTTTAATGAAATGCTTGGATCATAAATATTTCAAATTCTCTACAAAATGAAGTCAGAATCCGGTTTGAGTGAGTTCCAAAAGTAACGAACTCAATGTCCCTTTACCCTTTGGTGAGTTCTGTTCACACGGAGCAGTCAGCAGCGTTCTAGACATTTTGGCACATATGTAAAGGAGTTGAGCCTGGTTCTAACACCTGGCGTACACGACTTCCACTTATGGGCAGGTCCACTACTCCTCAGTTTAATCACCAGCAGACTGGACTGGACTGGACCGGACCAAAGCAGATCGGACTCGCGCACAAGTTGGAGTCTGTTCGCCGACGTAACAGCAGCTTCATAAGGCACAGTTCAACAACATCAGAGTAAAACCACCAGGACAATCACAGTCTGAACCATAGTCCAACCAGCTCCGTGTCCGAGATTGGGGGTCCAGGTTTGGGTCCAGGTGTCATGAGGTCTTGGTCTGCTTCCTCTTCTGGACCAGTTCAGCCAACATCTTGTAACGGGAAATACACTCCTCCTGAAAAAGATTTGAGACGTCTGAGTCAAGTCCATCCTCGGGGGTTTGTGTCATCAGGGGTGAGGGGGTATGGGGGTACAGCTAGGAGCGGGGGAGGAGAGGATTAAGGTCCTATGTTATGGTCAGAGTTGTGCCCTATACATTGGGTCGTGGTCTGAGTCAAACGTTACCTTGGTTCGGCCGGGCACAGCCACAGAGATCCTGGTCCATCTTTCACTTGTTCCTCTGGGAAAGTGCTGCAGCGCAGCCTCTAGGAGGCGCTGTTGGTTCTGAGTCCAGGGGGTTGAGCCCGATTGGGCGGAGTCAGAGGTGGTGTTAGGCTCCTCCTCTTCCTGTTCTTCTGGGTCAAAGTCTGCCTGACGTCGACTTCTGACCTTGGCCTGGGTCCGCCTCCTCGACACAAGCTCCTCCTCCTCCTCGTCACAGACCACAGCCTCCCTCTGAGTGATGTCATCGTCTGCAGGAAGTGATGTCACAGGGGGCGGGGCTTTCAGCTCTGACAGCTTCACCATACCTGAATATGTAATTATATATATGAAAACAAATGTGATAAATTAAACGTTAAAAGGTGCAAAGACCATACAAAGTGGCTCACCGGAGGGGGTGTGGCTCACATGCTCCTTCACCTGCTTCACTTTGGTGGTGACCTGAGAGAGGGCATAATATCACTGTTAGGGTCGGAGTCCAGGTCATGGTCCAGGTTTATGTCCAGGTCAGGGCTGGCCTGGAACACTGCGGCCGCTGAGGTGGCGGAATCCTGTTCGAGTACATACAGCACTTGCCCCGAGTACACGCGCGCCCCCCTCGAACAATTCTCAACGGATTTACACTTTTCACAAACATGTTTTTGTATGAGGCAGACAGACGCCCAATGGCCAGTCCAGCCCTGGTCCTGGTCCAAGTCAGACCTGGGCGACACTGCGGTTCAGCTCTTGAGCGATTCTCTCCCATCGTCCTGGAGTTCCACCGGGAAATTTAACCATCAGTCGACTCAGCAAACTCAGCTCCTCCTCTGACCAATCAGAGCCCTGCCGCCAAGACATGAACCAATCAGAGCCCGGCTACCACAAAGATCATTCAGAGAGCTCACCTTCTTCTTCTTCTTCTCCTGGAGCCAATCGTCCATTTGCTCCTCGATTTCCTCGATGGATGTTGCAGCGTCGTAACCATGGAGACCGCTGTTGTTATCGAGGGCAGGTTCATAAATGGGAAACTCCATTTTAGGCTTTTTCACCTTCACCTTCTTCTCCCCTGAAAGCAAGGCATTGGTATTACCCCCAAATCCCAAACCCTCAGACCCCAAACCTTAAGGACTTCTCACGTGTCTGCGTTTCCTCGTGCTCCTGCTCTTGTTCCTCTTTGATTCTTTGCTTCATAATCTGCTGCTCCTCATAGAACGACTTCACCTCCTGCAGTAGACAAAGAGAGGAGAGGAGGGGAGGGAAGAGGAGACAAGGAGAGAGTGGAGGAGGCGGGGAGACGGGAGGAGAGGAGAGGGAAGAGAAGACAAGGAGGTGAGAGAGGAAAGGAGGGGAGGAAAGAGGGGAAAAGTAGAGAGGAGAAAAGAAGGGAAGAGGGGGAGGAGACAAGGAATGGAGTGTTTTAATGTGTATTCATGTGACATCACTTAGTAATGATACCCATACTCAAGCCCCTTTATTACCTGACAATAAGGGGATGGGGCACAGAGGGGGCGAGTTGTAAATTCTCTTTATTTACAAAACAAAACTTTACTATCTCCAATGCACTTTGTGATTGGGAACTCCCATAAGGGGGGCGGGGCTTACACATAAGGGGTGGGACTTGCATGAAGGGAGCGGAGCCTCACCTGCACAGTCTGTGGCAGCCTCTTCACAGACACAAACATCCAAGCGCAGAGTTTAAGAGGGAGCAAGTCCTGCCACTGGGGGCGCTCATGAGACCTGCACACGAGGAGGAGAACATAAACATACAGTCAGCAGGAGGAGCACATACACATACAATCAGCAGGAGGAGAACATAAACATACAGTCAGCAGGAGGATAACATAAACATACAGTCAGCAGGAGGAGCACATACACATACAATCAGCAAGTCTATGTTGATGTGAGTTGGCTCCTCCCACTTTGAGGCTCTCAGGCCCCGCCCCTCACCTGTCACATTTGTCAGTCTCTCCTTTCGTGGTCTTCTTTTTCTTCTCTCTTTTTTTACGACTCAACAAATCGTCCTGACAAACGACGAGAAAGTGGTTAGGAACTAGCAAATAGGATGCTCGCTATCCTCTCCACATGTTAGCATTAGCATGTTAGCTAGGTAGCTTACCAGGATCTTCTCCAGGTACACAGACCACAGCACGGTGTAGTGGGCCACAGTACTGATGATGAACAGCAGCAGACACAGCTCCGTGTTGCTCATCTTCCGAACGCTGCGGTAGTAAAACACGGGCTGTCTCCAGTCCGGCAGGCCGTGCTCCAGGATGTCATCATACCTGAGGACAACGGAGGACAGAGAGGACCTCAGAGGACAACGGAGGACAGAGAGGACCTCAGAGGACAACGGAGGACAGAGAGGACCTCAGAGTACATTTGAGGACTTCAAGGGACACGTGAGGACCTCAGGAGATATGAGAGGACCTCAGGAGACAAGTGGGGACCTCAGGAGACACTGAAGGACCTCAGAAGACATGTAAGGACCTCAGGGGACCTCAAGAGAAACGTGTGAACCTCAGGGGACACGTGAGGACCTCAGGAGACATGTAAGGACCTCAGGGGTCGTGTTTGGATTCATCCAAAAAGAGAGTTCTACTCTAGCCAAACATAATGATTATTTCTTGGATTCTGTGACATAGTTGGCTGAGACCTTTTCTGAAAGAAACTATTGTGTCCCTGACTATGTTGAAGATGACAATTTATCTTATTGTAGGTTACAGAGTGTAGATGAAGGCAAAATTCTCAAAATAATATCAAATCTGAAAAATAGTAAAGCAAAGGATATACATGGGCTTGACACATCTATTTTAAAAGAACACAAACAGACTCTAACACCAGCACTAACATAAGCTGTGAATCAAGCCATAAGTGAAAATTATTTTCCAATGGCATTCAAAACAGCAGTTGTCAAGCCGATATTCAAGTCAGGAGACAAGCTTTGTGTTTCAAATTATCGGCCTATTAGTATCCTTCCAGCCTTCTCCAAGGTCTTTGAGAAGGTGGTAGCAGAGCAGCTAGTGGAGCATTTGGACCAAATTGATGCATTACATCCTTGCCAGTTTGGTTTTAGGAAAAGATACTCCACAGAGTCTGCGTGCTGCTACTTACTGGAAGACATTAAATCCAGTCTTGATGGAGGAGGAATAGTTGGGGCAATCTTTCTAGACCTGAGAAAGGCTTTTGACACTGTGAACCATGAGCTTCTCATCAGCAAACAGTCTAATTTTTCTCTTGACAAATACTAAAACTTGGATTAAATCTTACCTCAAAGACAGGCACCTATGTGTTGCTGTTAACAATATAAATTCACCTTTAAGACCTTGCAGCATGGGAGTTCCACAAGGCTCCATTCTGGGCCCCCTGCTGTTCACTCTTTACATAAATGATCTGCCGACTGTGTGTAAGAGTAAGATTATTATGTATGCTGATGACACCGTGGTGTATGCTCGTGGCAAAACTGCATAGGAGGTCGCAGAAAAACTGACCAATGAAATGAAAAAAGTTACACAGTGGCTTAAAAAATCATGTCTCACCCTAAATCTAGACAAGACTGTATCTATGTACTTCAAAATTCGTAAAATTCCCAATTGTCCAAGCATTTTAATTGATGGACAAAAAATTGCAATTGCTGAACAGGTAAAGTATTTAGGAGTCATATTGGACTCAAATTTAGGGTTTAAAAAACACTTAAAGAAATTATCAAATACAGTTAAATATAACATGGTACAGTTTAGACACATTAGAAATGCACTGACAACAGAGGCGTCAGGAGCCTATCTTAATGCAATGATTGTTCCCCATTTTCTTTATTGTATGTCAAGTTGGTCTCAAGCTGCTAAATCTGTCCTGAGGCCACTTGAGTCACTTTATAAAAACTCATTAAAAATCCACGATAAAAAAAGCAGACGTTTCACTGTCATATCCTTACAAAACATAAATTCTTACGCTTTTACAACTTAATTAAACACACAAATCTTTGCTTCCTGTATAAGATCCTGCATGACACCGCTGCTCCTCCACTGAAAGAGTTCATCTCTTTAGGCTCAGACATAACAACACGAGCCACAAGATCTACCGAGCGCGGTGAGTGTAGGATCCTCAAACGCAAGACAGCTTTTGGAATGTGTGACCATTCGTCAGTGGAACATGCTGCCCACAGAGCTGATAGCAAGCACAAATGCTTACATGTTCTCACGCCTTCTAAAGAAATGGTTATTATCAAACCAAACTTGCACTCATGTGTAGCTTGTGTGAGTGTGTGTGAGAGAGGGGGGGGGGGGGGGGGGGGGGGTGTGTTTGACCAGTATAAATGAGTGATATGAATGTGAGTTTTAAACAAATTGTGCATGTAAAGACTTGTATTTTGGCCAAATGTAAACTACATCCATGAACGTGTGTTATTTTTTTATGTGATATAACATCAGCCTGCCCAGGGACTACAGGTGGAAATTAGCTCTTGAGCTATAACCTGGTACAATGCATCTCTCCTTTTGAGGTTAATGTTTATTGTGCACTGTCCTTGTCATCTTAAATAAATAAATTAAACTAAACTAAACCTAAAGACCTCAGGGGACAATCAAGGACCTCAAAAGACACTTGAGGACCTCAGGAGACATGTGAGGACCTAAGGACACATGTGAGGACCTAAGGACACATGTGAGGACCTAAGGACACATGTGAGGACCTAAGGAGACATGTGAGGACCTCAGGAGACATGTAAGGACCTCAGGAGACATGTAAGGACCTCAGGAGACACGTAAGGACCTCAGGAGACACGTAAGGACCTCAGGAGACACGTGAGGACCTCAGGAGACACGTGAGGACCTCAGGAGACATGTAAGGAGCTCAGGGGTCATGTAAAGACCTCAGGGGACAAGTGAGGACCTCAGGAGACATGTGAGGACCTAAGGACACATGTGAGGACCTAAGGGGTCATGTAAAGACCTCAGGGGACAAGCGAGGACCTCAGGAAACATGTGAGGACCTAAGGAGACATGTGAGGACCTAAGGAGACATGTGAGGACCTCAGGGGACACGTGAGGCCCTCAGGGGACACGTGAGGACCTCAGGGGACACGTGAGGACACATGAGGACCTCAGGAGACATGTGAGGACCTAAGGACACATGTGAGGACCTAAGGGGTCATGTAAAGACCTCAGGGGTCATGTAAAGACCTCAGGGGACAAGCGAGGACCTCAGGAGACATGTGAGGACCTAAGGAGACATGTGAGGACCTAAGGAGACATGTGAGGACCTAAGGAGACATGTGAGGACCTAAGGAGACATGTGAGGACTAGGAGGGATTATCTCAAATAGATTTTTTTTTTTAAATTACCGTTTGCGTCGCTCTTCGTCCTTCAGGACTTCATATATGGCCACGAGCTGAAACAGACAGACCAGTCTTAGACCCAAATCAGACCCAGATCAGACTTGGACCAGACCCAAACCAAATGGGCGATGATCATGTGATGTACCTGTCTGAACTTCTCCTCTGCGTCGTCATCTTTGTTTTTGTCCGGATGCAGAAGCAGAGACAGTCTCCTGTAAGACTTCTTAATGTCTGACAGCGGGGCGTCCTGCAAGCGACAACTGATGTTACTGCTGCAGCCTTCTCACTGACAGTATACAGATGGACAATGCTAACCCCCTAGCTCAACAAAGCCCAAAAGGGAAGTGCTCATAGACAAAGTGTTGCTCTAACTGGCTCTGGCTCCTATTGACTTGCATTAAAAAGTAAACTCCTCTGGCTCCCTCATCATGTTTTGGGCTCTTTATGATTCTGGTGTTCATATTTATACATGTCTTTGTAAATCCAGATATGAGTTATGAGGATTGACCAATGAGATGCAATCATTGGGGGGGAAACTCCAGCAACTCGTATGCCCCTGTTAAAGCACGGAAGAAACGGCCATATAAAGAAATTGGCTCCAGGTAACATTTGTTCAAATCAGCCTCTTCAGCTTTAAGTCAGACACTATGGTGACCTCAGTACTCCTAATTTACTGCTACTGCTTCTACTTTGTGACAATTACTACTACATTACTATTCCAATTGCTACAACAATTTGTATACCAGTTACTATTAGTTACTATAACTACAGATACTATTACTACTACAGATACTATTACAGTTACTACTACTACTGCAGATACTATTACAGTGACTCCCACTACTACAACAGATACTATTACTAAACTACTACGACAACTACAGATACTATTACTACTAGAGATACTACTACTACGTGGAATCTCCACTCAGAGAGGTGACACGTGAGGACCTCAGGGGACATGTGAGGACATCAGGAGAGACTTGAGGACCTCAGGAGACATGTGAAGACCTGAGAGGACACATGAAGTCCTCAGGGGACATGTGAGGACATCAGGAGAGACTTGAGGACCTCAGGAGACATGTGAGGACCTCAGAGGACACATGAAGACCTCAGGGGACATGTGAGGACTTCAGGATACATGTAAACCCCTCAGGAGACAGCGTGGAAGAAACGCCCATATAAAGCAAATGACTCGAGGTAACTTTTGTTCAAATCAGCCTCTTCCGCTTTAAGACAGACACTATGGTGACGTCAGTACTCCTAATTTACTACTACTGCTTTTACTTTGTGACAACTACAGTTACTACTACATTACTATTCCTGATGCTACAACAATTTGTACATCAGTTACTATTAGTTACTACTACTAGTACAGATACTACTACTACAGCTACTATTAGTTACTACTACTAGTACAGATACTACTACTACTACAGTTACTACAGCTACTATTAGTTACTACTACTCGTACAGATACTACTACTACTACAGTTACTACTACTACTACTACTACAGACACTACTGCAGATACTACTACTACTACAGATACTACTACAGTTACTACTACTACTACAGATACTACTACAGATGCTATTACAGTTACTACTACTACTACTACTACAGATACTATTACGACTAAAGATACTATTACTACTACAGATACTATTACAACAACAGATACTATTGCTAAAGCCAAAGCAATTTCCAAGTCTGTGACTTACTGTTATTTACGTGGCAATAAAAATAATTCTGATTCTGATTACTACTACTACAGATACTATTATTATTACTACTACTACTACTACTACTACTGATACCATTACTACAACTACTACTACAGATAACTGCTACAACAACATGGGATCTCTGCTCAGAAAGGTGTCCGCGTGGCGTTCACATCTGGAGCAGCTGTTGCATTAGCCGGTTAGCCTGTTAGCCTGTTAGCATCACATGTAAACAAACCCGTGCAGCCAGTGCTTGTACGTGGCAGTAAACCCCCAGGAGAGCAGCTTTAAGTCAGCCCCGTGACCCCCGTGTCCCTCCCGGTACTGAAGCTGTGTCAACGGGAACCAGAGGAACCATGAAAAGCCCATTCACACCTGCGGCACGGACAGCAGCTGGTAGAACCCCTGCGGAACCTCCTCCACCAGGTCGAACAGCTCCATGTCCTGATGCCAAGCGGAGCACAGCGGGAGGAGGAGCAGCAGGAGGCCGGGGAGGGCGCTCCTGAAGCCGGGGGAGAGGCAGCGAGGCCCGGGAGGCGCCATGACGGTGAGCCGGGACCAGGGACCAGGGACCAGAGACAGCGAGACAGCCACCGTAGTGAGAGGGACGCATCCGAAATGCACACCTCCTTCCTTAGTACTCGTTTAAGATGTTACATGACATATCGAGCGGACTTTATAGACACAAAAAGGTCTAATGTTAATGGGTCTGAATTAAACTTGGCCAAACGTGAAGATTCCCATGTCTCTTACAACAAGTAGTTTACAGAAAAAGAATGTAGTGAGGAGGCGCCTCCGTAGATTCGGATGATATCTGAGTTCCCCTTCATTCTTCCGCAGGCTCCTCCTCTGTATGATACGTGTGGCTTATGACCATGGAGCTTATGACGTATGGTATGTATGACGGCTAATTATGACGTAGAGATATAATTTATCTTCCAACTTCCCAAAAAGAGTGTCGACACACGCACACACTATCTAAAAACCCTGTCTCTCTTTCTCTCATGTCCTTACCTTGTTTCTCTTCAGACACAGACCTGTAGCCATGTTTAGCTCCATCCACAGACCATCCTTTCTGTCTAAATGCTCTGTTTCCAAACTTGCTACACTATGATGACTTCTCGGATTGATGCCGTGGTTTTACCTTTAAATCAGTTGAGTTCCCCTGTGTCCTATACAATTATAGAGCAGAGCGTGATGCTATAGTTCCACCACTAGAGGGAGTGCTGCTTCTCTTAATTACTCAAGTCACTGCAATCTCATTCAAAATAAAAACTTGACATTATTTAAAATCTTTATTTCACATGTTGATGTCACAGCAGCTCTGCATGCTGATTGGTTAGTCGGACTTCTTGCGTTTGTGTCTTTTCTGTGCCGCCGTTGAAACTGCTGCTGCGTTATCATCATCGTCCTCATCGACAGTTGCACATGCCTAAACGTCACAGAGTGAAAAGACATTTAAATCTGGGGAACCTAACCTTTATGTTTTCATAATTTCTTTGTCTTGGGGAGAGTGGGCGGGGTCAAGAGGAAGTGGGCGGGGACAGGCGCAAGTGGGCGGGAATAGGTGATGAGTGAGACTGACTTTGTAGACGAGAAACAGCAAAGACAGAATCACTCCTGAAGGAATCGACACCAGGAGGACTCCGAAAACAGGTGCCTCCTGAAAGACAGTCTGAGAAAAGGAGGGGGTCACTTTTATTTATATAGCACCTTTCACAGACTCAAAAAAGCACTTAACAGGTAATTTATTTATATAACAAATTTTACAGACTCACCGACAAAGTGACCTTCACTTCATAACCAAACCTCTTGATTCGCTGAATCACACTGTTTCCGCCCTGGGCCTGTCACATGACACAGAAGTTGATGACATCACAGTTATGAAGAAATCACAGTGATGACATCACTCACCTCCAGAGTCCCGGCCATCACTGCGTTCAAGAATTGCACCAGGTCCTGCTCTGTGGCCACGTCCCCCGGAGGCAGGAAGTAGCTGTCATTGGTCAGATTCAACACCAGGAGGAGGGGCACTGTGATGTCATCACTGTGAGACAGAGATTTCAAAAGCCGTCTCAAACCAAAGTGGTCTTATAAAAAATTTGAACATAGAATCTAGTTTTCGTCGAGGCATTATGCTAAAAGGGCTAGACCAGGGTTCTTGGACTGTTCGGACCAGTGTAACAGTGGTAGCCGAGTCTGTGCCCAAAGGTTCGGCTGCGTAAGTTGTAGGCCCCCGCTGATAACTTACTGCTGCAGAGCTTCCCTCGGCTCGGAGCTTAAGAAATTATTTTTTTTCTTTATTGTTGTTAAAAGTATTATTTTTGTCCTATTCATATAATTATTGTTCAGAGTTGTCATCTTGGACGTGGCTTCTGTCGCCACTAAAACAGCAGCTTCATCCTCTTCATTGTTGAAAATCTTAAACTTTTTCAAACTATACGAGGCGTACGCTGTGTTGAAAATAGCTTTCACTCAAAATAAGAGTTAGACAAAGCCGCGAAAAGCTCCTAAATCCGTTTTCTCATAATTCGAGTATTGATCTCAGGTTCAGTCTGTCACATTTGTGCAGTTGGATTCCTCACATCATGTTCGGTTCAGATTCATTTTATTTGCCATTTGCAGTAAAACCACATTGGAATACATTTGAAAAAGTCTCCACTGTGCACAAGACAAGCACATAAATAAAGTTTCTGTTTTAAAACGTCTGGAATATAATGGTCACTACGTTTGTGTGGTGGCACAATGAGGGAGCTGCATGCTAATCGTTTAATGATCAACAGCAGCACTTGTTCTGATTGAGTAGGAAAGTCTGAGGTCCTAGAGAATGACGAGGAGGTGCTCTGCTGCCTGCTCCTTTAGGTTGACCTCAACAGAACGTCAACCATTAGAAGCAATAAGGACGAGGAGGACGGTATTTTGACCAAATTTCAGATGCAGTCATCGAGTTTGTTGCTCCATCCGCGAACACTCTTGATCGTGGACTAAAGTCTTGTTTATAATGTTTATAATAAGGTGGCATCCCCAAAAGACAAAAAAGGAGGAGTTAAGATGAAACTACCTCATCATGAGTCCAGAGATGAAGTCTGTATCCTCAAGGAAACCAAAGTACATGTCCCTAAGGGGAGGAGCAAGACATCAACATGAAATCATTGTGAGAAAATGGCAGGGGAAGTGTCTGGGGGGAGGAGGAGGTGTCTGGGGGGAGGGGGAGTACCTGAACTCGGACTTGTAGTCTGTGGAGATCTTCTGCACCAGAGACTTGGACCTGAAAAACTCTGATTTGAATTAATACAGTATACAAACGCACACAGATGCACATTGCACACACACACACACACACACCTACGCACTCGGACACACTATCTGTGTACTGTACCTGAGACTCTGCTCAGAGCGAGAGTTTCCCAGGACAGAGACCAACACAGGGCGTCCTAAAACACAAACGCAGCTCTTCTATCTGTTTCTCTCAGTCACAGTTACGAGCTTCTGTCGGCTTCATACCCGAGTCCCCCATGGAGTACAGGGTGAAGCTGTTGAGTTTGCAGAACCTCTGGAAACGCTCCCTGTTCACCCAGGTCCTGAGGTCGACGCCCTCTGCAGCTGAAGCACAGACAGTCATGTGACGCATCAGGGGGTGGGGCTCTTAGAGGGAGGGGCGGGGCTAGGGGATGAGTGGCTTACGGTCAAATGGGATGTACGTGTCGTCTTTAAAAACCAGGACGGCAGGAAACAGCGTCACGGAAACCCACTGCAACAGCCAATCAGAGGAGAGCTTTCATTAAGGACGTAGCAGTAATAGTAGCAGCCGAAATCCTAGTAGCAGTTGTAGTAGCAGCAGTGAAGTAATGGTAGCAGCAGTAGTAGTAGTAGCAGTAGCAGCTCTGGGAACACGGCCTGATGTAAACAGGGCTCTGACTATAGGAATCAAACACAAACACACACAGACCTGGGGCTGATGAACCTGAGGAGACATTTCTCAAAGCACTGTAGGCAAAGCTAGCATGCAACTTTGCAATCTCCTAATGATTAAGATGAAGAGATCCTTTTCTCATCCCACAGTGGGGACATTTCAGATGTACCTAGGCCCTCTTCTTATGGACCCTCTCCATCATGTGTCCTTGAGTGTATGGTTTTTCTTTTTTGCTCTCTCTGTATGTACAGTATCTTGTTACTCTGTATTAAAACGTCCTTCTTTTGGTTTACGGGTCAATCTCCTCCTTCTGGGCCCTCTCCCCCCAAGCCACTCCCCTCCCTCTGGGCTGCATGTCCAAGAGCTTACACCTGTGAAGTCCACCTGCTCGGGGAGGTGAGGCGGGATTCTCCGGCAACAAAATCATGCAAGAGTCAATCATGAGGAGAGGCTTTTTTCTCACTCGTTAACTCTGGGCAAGAATTTAAAATAAAAAAATACAATAAATTAAAACAGCAGTATTAGTAGCAGTAGTAGCAGCGTTAGTAGTGGTTTTTGGAGGATTTTTACCTATTGTACATGTTTATAGCGGTAGGGGAAACCGGAGCACCCAGAGAAAAACTATGACACAGGGAGAACATGCAAAACTCCACTCAGAAAGGCCCTGTCTGAAAGTGGAATCACACCCAGGACTTTCTTACTGAGAAGCGACAGTGCTCACCACTCAGCCACAGGGCTGCTCTGTAGTGTCAGCAGTAGTAGTATCAGTAGTAGTAGTAGTAGTAGTAGTAGCAGTAGCAGTAGTAGTAGTAATAGTACAAGTAGTAGTAGTAACAGTAGTAGCAGTAGTAGTAACAGTAGGAGTAGTAGTAGTAGTAGTAACAGTAGGAGTAGTAGTAGTAGTAGTAGTAGCAGTAGTAGTAGTAGTAGTATCAGTTGTAGTATTAGTAGTAGTAGCAGTGGTAGTAGCAGTAGTAGTAGTAGCAGTAGTAGTAGTATCAGTAGTAGTAGTAGTAGTATCAGTATCAGTAGCAGTAGTAGTAGTAGTAGTAGTAGTAGTAGCAGTAGTAGTAGTATCAGTAGTAGTAGTAGTAGTAGTATCAGTAGCAGTAGTAGTAGTAGTAGTAGTAGTAGCAGTAGTAGTAGTATCAGTAGTAGTAGTAGTAGTAGTAGTATCAGTAGCAGTAGTAGTAGTAGTAGTAGTAGCAGTAGTAGTAGTAGTAGTAGTGTTAGTATTAGATAGCAATATGGCCTACGTGCAGGACTGTACAAGGACTCCATGTTATGACTATGATGTGACTGTCTCTTTGTGACACGTATGTCTTTCGATGTGTGACGTGACAATGACTATATAAACTGTGTACTGACTCCATTCTGTCTGAGAGAAGGAAACAATTGAAACCACTGGAACTTGAGAGAAACTTAAATAAACTTCCAGAGTTTGGCACACCACGATCCGTTTCTGTCTGCTTCATTCCTGACAGTAGTAACAGTAGTAGTAGCAGTAATAGTAGCAGTAGTATCAGTAGTAGTAGTAGTAGTAGTAGTAGTAGTAGTAGTAGTAGTAGTACCTTAGGCAGATGCTCTCGGATCGTGCTGTAGAAGTGTGTGTGGATGATGAGCTCCTGAGCCGTAGCTGTGAAGTTACTCTGAAAATACATCCCCCCAACCCTTCTGTGTAAATACTCTGTTTTCATGAATTGAGTTTATTTTTGTGTAGCCCTAAAGCACAACAGCAGTCATCTTCAAGGACTTAACAAAGTTTTGGATTTGCCCACACAGATTAGAGAATCAAACAGGTCCAAAACAGGAAATGTGATAATAACAAACACATCGGAGTCACAAATGTCAAAGTATGTTTGTAAATGTTCATAAATGTCCTGGCTCATCACTGGTCTCAGACCCTCCTGAACAACTTCATCAAAAACACTGGGAAAAAAGAGAGAAACCTCAGGGAGAACCACATTGAGAGAGGGATCCGCTCCATGCGGTCGAACAGGCTCTAGATCCAGGACTTCCAAGTGACCCGCTGCGACCCCCTTCCTGCCCGGGAGCCTCTTCAGTCCTGCACCGCACAGTCTCAGTCCTGGATCTACAGTCTCAGTCCTGGATCTACAGTCTCAGTCCTGGATCTACAGCCTCAGTCCTGGATCTACAGCCTCAGTCCTGGATCTACAGCCTCAGTCCTGGATCTACAGTCTCAGTTCTGGATCTACAGCCTCAGTCCTGGATCTACAGCCTCAGTCCTGGATCTGCAGCCTCAGTCCTGGATCTACAGCCTCAGTCCTGGATCTACAGCCTCAGTCCTGGATCTACTGCCTAAATCAGGGGTGGCCAACCCGCGGCTCGTGAGCCGCATGCGGCTCTTTGGCTGGTTCCGTGCGGCTCTCGGGCTTTCACACGAGAAGTGTCAATAACGCCTCGGTGGTGGCGCTGCCTTTCATTCCCTATGTAGTTCTGACCCATAGTAAAGGCCGACTTCACTCCACTAGCCAGGCCACCAAAACAATCTGACGTCGGCGAACGTCAATTCTGGTTGGTCAGATGCGCTGTCAATCACTCTGCAGCTGCTGCCTCAGCTGTTGCAAATATCATAACAAACAACACGTTGCCTCGACCCATGGCGTCCGTACGGAAAACAATATCTTGGTCGCTGGATGAGGGCAACACCTTCCTCAGTTTGAGGAGAGGACACCAGCGTGATCTCGCTGGTTCCACCAGAAACCAGCTGTTTGTGGAGCTAGCGCTAAGGACGGAGCAGAATGATTCCCACAAACATGACAATGCAGAGAAAAGTTTAAAAGCTTAAAAGTGACAACCGTGAAATGAAAGATCACAGCAGCAGAAGTAGAGGCAGACTCGAAAAGTCTGGAGGTGGTTTGACCAAATGGATTACATTTACGGACATCGGCTAACACCGGCTAACATGCTAAAACCAGCTAGCACCAGCTACACCAGGAGATAAGCCAACTCTGCCTGGTGAGTGTCTGTCTTCAATCAAATGCAAAAGTATCTGGTCTTATACTGAACATGTGTCTGTGGTTCTAAATCAGCTAAAGTGGTGTTGGTGTTATGTGTCAAATCTATATCTTTTACTAAACGCAGTCAGAGTGAATCATGGTGCGATAAAGACAGTTGTGTTTCTGCTGAACACTGGGTTGAAACTTGATTTTTTTCTTGGTTAGAGATTGAAAGCATTCATTTCGGAATCATAATTGATGTTCGCTGACGTGAAATTGTTCCGGTATCGACTCGCCCGGTTAGAACCAGGGCCAAACCATTAATAAAAAGTACCGGGGAGCGGTTGAAGCGAGCGGTGGAAGCGCCCGCAAACCGGGGAGAGTCGAGTCCAGCCCTTTAGTGCTGTACAAGTCAATTTCTGTCATTATCATGTTGATGACATTTACAATAAATCTGTCTGAGCAGAGCACACCTCTTTCTGCTCAGACAGATTGCATGTGTGTGCGCGTGTCTGCTCGTGTGCCTACGTGCGCGTGTGCGTGCGTGTGTAAGGGTTGGGGTGATGTTTATGTAGTATGTATATTTGTATGATGTGGCTCTTTGCTGTAATACAGTAAAAAAAATTGGCTCTTAGTCTCTGACTGGTTGGCCACCCCTGGCCTAAATCCTGGATCTACAGCATCAGTCCTGGATCTACAGCCTCAGGCCTCAGTCCTGAATCTACAGCCTCAGTCCTGGATCTACTGCCTAAATCCTGGATCTACAGCCTCAGTCCTGGATCTACAGCCTCAGTCCTGGATCTACAGCCTCAGTCCTGGATCTACAGCCTCAGTCCTGGATCTACAGCCTCAGTCCTGGATCTACAGTCTCAGTCCTGGATCTACTGCCTAAATCCTGGATCTACAGCATCAGTCCGGGATCTTCAGCCTGTCCATCAGTGGAGCACCCTCCTGGAGGTTTCTCACTTTTTTCTCTCAGAGCTTTTGAGTGGTTTTCAGGAGGGTCTAAGGACAGTGATTGATGGGATGAATTTTCCTGTTTCCCTGCGTTCACTGGGAAACATCCGACTGGGACACGTGGGTGACATAAAACAGTGTGTCTCTCAGTGTGGACTCTCTCATGTGTCCGTGTGTTTTTATTTTCTGCTGACTCTGTTTGTATCTTGTAACTGTAATTAAATGTCCTCTATTTTATTTGTTTTATGCCTAATATATTAAGCCAAACATTTTTTAAGGACATTCATTGTGGACAGTGGTTAACCCTCTCCCTCTGGACCAATGGCTCCGATGTCTTTGTTTTGATTGCATTTACTGTGTTTGACAGATTTGATTCACTGATCTTTTTTTAGGTTATGATTTTCCAAATGTCTAAAGTCCTGCTGTTGTGCGTTATGCTGTACACAAATACATTGAATTGGATGTTTCTGTGTGTGTTACCTTCAGAGGAGAAGAGGCTCCGACAAACAGGAACAAGACCGAGTGTCTGCTGAGGGCGTTGGACACCAGCTGAGGAGAGGACAGAGACCTGACTGCAGGCCTACACACAAGACCATGTGAGACCAGGACCAGGACTGAGACAAGGAGAGAGACCAAGACCAGGACTGAGAACAGGACTGGGAACAGGACTGAGACCAGGACTGAGACCAGGACTGAGACCAGGACTGAGACCAGGACTGAGACCAGGACTGAGACTTGGACTCAGACCAAGACCTGCTTCAGACACAGCTTCAGACCTGGTTCAGATCTGGTCTACACTTGGTCCAGACTTGAGACTTACCCGGACACGCGGTATGTGAAGTCCAGGATTGCCTCTTTGGTCTTGGGGCCGGTGTATTCATACTTCCGCTCGTTCTTTAGCCTTCAACACAAAGAGTTCAATCATTTTTTACATCACAATCAAACAGGTGGGAGGGACAGCAGGCTCCTCCCACCATCTGAGGCTCCTCCCACCGTTTTACCCTAAACTGAGATACATTGGCTAATGAGTGTTGCCATAGTAATGTGTGTCACTTACAAAAAAAAGGCGGGATACGTGCGCACTTTAAACTCTTTGGCCAAAGCTGCAACACAAACAAAAAACAAAAATAAGTCTGTGTCAAGTCTAAACCAGGTCTGGACCAGGTCTGGACCACGTCTGACCCAGGTCTAAACCAGGTCTAAACCAGTTCTGAACCAGGTCTAAACCAGGTCTAAACCAGTTCTGGTCCAGGTCTTACCAGTTTGACTCGTAGCATCCACTCGTCCAACTTGTACTGGAGATCCCAGATTGCGGAGCTCAGAGCCTATCTCAGACCAGATGGGGTCCAGTTGTTTACAGAACCGACACCAGGGGGTGTAGAACTGCAGGATACACATACTATTATATATACTGTTATACAGACTGTGGTTACTATGGTTACCTTGATGATCCACGTCTCGTCTTTCCCGTGATTTTCCCAGAACCTGAAACACAAAGACAACATTTGGAGTGAAAAACAAAAGAAGACATTTCAATCTTTCTAACAGTGTTCTCTCGTAGAGTGCATACCCCGCCAACTTTGAATGGGGTCTTTCCTACATCACACTCCATCTACACAAATGGTTTATGGTTGAAACAATCTTGTGTTATTTGACTCAGACCTACAGTATTTACATGTGAAAATCTGTGAAACGGCTATTCACAAACGCGTGGCCTCAGTCCTCGTTCTACAGTCTGAGTCCTGGATCTATAGCCTATGTAGATCTATGGGAGCGATCCGCTCCCTCAATGTGGGTTTTTAGAGTTCTTCCTTACCTATGCAGGAGGGTCTGGGGAACATTTTTGGACTTTTAATAACATTTATGGACCTTATGGACCAATGGCTCTATGGTATTTTTATCATTGCATTTTCTGTGTTTGAACTTTTGGATTCTCTGATCTGTGTTGGCAAATCAACAACTTTGTAAAGTCCTCGGAGACAACTGCTGTTGTGATTTAGCAGTACAAAAATGCGTTAAATTGATTTGCTCTCCTTTAATCTGACAAAGAGCTGTTTTGTAAAGAAGATTGCAAAGTATGAACTCTGGGGGATGAATACTAGTTAGAGTTTCAGTTTGATGACATAAACTCACGTGTCGCTCAGTTCCTCCACGTAAGTTTGCGCTGGACAGAGGAGCCCTGGAAACACCACAGTTAGACCCGCCCACTTTCACCCCCACTGCCTCCTGATTGGACCAAACTAATTAACATCATCTCCATTGGTCAAACAGTTTCTCTCTGGTAAATGTCACTGGTGGAGGTTGTGCCAGGAGAAGGGGCTACATTCAAAAACACACTACTAATACTGGGGTATGTAACATTAAAGCGGAGGTACGAAACATTAACTTTGTGGTATACACATTTAAAGCTGTATGAACTGCTTAAAATCAAGCCAGGGAAGGCCTGTGGACCAGACAACATCAGGTCCAGGCTCCTTCGCTCCTGCGCAGATGAACTCTGTGGAGTGATGAAGCACGTCTTCAACCTGAGCCTCAGGCTTAGGTCAGTACCACAACTCTGGAAGACCTCCTGTGTGGTACCAGTGCCCAAGACACCACGGGCCAAAGACCTCAGCGACTTCAGGCTGGTGGCTCTAAAGCCTAGCGTACATCGACAGAGAAACTGGGGACAACTAGTTGCAAGGCGGCTTTTGGCAACTGAGAGGAGATGGTGGGAGATGATCAGTTGCCAAAATCGGTCGATGTGCGCGCTCTTACAACTGGAGATGATCAGTCGGTCTCCAGTTTCAGTCAGTTGCCCGTGTTCTACTTTTCGGCAACTAGTTGTCCTCAGTTTCGGAGATATGACCCGATGTGCGCGCTCCATGCGCCGCTCCGACAACGTGTGTGTATTGTGTGTATTGCGAGCCCGCAACAGTTTATGTCAGAAAACACACTGTAGTTGAGGCCAGTTGCTGTCAATGTACGCGCTGTTATTCCCGAGACTGGTCTGCTACTGGGAGTTGCCCGTTTTCGTCAGATTGTCGATGTGTGCGGGGCAGCAACTCATATGCGACGGATATAATCAGTTGCCAGTCCGATGTACGCTAGGCTTAACATCCCCCTGCATGAAGACACTGGAGAGACTGGTCCTGGGACATCTCCGCTCCACCCTGACCTCAGCGATGGACCCGCTGCAGTTTGCCTACCGGCCAGGCATCGGAGTTGAGGACGTTATCATCACCCTCCTCCATCACCCAGCTCCCTGTCCCACCTGGAGAAACCCGGCTCCGTTGTGAGGATTCCGTTCTTCGATTCTTCCAGCGCCTTAAGTAAGTAAGTAAGTAAGTAAAGTTTATTTGTATAGCGCCTTTCACAGACCAGGGTCACAAAGCGCTTCACACATTAAAATACAAAATACAAGTCAGATAAAACAAACACAGAAAACACAATTTACATTCACAGAGGCCTATGAACAATGGTGCGAGAACGCCTGTCCAAACAAATGTGTCTTTAGTTGGGACTTAAAATCATCAACAGTCTCTACGATACGCAGAGACTGAGGAAGCTCATTCCAAAGGCGAGGAGCAACTGCCTGGAAGGATCTGTCTCCTCTGGTTTTGAAACGAGTCCGGGGGACCATCAACAGGTTCTGAGTAGAGGACCTCAGACTCCTGTTGGAGACATAAGGGTGGATCAGGCCCTGGATGTATTCAGGCGCCTGACCATGAAGGGCCCTAAAAGTCAACACCAGAATTTTAAAATGTATTCTGTGTGAGACAGGGAGCCAGTGTAAGGCCTTTAAGACAGGGGTAATGTAGGCTCTCCTGTGGGTGCGGGACAAAAGCCTTGCAGCAGAATTTTGGACGACCTGTAAACGAGCCAGGTCTTTTTTACTAAGACATGTAAGCAGGCTGTTACAGTAGTCCAATCGCGAGGAAACAAAAGCGTGGACAATCATCTTCAGCTCCGGACCCGAGACCATTTGTCTGAGCTTAGAGATGTTGCGCAAGTGGAAATTGCAGTTTCGGGTCAGCTGTTTGGTGTGTCGTTCTAGGGACATCCCTCCATCAAAAGTGACTCCCAGGTTCCTCACACTCTTTTTTACTGAGCTACTTAGGTCACCAAGGTGCTGAGCAATAACAGAAACAATACTGTCCGGGGCTAACACTAAGGTTTCTGTTTTACTGGAGTTCAGCTGGAGGCTATTTTCACAAAGCCATATCTTTATTTTGTCCAGACATTTAGTGGGAGCAACCAGTCTCTGGGGCTCAGAGGGCTTAAAAGAGCAGTACAGCTGGAGATCGTCAGCATACAGGTGGTAGGAGACCTCACTGAACTGCTGGATCAGCTTTCCTAGCGGGAGCAGGTACAACATAAATAAAATAGGCCCAAGAACGGAGCCTTGGGGTACACCCCACTGTAGGTCTGCGGATTCAGACACCACATTGTTTGAAGACACACAAAAGGTTCTACCTGTAAGGTATGATCTAAACCAGTGTTTTTCAACCTTTTTTGAGCCAAGGCACACTTTTTTCACTGAAAAAATCTTGCGGCACACCTCCAGGAGAAAATGTAAAAATGTATACAGTACTAATGTAAAAAAATATATACTGTACATACCCTGTGTGATATATAAAGTATATCTTATCTTATAATGTATACAGTATACTCTGTAGCCTATATTCACAATATACAGTTATTCTCATCAAAATGCTTAAGTCCAGGCCTTGAAATTAAGCTTTATTTAATATTTCTCGATACAATTAACAAGAGTTTGGGAATAAAGTGGCACTAACTGTGTGGAAAAAAACTAAGAAAATCCACTCTCTGCCCAAATAGTCAAATAATAACTCACACAAAGAACATGCATTGTTAGTGCATGGGAAACATTTTGGTATCCGAGCTTTAAATTCAGGAGTTTTGGATGAGGGACACGGGAGGTCCTGAACGCGAGTCCATGGTTCTGTCCGGTCCGCATGTCTGTGGTTCTGTCCACTCGACTACGGTCTGCGCTCGGTACCCAGTTCAGAAGTGCGTTCGCGAGAGCTGTTGTACAAAAATCGTACATTTCATAGTTAAACCACTACAACGCGGCCACAGCTGCCCCGGGGCAGAGCGGAGGATGTTAATCCTGTTCAGAAACGGCATAATTCATTTTCAAAAACGTCTCTATCACTTTCACTTCTCACTCGCCACAAAGCTCTTGTCTCGCTCCCTCCCACATTTGTTGGTCGCATCCAATTTTACCTTTCTCGCCACAATGCTGACCTGTTACAGCCAGTGGTCGCATCCAATTTTTCAGTTTCAAAGTACTTAGCTATCTGCTGCCATCTACTGATTTGAAAAAGTATTACATGGTTACTCACAGTTCAAAACAAGTCACCGCTCGTCAACAGCGAATGTAGCTATTTTTAGACAAAGTAGACGAATTTCTCACGGCACACCAGACAATATCATACGGCACACTAGTGTGCCGCGGCACAGTGGTTGAAAAACACTGATCTAAACCACTCTAACACAGAGCCTGACATACCAACCACATCCCGGAGTCTAGAGATCAAGATACCATGGTCCACCGTGTCGAAGGCAGACGACAGGTCTAACAGGACCAGGACGGAACATTTACCGGAGTCAGCAGCCATCATGACGTCACTAGACAGCTTCAGTAAAGCTGTTTCAGTGGAGTGGAACCTCCTGAAACCAGACTGAAAGGAGTCAAAAATATTATTAGCCTCCAAGAACGCTGATAATTGGTTGTAGGCCAGCTTCTCCAGGACTTTGGCCAAGAACGGAATCTTTGATATGGGCCTAAAGTTCTGAAGATCTGTAGGGTCCAGGCTGGGTTTCTTTAATTGGGGCTCCACAACAGCATGTTTAAGAGAGCACGGGAACACACCAGTTGAGAGCGACATGTTAAACATTTTAGTGATCGACGGACCGATAGACTCTAAAACATTAACAAACAGCCGAGCTGGGACAACATCCAGGCGACAACACAACACTTTCATACTGGTTATAGTGCATAAAATATCCTCTTTCGTGACTGACTCGAAGGACGACCAGCTCTGAAGAGGAGGGTCAACCTGAGCATGACTGAAGGAAGGAGAGGAAGGAAGATTGTCTTTGATCGCTCTAACCTTGTCAATAAAGAAACTCAGAAACTCTGTGCAACCTGCTCTGCACTGCACTGCGACAGCAGCAGCAGCAGGAGAGACAATAGAGTTTATGGTGTCAAAGAGCACCTTGGGGTTTCTCTTATTGGAGACAATCAACTGCTGAAAATATTTTGATCTGGCCTCCTCTAATTGATCGTTTAGAGAGGCGACAAGGTCCCTCAGATGCAGTCTGTGAACCTCAAGTTTGGTGGAGTGCCACAAGCGTTCAATTTTACGGCAGGATCTCCGGAGATTCACAACAGTGTCATTAATCCAGGGACAAGTCTGTTGATGCTCCGTATTAATAGTTTTAAAAGGAGCTACTTGGTCCAGGATGGATGTACAGTGATTATTAAAAGAGCACATGAGCTCATCCATTTCGGTGCAGTCATATACAACAGAGGCGTTAAAACTTTCACAGAACCTTTCTGCAGTAGAATCCGTAATAATCCTCCTCTCTACTTTAGCAGGTAGGGGGCGAGGGTCTGAGGATCCCAGCAGATCAAAAAACACACCGTAATGGTCACTTAGGTGCACATCCTCAACACTCACATTGGCCACCTGAAGGCCCAATGTAAAGACCAGATCTAATGTGTGGCCTTTCACATGAGTGGGGCCTGAGACATGCTGCGTGAAATTAAAAGCTTCCGTCATGGATACAAAATCAGCAGCTAGACCCGAAGTATCCTCAATGTGCAGGTTGAAATCCCCAAGGATTAAGACCTTCTCCAGTCTTAAAATGGACGATAAAAATTCAGTAAACTCAGCTAAGAAAGCACCAGCAGGGCCAGGGGGACGATAAATCAAAACACAATAAAATGTGTTTGTAGAGCCGACTTGCATCATGTGTGATTCAAAAGTTGTGAAGTGCTCCATACTCATCACTCTGCATGTAAACGCGTCTCTGAATACGGCCGCCAGACCACCGCCGCGGCGAGAGGGGCGGGGCGTCCCAACAGCAGAGCAATCCACTGGACAGAGTTCATTCAGGTGGATAAACTCATCCTCCCGTTGCCACGTTTCAACGAGGAAAAGGAAATGCAAGCCTTTTCTGGAGAAGAGCTCATTTATTGAGAAAGACTTATTTGCGATGGAGCGGGCGTTTAGTAATCCAAAACGGCTGAACGAAGGTGAAGCAGCTGCGCGATCAGCTGAGCGCTTTGGGATCTGCCGCAGACATCTCATGCGGTCACGTGACACACCGCTGGTCCAGAGACGGTCCACGGGAGTAAACACGGGAAGCCGGTACAGCATCGGAGACCAGACCCGGGTCCAGTCTGCTCCCGCGTAGAGTGGGGAAGCCGCGCTGTCTCCCGCGCCCTGCTGCTGGAGGGGAATGGGACGCAGCCACCTGTAGCTCCGCGCTGGACGAGCGTGACCAAACAGCCTCCAAGCGGCTCGTCTGATCTGGACCTGGACACCAGCTCTGCAGCCTCTGCGTCTCGCCCTCCTGTTGGAGTTACCCGGGGGTCGCAACAGCCACAGGTACTCCTGGGAGGTGGGGGCAAAAGTGAACGGGGGAGGAAAAGTTTTCCTGTAGCTGCCCCAGTCATTGAAACGGCGCTCCATACACTCTTTAATATTAAACAAAGAGCTCCTATCGTAGGTCTGTACAGCCACGGCACAGTCGCTGGTTTTTAGAGCAGACAGGATGGCAGTGGATGTAATGTAAAACACAGGAAAACAATATAGGTGACGAGCAACACCATCCAGCTGCAGCTTCTCAGGGACAAGCTGGAGACAGCTGGAGTGGGCTACAACCTGTCTGAGTGGATCCTGGACTACCTCACAGACAGACCCCAGTTTGTGAGAACCAGGGACTTTGTGTGTGAAAGTCCTGACCTGCAGTGTGGGGGCCCCCCAGGGGACAGTCCTCGCCTCGTTCCTCTTCCCCCTCTACACTGTGGACTTCAGACACAACACGGACGGTTGTGTTCTACAGAAGTTCTCTGACGACTCTGCCATCATCGGCCTCAGCTCCGAGGACGATGACGCAGAGTACAGAGGAGTCATACAGGACTTTGTGGACTGGTGTCAGCGGAACCACCTCCTCATCAACGCGGGGAAGTCCAAGGAGATGGACGTCACGCTGCCGCTCCAGCCTCAGTGAACATCCAGGGTAGGGACATTGCGAGAGTGGACTCTTACAAGTACCTGGGTGTTCATCTGAACCACAAACTGGACTGGACTCATAACACAGACACCCTCTTCAAGAAGGGCCAGAGTCGCCTCTACCTACTGAGGAGGCACAGGTCTTTTGGAGTGCAGGGGCCACTCCTGAAGACCTTCTATGACTCTGTGGTGGCATCAGCCATCTTGTACGGTGTGGTCTGCTAGAGCAGCAGCATCACTGAGAGGGACAGGAACAAGATGGACAAGGTCATCAGGAAGTCCAGCTCAGTCCTGGGCTGTTCCCTGGACACAGTGCAGCAGGTGGGGGACAGGAGGGTCCTGAGCAAACTAACATCTATGCTGGACCATGACTGTCACCCCCTGCAGGACACCCTCTCTGCTCTGGAGAGCAGCTTCAGTGACAGACTTATTCACCCTCGATGTGTGAAGGAGAAGTTCCTCAGGTCTTTCCTTCCTGCTGCTGTCAGACTGTACAACAAACAATAATGACTAATGAACACTTCCAACTTGATCCCACGTGTCATGCACCATTGCAATATCTTGAACTTATATCAGAATGTGCAATATACAGCTGCTAATGTACAGATGTAAACATACTGCTGCTAATGTACAGATGTAAACATAAAACTACACTTTACTTGCACTAGAATACACAGTACTTTAGAATTGCCTCTTTTTTTTGCCAAATGTGAAACTTTTACACGTCTTTTTATTTTTATTTTCAAGATAGAGATTTTATACTTTTTATTGATGCTAAGGTAAGAGATTTTGTTTTATTTGAATTAGTACAGCTATTGTTCACTTAACTTCTCTTTCCTACTGTTCTATAACTTGTGAGGCAACTCTCTTGTGATGCAAATTTCCCCACTGTGGGAGGAATGAAGGATCTCTTAATCTTAATCTTTCAGACCACACTAGTAGAACTTTGTGATACAATCCCTACCTCTAGGCTTCCTGCTGCGGTCAGAATGTACAATGAGAAAGGCTGAATCTGTACATGGCATTTATCTGTAAATAAGTAAATACTGCAATCATGTGCAATGTATAATACTGCAACTTCAGAATACTATATCTATATATATCTATATATCTATTATATATATATATATATAAGTAGCTATATATATGTATATATATATATATATATATATATATAGCTTATTTATGTTGTATATTGTGTGTGATCCCTGTGTGCTCTTACTACTGTCCTGCATGTGCGCTGCAACATTGAAATTTCCCCATTGTGGGACGAATGAAAGGATCTCTTATCTTTTCTTAGTTCCTAACTCTAAAACAGTTGCTTCTATCACTAGTTTTCTCATCATGGCCTCTTTTTCAGATTGAAGAGTGAAGACGAGAGGACCACCCACACTCAGACATATTTTCTAATGAGATGAAGACAGCATGTCGTGGTCCGATCTGTTCACAACATTTTACATTTTGTACAATTTAAAAAACATGTTATTTTATTTTACAAGACTCTTTCTCTTGGGAAAACTACATGTGTTATTTATGAGAGTAAAGTTACATACCCCAGCTTTAAGTATCCAAGTTTGGAGTCTTTTACCTGAGAGCAGCAGCAGCAGCACAAGGGACGCCATAGTCCTGTTCTGGTCCTGGTCTGGTCCTGGTCTGATCCTAATCCTGGACATAATCCCAGTCCTAATCCTACTGTCTCCGGATTATTCAAAATCAACACTTGAGTTCACCAGAAAGATCTGATGTAAGACAGAGACCAACATTTAGGCCAAAAACCATAACCAGAACCTGACCCAGAATCCACATGCTACTTCTGCCTGGGAGGTGATGTTATTGCCAGGGTTTGTGAGTTTGCAACATAACTAATGATAACATCATTTTATTTATTGTTTGATCCATGAACTTATAATTGATGGAACTGTGCCTCTCACCGGAGGTTTGTGCTCTACGAGTGCTTTGGATCTGTATTGTCAAAAGTGTAACCTCCTAGCACCTCCTCCTCCTCCTTTTTGCTCCTGCTCTTCATCAGTGATGGGAGGGGAGTGAAGGAGTCAGGGCTGGGGAAGGGGCATGGATCTATAATAATAACGGGAAGGGGCCCGATCATCACGACAAGAAACAAACTGCAAACTTGATTCAAACATAAATAAACAAATATCCTTAGTTGAAGTACAGCGGTGTCCCAAAGTTCACTCCCTGCATTTTTGTATCATAAATATAAATATATGTGTGTAGATTTGTCACACAAAGTATATAAATGTGTCTTAAACTCGTAATATAATGCTGTTTATATCACAAATGTCCAAGAAACATATGAAACAGAAGTTAAATACTTTGGGAAGGTCGAGTCGAACCGATAATGCACGGTCTGCCCTCTGCTAGAAAAAAAACCCTGTAAATATAATGTTATGTATATACTCTTAAGAGAAAGCTCCTGTATCTCAGGAAACCACTCGGATGTGAGGGAGAGAACGTCGCTTCAGTTAATACTAATATGTGCATGTCAAATTGACGGAAACGGTTTTTCTTTTTGCAGTACCGCTTATTGCCGCGGGGAGGAGCAGTAGAGCGCGTCGGGACAAGTGCAGCGCGGGGATGTAGAAGAAGAGAAATGCGGAAGTAAACAAAGTGAATCATGGACGTCTTAACGGTGAGTGTGAGATCTGATGTAAACTGTTTTAAACCGGGTTTAATCTGGTTTGGACCGGGTTCAACATGAGGTCTGTGTAGATAACTCGGAGTGAAGTTACTTTAAAAAAAATTGAGAAATCCAAACTGGGTAACTTTGGGAAACAACCGCAGGCTGTAACGACCCAGTCTGTGGTCTCAACCAAGCCAGTATTTATATATAATAATTTATTGTAATGTAATAACAGTCTCTTGTTGATATGTAAGCGTTATGCATGCATAAATAGACAATAACCACACAGATTTATATTGTAAAACCTGTGGGTAGGAGGACTCTCGGAGTGGACTGACCTAATTAGAGCTGCAACTAACGATTATTTTGTAATCGATTAATCTATCGATTATTTTTTACGATTAATCGAGTAATCGCTTGGCTGTGAATTGTGTAGAAAAAAAATATTTTTTCATCACAAAAAGCTAAAGTGGCAACACTCGAGGACGTATTAATGGCGTAAACTTAAAGTAAATGTTTGTAACAGGCTCTTTGTGCTAATTCTGCTATCTGATTGGATGAGACAGACAGATATTCATGAAATTATAAAAACAAAGTCGGTTTTAATCAAAAATACTACATTTTCGTGTCATTTTTGCTCTGTTTGAGTCCGTGTGAACCAGAGTCGGAGTAGCTAGGAGGGAAACTCAAGTGAAATGAGTTCACTCGTATAACTGAACCATAGACTGTACATCAGGAGTAGACTGACCGAGTTGCCACAGTGATTAAAAGTAGAACCTTTTAGACCTGAAAGGGTACAAATGACCCGGGGCTAGTCAAGTTTGGAAAAGTAATCAAAATCCAGGTCAAAAAGGAATTATTTAATAGCACAAAGGGTATTTAGGGTGTAACATGTTTTAACACATTAGGTCCGTTGCCAGATTGCATGAGCCTGAAGTGTTCTCTCCACAGCCTCCTGAACTGGTGTCACTTCGTGGTCTCCATGCTGTTTCCATGGTAACGCTGCAGATGGGTGGGGCGTCGCTGAGGGCGGGGCTTCGCTGTGAGTCTGAAATGTTTGATCCTGTCACCGTGGAGACGTTTGTGCTTCTGTTGTACCGCTGCAACCGCTGTATGTTCACCTGTGACGAGCCAGGTCACATGACCTCTCACCTCAGAGCCCACCTAAGCCCTGCCCACCTGAGCCCCGCCCGCACCCATCTGAGCTCCGCCCACCTGAGCCCTACCCACACTCATCTGAGCCCCGCCCAGCTCAGCCCCAGCTCACAGGAGTTCATACAGACAGGTACGAAACATTGTAGCTCTGGCTTTATGTGTAGGGCCCCGTTTCATCTGCTTCAGTTTTATCGCCATTGTCACAAAAACCGTAGCCTCTTTATGGAGGTTCTGGTCTGAATGCTCATCATGTCCCTGCGCTCAACACGTCTGTCCAATGTGCGCACTTTTGAGGCAAAATATGTTTACCCTACTGGAAGCTGGTAATACAAGAATTCTAAAACTGTGTTCAGGTGTTAAGGAGGTGGTTGAGGAGGAGGTGGAGGAGGAGGTGGAGGACCTGTTTCTGTACCACATGTTTGACATTGGCGCTCAGGGGGAGGAGCTTCAGACACACAACTGTCAGGTAAGAGGGAGGAGCTTATGACACCGGTGAAGGGGAGGAGCTTATGACACAGGTGAGGGGGAGGAGCTTCAGACACAGGTGAGGGGGAGGAGCTTATGACAATTGTCAGGTGAGGGCGAGGCTTCACAGACCCAATCTAAACAGTCCGTGTTACAGGTAAGCTCTCTGTTCGAGGAGCACTGCTCTCTGTTTAAAGAGGAGATGGACCAAAGTGCTCACCTCAGAACATTAGGGCTGTGTCGCATCTCAGCCCCCAGGAGCCCCCCCAGGAGCCCGACCGGGAACCCCTCTAGAACCTCGACCCCAGCCCGCAGCAGGTACCACCGCTGTCCTTCCCAAATCAAAGCAAACACCACTGAGGTTCGGGTTTTGTTTCATCCTCAGGACTCCGAACAAAGCTCCTCCTCAGTCCACAGATGTCTCCAGGTCTCACAGAACCTCCAGGGTCCGTTTAAAGTCCAACAAAACCAGTTCTAATTCACACAGAACCAGAGCCACCTCCAAGTCCAGATTCCATGGTCCGGATAAGAACATAAGTCCACCTCCACGAGAAGACCTGCCAAAGACCATGGACCGGCCCAAGACCATGGGTGAGATCTGGTCTTTGATCTGGTCGTTCAGCAATGTTCTGATTTTTCAATGTTTCTCTTCCAGACATTGACAGAACAAAGGTCCAGAAGAAAAGTGTATTCACCTGCAGCGTGTGTCACAGGTCTGAGAAAACACACACACACACTAGCACACAACCTTCTTCTTCTGCCTTTCTCCTGCCAACTCCACACACATGTGTTCATAGTCTGACTACTGTATGTGTGTTCGTAGTACAGTCTGACAGGGGGCGCTCTTCTTCTCCTCTCTCAGATCCTTCAGTTCACCTTTGACCCTCAGGAGACACGCTGGAGTGCACTCTGACCTCCGACCTTACACCTGCTCCATGTGTCCGTACTCCAGCCGCCTGAGAGCGTCGCTACGGCAACACCAGCGTACACACACAGGTATGACGAACACTCACACACAGAGGTACAACCTGAACTGTCAGACTGTATAATGAACACTCTCTCCAGGTGAGCGGCCTCACAGATGCTCTTTTTGTTCTTACGCCTCGATCGACCGCAGCTCTCTTCTTCGACACCTGCGCACACACAGCAACGACCGGCCGCACTGCTGCCCCCTGTGTGACTACTCGAGGTACTACACCTGATCCACACGACTGCAGTCTGCCCCCTGTGGTTATACAGGGTACTATATAGGTGTTAAAATATATTTTTATAACACTGACAGAATCACATGTTTCTCTGCTGCAGCATCCAGAAGAAGAGTCTGGACCAGCACATCCTGCGGCATCACAGCCAAGGTGATGTCACACTCCACTTATCCAGGCTGAACTAAACCACCTCCACTTGTTCTTGATTAGTTGTGTGTGCGTGTTCACGTGTATGTATCGGTGTGTGTGTTGATGTTTGTGTATCTGTGTTCATGTGTGTGTATCTGTGTGTGTGTGTTTACATGTATGTATCTGTGCGTAAGGGTATGGAGGACCGTGGCTGCCAAAACAATAAATATATACAGAAATAAATAAATGAATTTAAAAAAGATAAAATTTGCAAAGAAATGCATGCAATTATGAGAATAAGTGCATTTATTTCTGTATTTATTTATTTATATATTTATTTATTTATATATTTATTTATTTATATATTTATTTATTTATTTTAGTATTTATTCATACATTTATTTCTCTATTTTTGTATTTATTTATTTATTTCTCTATTTATTTTTGCATTTATTTATTTATTTCTCTATTAGCAGAGAAGGCAGCGACATCTCGATTCTCACACATAGCGCAGCACCTTGCTATAAGCCTGGGGTCACATGGGCGCAGACCACCCACAGAGATTCTGCTTGTTTTCATTATGAATTTGAACTCTGGCGCCATAGAGAGATCTACTTAACTTAATGGAGAATCGAAAAAAAACACACACTCACAATGCAATTGTTGCATATGGAAGAATGCTTGAGATTTTTATTTTTATTTTTTCGTTCTGACATGGCTATAGCGAGAACACAGAGATCTCAACATGCTGGACAAGCTATGGAGCAAGGAAAAAGATTAACCAATGAGCTTACAGCAGAGGCATCTCGGCCCACCCCATGATTTGCGTATCATTTAGAGAATTACGGAAATAAATAAATAAATAAATAGAGAAATAAATAAATAAATGCAAAGATAAATAAATAAATGAAAAAATAAATAAATAGAGAAATAAATAAATACAGAAATAGAGAAATAAATGTATGAATAAATACAAAAATAAATAAATAAATATATAAATACATATATAAATAAATAAATGCACTTATTTTCATAATTGCATGCATTTCTTTGCAAATTTTATCTTTTTAAAATGTATTTATTTATTTATTTCTGTATATATTTATTGTTTTGGCAGCCACGGTCCTCCATATAAGGGTGTCAAGTGTGGAGTTGTAAACAGGAAAAGAGCGTTTCCTTCTGCTCACTTATGCTGCCCTCTGATTGGTGGAGCTGGTCCCATAGGCTCTGATTGGCAGATATATTATATGTCTGTTGTAATTGCGGTTTAACGAACAAAAGTAGACTGAGGTTTAGACCACACTAGACAACCAGACTAGACAACCAGACGATATCCAGGCTGGAGCAGACCAGATCCAGACTGGAGCAGTGTGCACTGCGGTAAGCCCTGGTTCAGGTTGATCACATTTTATGCTTATTTTAAAATCATTGTTTTCTCTTTATTCTATAAATCTGAACGGTCACATTGGAGCTCATGATTTGCACCATGCCCAGTGCCAGATATGGGGGGCAGCACCATACTGTGGGGCTGCTTTTCTTAAGTAGCGACAGGGAAGAGTGTCAGAGTTGATGGGAGATGGACAAACATAAAGAGCTCCAGTTGAATGGTTCCATATTCCTGTGTTCAAACCAAAATCCAAGTGAAAATCTGTGGAGCTGCTGTTAACAAACTGTATGAAAGAGAGACTGCTTTGTAAAGAGAAATGGGAAACTTTAAGTCTCTCGATGTGCAACTCTTGTAGTGTCATACCCCTGTGCTATGTTTGCAGCAAAAGGGGGTGCCACAAATTATTGAACGATTTTGAGTATAGCAAATCAAAAACATTCAAATAAAAATCAAAGATAAAATGTTTACTGAACTGATGCTTTTTTCAGATTTGAACAAAGCTGAAGATGGACCACACTGAGGTGAGTGTAAAACCTGCTCACACAGAGTTTCACAGCAGTGAGGGCCACGTGTCCCAAAGCAGAAGCTCGCGACCGTTTCCCCCACTCACATCCTGCACACGTGCTTCAACTGTAGGTGGCAAATCAAAAACACATAAACGACACTCTTCTCAGCTGCAAGAGATAATTCCCTGACAAAATCAGGCCACTTTAAGAAACTGCTGAAGAAATCTTTACTCAAAAATATTGAATTTTTAAAGTCAATTGTATTGATTTTTATTAAACAAAGTACATTGACCATTTTCCCCCTCATTGACGGTCACATTGTCACCCCCTCATCCTCTGTACCCAACCTTGGCATCATAATGGACTCCACATCCAAACCCACATCCAAACCCACATCAAACACATCACCAAAACCACCTTCTTCCACCTTCGCAACATTGCCCGCCTCCGCCCCTCCCTTACCCAGTCAACAGCCGAAATCCTCATCCATGCATTCATCACCTCCAGACTCGACTACTGCAACAGCCTCCTCTACGGACTTCCCACCACTCATCTCCAAAAACTGCAATACATCCAGAACTCTGCAGCCCGCCTCCTCACCCACACCCGGTCCAGAGAACACATCACCCCTGTCCTCCAGCAGCTCCACTGGCTCCCCGTTCAATACCGCATTCATTCCTCCTCCTCACCTACAAGTCCCTCCATAACCTGGCCCCGCCCTACCTTACTGAGCTCCTACAATTCCAACCTCCTCACCCCCATCACCCGCACTAACCGCCAAACCTTGGGGGACAGAGCTTTTGCCATTGCCGCCCCAACCCTCTGGAACTCGCTCCCACTGCCCATTAGAAACTCTGACTCACTATCAAACTTTAAAGACCTTATGCCGGGTTTGATTTATTTAGAAATACAGTTTTAATACCATTTTATATTAGAAGAGAACTACTAAAGGTTTCAAAATTAGTTTTTGTTTTTTTGTCTGATCCCCCCAAATCGAAATAACCCCATAGCAACGCCCTTAGAGACGGAAAAACTTCACAGCCCTTGGTGACGTCAGAGTGGGTACGTTTCAACGCTGTAAGTTGTTTACAATTTGGTATTCGTTCTTTTTTCGCGGATATTCAAGATGACAAGGCCGTGTACAGCGAGTCTGAGATTACTACTAGATTGGAACACTTTGTTGGCACTGAGATAGTCCAGTGGTTGTGTCGATGGACTTCCAATCTAGACACTGGGGTTCAAATCCCACCTTAGACACTTTTTCACTCTCAAAACGGCAATTTATGTGTAGTGAGCAATTGTCACCTGTAGAGTGCAGTATTGTGTTGGGCATCAGTGGAGAGAAGAGAGAAAAGGCAGTCCTGTGGCATAGATCCATGGTTTTCAATGCATGGGCGTAACCCGCTATGACGTCACACACAGGTTAGAGCATAGACAACTTAAATTCATGAAAAACACGTTCTTTTTATAAAATATAGGATTTTTTTTGCCGGAATTTCTTTCAGATTGACATTGTCATGCAATTTTGATATCCACAAATTTTTTTTTTTTTAAACCCGGCATAAGGTCTTTAAATTAGTACTCAAAACCCGTCTTTTCAAACAAGCTTTTCTGTAAACCCCTTTTTATTATTGTATTCTACTCCCCATGTGAAGCGTCTTTGAGTGTCCAAAAAAGCGCTATACAAGTTTGATGTATTATTATTATTATTATTATTATTAATTTCATACACCACTGTGTGTGTGTGTGTGTGTGAAATAATTGCGTCAAACTCCGTTTGTACTGTTTCTTTATTTATCATTTAGTGTAACTGTGAAGGACCCCAGGAAGACTAGTCTGTTGTTTTCTAGGCCCCCGACCCTGAGACCTGGTCCACCCCCTGGCTCACTCCCTGGTCTGATCCCTGGTCCGGCTCGGGCTCTGGACCCACAGAGGACTATGAGCTGCTGTTCTGTGACCGATCGCCTGTGCGCTCGTTCCGCACTGCGCTGGAGCCCGCCCTCTTCTGGACCGTGGCGGCCGTTGGACTGATGGGAAACCTGCTCGTTCTATGGGTTTACCTGTGCAGGGGGCGTGGCCTGTGCAAGGGGCGGGGCCTCACTCACCTGTACCTGTTACACCTGTGTGCGGCGGACCTGCTCTTCCTGCTCACGCTACCTCTGTGGGCTCAAAGCGGTACTGCAGGCTGGATCTACGGGGAGGCGCTGTGCAAGGCCACGACCGCCGTCTACAAGGTCAGGACTGAACTGAAACATATACCTCTCAAGACGGAATTTCAGGATATTGTCACCACAATCAAACTCAAATCATAATTACACAGCTACAGACTCCAGACACGACTGCTGTTGTGTGCTGTCACATCTGAATAATACTAGTGCTTTTATAACCAGGGGTGCACGTACCTTTTTCAGTGAGGTTCTCAGATGAGAACCAGGAGCTGGTGTTTGGTACTCACTCCATTTGTTGCGTGGTTCTCAATCGAGATTTTATACTTGCTTCTAGGGCTGGGCGATAAAACGATAACGATATATATCGCGATAGACATGTGTTCAATATCAATAGAGAATGGGGTCGATAGAATGTTCGATAGTTTAACGGTCGGCACTAGATCATATACGGAATCGGGACGAAACCGGAAGTAACAATCCTACTTTCGAATTCGTTTTAGACCGTTTTAGACTGTTAAGTCCTTAAGTGCTGACTGGTTAAGTTTTAGGCGTCTGATTAAGATGGTTAAGGTTAGGGTTAAGGCTGGGTTGGGGTTATTTTATGGGAATGGCTGGTTAAGTTTAGGCATGAATAGGTAGTTTGTTGTATTTACTTCTGCTTCCGTCCCGATTCCGTATATGATCTAGTGCTGACCATAGTTTAACTTAACTCCGTCAGGAAAAACAGGAAGAAAACACCGGAAGTAAAGCCGACTCATAAGCGCATGGCATTGTGGGGGATGTAGGCAGAGGCTTCTCGACCAATAACAGCCAAGCAGGAACCGCAAAACTTTCTGGGAAATGCAAAAACACAACAACCGCACCATGCGTGGCATCCATGGATCTATAGCTCGTGTTTCAATGCCGTGTCAATGGTTATGCACGTACGTGCACGGAATAACATGTGCGGCGGCAGAGGCAGTGGACAGACCCGATGTATTCGGCGAAAGCAAGAGATTAACTTTTTCCTCGGGAAGCATGTGCGGCACAGAGAGCCGCACAGAGCGGTCACGGGGACACAAGACCCTCAAACAGCTAAACCAGGAGCTAAACCAGGACTAACAACGAGGACACAGTGTGAACATATTCCTCCAGCCTCATCGCCCCGTGACTGTAAACAAGGCTGCTAAGGTTGGTTAGCCCACACGACAAATATATTTATTTAGGTTAAAAAAAAAACCTCAATATATATCGTTATCGACCGATATGAATGACTTATATCGTGATATAGTTTTCAGCCATATCGCCCAGCCCTACTTGCTTCTTTTTAATGCTAAAGTTTTGAACAGCTCAGAAAATCCACTCAATCCAAGTCAAATAATGACTGGGCTCTTTTAAAAAAATGCAAAACAAAATAAACTGGGGCGACAGTAGCTCAGTTGGTAGAGCTTTGACCTTTGGGCCTGAAGGTCGTGGGTTCGAGCCCACCGTAAGACCTACTTCACGACTCCCACTGATGACTATTGTCGTTGTGTCCTTGGGCAAGACAATTAACCCTACTTTGCCCAAAGCCCCAACTGAAAGATCTCAGCTTCTGTGGACTCACCACCTGCAGGAGGATCAGTGAGGGGCTGGTGCTAAGTGTACTGGGTGCAGCTCTGACTGCCACCCCCCCGACCCAGAAATGGATTAAGGGGAAGAAAATGGATGGATGGATGGACAAAACAAAAAATCAAAACAATGTTTTGTTTGATTTGTTCACAACATTTTACTTTTGGGCACAACCAACATCATTATGCATTATTAATGCAAGGGAAAATGTAGGTACCCCAGCTTTAATTTAGAGACACGGGGAGGACATGGACACTCCCTTAATGCTCCATATCCAGTTCTGTTTCTTGCAGTAACGCAATATGTATTTATTTTAAGCTACGCAAAGACACACACTTGCAACAAGCAGAGAATAGTCCACGCTGGGTACATTATGACCACGTTCGGCTACGTGCTCGCCACGTTGTTGTCAAGGAGCCGCTGTCATTACAAAGTGGCCGGTGTGGCTCTGGAGTCGGAACACCACTGCCACTGAGGATTTGGAATCCTGTTCGAGTACGCACAGCAAACGGCAGCAAGAGCCCCGCGATCACGCACACCCTCTCTGGCTGTCGTGGGTTGCTTAAAAATGAAACAGGCGAGCTCGGAGTCCAGTGCTTAGGTGGTTTTTCTATACGCCCAGAGGGTACAAAAATGAGGAAAGCAGTGCAGAGCGTATTTACAGTGAAATTAGCAAAAACAACAAGTTCACAGAGACACATTAAGTTTCAGGTTACCTCCTCTGTAACCAGCGGCAGACAGCGCTAAACACGGCTCCTAGCCCCTCCCATTGAGCAAATTATTTTGGTAGAAATTGGTAGTTTAAACAGGCAAAAACATAGGGGCCCATACCCTAATTGACAACACAGATACATTTACTCTACAATCAAACATTACATCGTTATACTCTCAAAACATGGACATTTAATTACGCACATCACATGGTCATAATTCCCATTTAACCCACCAGGAAATAGTGTCCTGGTTTGATTCTTGCGCACAGACCCAGAGGAGCGCGACAGACCGGTAAATCTGTGTGTAAATGTTTGCTTGAATGTATTTCTAACCCGCACAAGTGTGCACTTTTGGCAAACTAGTAACTGAGGGGAAAGACGGACGAGAGAATGGATGATGGGTGTGGATGTTACGTATGAATGGAACGGGAAAAAAGGTGCACGAGTGTGGTATGGCGTTTGTGTGTGCGTGCCGGTGTGTGTGTGTGTGTGCGTGCCGGTGTGTGTGTGGCGCGTGCGGCATGACAGTCAGTCTTTAGTATAATACTACATTTGCGCACGTAGCTAGAGACGGACCGCTCCGTCACCCTGGCAACGCACCACGCCCCCCTAGGGAAGAGAGCTATTTGAGAAGGACTGGTCTATGTGAAGTACGCAAAGGCGCTTACTAAAGCCTAGCGTACATCGACAGAGAAACTGGGGACAACTAGTTGCAAGGCGGCTTTTGGCAACTGAGAGGAGATGGTGGGAGATGATCAGTTGCTGAAATCGGTCGATGTGCGCGCTCTTACAACTGGAGATGATCAGTCGGTCTCCAGTTTCAGTCAGTTGCCCGTGTTCTACTTTTCGGCAACTAGTTGTCCTCAGTTTCGGAGATATGACCCGATGTGCGCGCTCCGACAACGTGTGTGTATTGCGTGTATTGCGCGCCCGCAACAGTTTATGTCAGAAAACACACTGTAGTTGAGGCCAGTTGCTGTCGATGTACGCGCTGTTATTCCCGAGACTGGTCTGCCACTGGGAGTTGCCCGTTTTCGTCAGATTGTCGATGTGTGCGGGGCAGCAACTCATATGCGACGGATATAATCAGTTACCAGTCCGATGTACGCTAGGCTTAACTCAAGTGATAGTACGCATTTCTGATATTTGTCGCTCATGCGTACCTGCGTACCACTTATGTGCACCCCTGTTCATAACAGTTAAACACCGCAGCATCAAAAGGAGACAGAGACGCGATAAGAACTCAGGAAACGTAGCAAACTGTTATTATTACAGCTTATACAAACGACCGGGGTTATGGCGCTAGTTCAGCATTCCTAAATGCTTGATAGAGATTCTTCATTCATCTCACGTTGGAACAGATAGATATTCCTAATGATATAATGTAGAGAATTGTTGCAGTCCTAGTCGTCAGACCTCTTCTGTAACCTCAGGTAAAGTCAACATTACCTGATCATTTAGGGGAACAGTAGTATGGTTTAGCAACCTTTTTATAACATTGATTTTATTCAAAAATGGGACTCCACAAGGTTCAATCCTTGGTCCATTATTAGTATTATACAAGTGAATGATTTTGACTTTTTCCATTGTCTTTTACTGAAGGCAACTACAGACCTAAACTCTCCTATTGTGAACATGTAATTTTAATTATTGTAAGGACAAAATGTGAGTTAACACTATGTAAAACTAGGGCTGGGCGATATGGCAAAAAAGTAAAATCTCTTTTTATTTCATGCTTTGGCCGATTTTGATTTTTAAATCATTTTTCATCAAAGTCACCGAAGACAGACTTTGCCCTTAAAAATATGTTTTGATCTTTCCGCTCAATATTCAAGTTTCAAAACTATTTTAAATTTGTTTCCCCCAATACGTATTATGAAAGTCTTGTACAGACTGTGCTGATATCCATCCATCCATCCATTGTCTACCCCTTAATCCATTTCTGGGTCGGGGGGGGTGGCAATCAGAGATGCCACCCAAGTCACATAGCACCAGCCCCTCACTGATCCTCCTGCAGGTGGTGAGTCCACAGGAGGACGGCTGCTCTGCAAGTGTGAGCATAGCCTTGATCTTTCAGCGGGGGCTTTGGGCAAAGTGGGGTTAAGGGTCTTGCACAAGGACACAACGACAGCAGAGTCGATGGAGAAGTTGTCGAGGTGGAAATTGAACCCACGACCTTCAGGCCTTAAGGCCAATGCTCTTCCAATTGAGCTACTGTCGCCCCAACAGTGCGACAGTAGATTGTGCTGGTATTGCAAGTATAATTCAATGCTGCTGGAACTCTCACAATATCCTTCATTCGATTCCACGATTTTCACATTTTTCACAAATTCGATTTTTTGAAAAGCTGATTAATTGCCTAAATTTGATTTATTGCCCAGCCCTATGTAAAACACAGCAAATCGATCATATCAGAAAACCCAAAACACAATCCAATGGAAACCAAAGTATATACAGTGCCTTGCGAAAGTATTCAGCCCCCTTGAACCTTTCAACATTTCGCCATATTTCAGGCTTCAAACATAAAGATATAAAAAAAAATGTTTTTGTCATGAATCAACAACAAGTGGGACACAATCGTGAAGTGGAATGAAATTTATTGGATAATTTAAACTTTTTTAACAAATAAAAAACTGAAAAGTGGGGCGTGCAATATTATTCGGCCCCTTTACTTTCAGTGCAGCAAACTCACTCCAGAAGTTCAGTGAGGATCTTTGAATGATCCAATGTTGTCCTAAATGACTGATGATGATAAATAGAATG